CCGGGATTGAACCTGGGACATTTTAGATAGTGAATTTTCTGCCGAAACAACCAATAAGTACGTGGTAGATGAAATCATTGAGTGGGCTAATTACTGAGTTAATAGCAACCTGATTAAAATACAGATCTATGTGTAGTTTCTTTTTTTATACTTTTAATCAGAGGCGTAGCCGTGAAATATATATTGGGCCGCAACCCTAACCCTAACCCTAACCCATTTTTTAAAACCCCTAAAAAATATAAACAAACACCATGTGGCCACAGAGTAAAAATACATCTGTGATGTGGCCACGCTGTCTACCAAGACACCGCGTGCAAAAGCGTTATGGTTACGTTGCTGGCTGAGCGGGCGATAAATATTTGGTTTAGGTGGTATTGTCTTTGGGTACCTACATGCGATTTACTCTGATAAGTGGCAGAAAAAAATTAACAAAATATTACTGACAGGCTAACTAGACACAATTTTATGGAACACAGGTACTTTTCACTTCACACATGTTACCAGGATGATTATCTCTGTGTTTTATTTTAGCAGTATAAACCATATTGGGATATGTACAGGTTTTATACAGATAGAATCTTAGCTAATCCTAATAATTGTTGTAAATAAATAGGAGTTTGGGCCTACTATGTAAATTTTTTTTTTTTGGGGGGGGGGGGGTCCATGTATATTCAGACCCCCCCCCCCCCATGTGTGACGCCCATGCTTTCAATGGCCTACACTACTTGAAGATCTGACCTGTTGTAGTGGAAGGTAGCGTCAGACATTTGTTTAACCAATCAGCGTTGATGTTTCTAGTGGGTTACCCACAGTTATGTGTATTTCACCCAAAAAACTTGCTGTAACAGACGGTTTCATTGGCTAGCCATTTACTTCATTCAGGGTTGTATAACAACTCTTCTAGATCCTAGTGTAGTAAAGACAAGTAAAACGAAATTTTGAACTATAAAAAAACGAAACGAAATAGCATCTGTGTTTTAATCAGATTGGAGTTAATAATAGCAGACAAAGTTGTCCGTGGGTTGATAGTGATACACAGTACTGTCAGTACTGAGTAACTACTCAGTACTAAGTTAATGATGTGTCTGAAAATATTTTTGGAAGAAGACCAAAATACTGATGTCATTATAGCATTTTCAATCTATCTAGAACAGTATCCAAAACTCATAACCCAGAATAAAAAATCGTATCATTGGCAGTATTTAAATAAAACAACTTTCAAGAATTATAGAAAACAACATTTACTATAGTTTTGTGTAGGATCGGTAGATGTTTTTTTTGCGAGTGTAATTTCCTATAGAATTCTATAGAAGACTGCAAGAACGTTAGAAAAAACCAGCGGATGCCAGTCACGATATTCCAAAATTTTGCAAGAGATGGATGGAGAACAAGCTAAAAGAAAAACGCGATTTATTGTACAATCAGGCCCAATAATCCAGAAAGTTATGGCCTGAAATGTACAAATATCAAAAGGGACTGAGCTCTTTGGAATATAAAGATATGTATTAAGTTTCATCAAAATCGAATAAAAATTGTGACCTCTAGAGGGACCACAACCTTCGTATTACACACTTCTACACGATTTGCGTACAAAGAGCGGCCATTTTGTCGGGCTATTTCATTTCGATTTTCCTGAAGTTCGAATTCAAATTTCATTATGGGTGAATGGTGATGCATTTAAACGGTTTTTAAAATCGGAAAAAAATTGTGACATCTAGAGAATCTGCAAGCTAAAAATGCGATTTTATGAACAATCAGGGGCCATAATCCAGGAAGTTAAGTTCGGGTATCCGCGATTATCAAAAGGAACCAAGATCTCAGTGTGTAATGGTGAAATATTGACACGTTTTTTTTTTTAAAAATCAGATAAAAATTGTGACCTCTAGAGGGACCACAAGCTAAAAACGTGATTTTTTGTTCAATAAAGAATCCCCGGTTGTACGTGGCAAGGAGTAGGGTCGCCTGTCCAACCTCGTGGGTTTTCTCCGGTTCCTCCGGATTCCTCCCACTGCTAAAGACCCCTACGCGCAAGCGAATTATGTAAATAAAATTAAACCATATGTTAGTCCCGAAATGACCTAGTTTGTGTCGAGTGGACGTTAAACCCCATTTCTCTCTCTCTCTCTCTTTGTTCAATAAAGGGCCATAATTCAGGAAGTTACGATCCGATATGCGCGAATATCGAAAGGAACCAATATCTTTGGGTTATAGACATGTATTTCAAGTTTCATCGAAATCGGATCAAAATTGTGACCTCTAGATATAACCATTATTTACCAGATGTTTACACTACAAATGTATTTGCATGCGTACGAGGGGCGGCCATTTTGTACGGCAGTTTTGGCCCGATTTTCACGAAATTCGAATTCATCAAACATTACGGTGTAACGGTGATATATTCGAACCTTTTTTTTTTTAAATCGGATAATAATTGTGACCTCTAGAGGGACCACAAGCTAAAAACGCGATTTTTCGTACAATCAGGGGCCATAATTCAGGAAGTTACGATCCGATATGCGCGAATATTGAAAGGAACCGATATCTTTAGGTTACAAACTTGCATTTCGAGTTTCATCAAAATCGGATCAAAATTGTGGCCTCTAGAGGGTCCGCAACTTTGTTATACCAGATGTTTACACTATTTGCGTACGAGGGGCGGCCATTTTTGTCCGGCCGTTTTGGTCCAATTTTCATGAAATTCAAACTCAGACAAAATTACGGTGTAATGGTGATATATTCGAACGTTTTTTTTTAAATCGGATAATAATTGTGATCTCTATAGGGAACACAAGCTAAAAACGCGATTTTTCGTACAATTAGGGGCCATAATTCAGGATATGTACGAAAATCGAAAGGAACCAAGTTATTTTTGTTATAAACATGCATTTCAAGTTTCATCAAAATCAGATGAAAATTGTGACCTCCAGAGGGTCCACAACCCTGATACACAATATTTTGACAATATATTTGCGAACGGGGGGCGGCCATTTTGTCTGCCAGTTTCGGTCCGATTTTTACGAAATTCGAACTCAACCATTCTTAGGGTGTAACGATGATATATTCACACGGTTTTATAAATCGGATAAAAATTGTGACCTCTATAGGTTCCATAAGCTAAAAACATAATTTTTCGTACAAGCATGGGCCATAAAAAATGATGAGCTATAGAGTGTTCACAAACAATTGTGAATGGACGGACGGGTAGGGGCGACGACGATATACGTCCACATGAAAGTGTGAGCGTATAAAAATAAACCTATAGATTTATTGATGCTGCTATAGAATTGGTGGTAAAAACTATAGGTTTCTATAGAAATAACTTGTATCCTAGAGTTAGTTGAGTAATCCTACAGTTTTCTACAACCTTTGTGGTAAAAACTATAGTTTACTATAGAATTAACTTGTATTCTCAAGTCAGTTGTGGATCCTATAGATTTGGTGGTAAAAACTATAGTTTTCTATAGAATTAACTTATAGCCTCAAGTGAGTTGTATAATCCTATAGTTTTCTATGGCATTCTGTAGAAAACTTTGGAAAAAAAAATACTTTATTCTATAGATATTGTGGTGAAACATATACATGTAACAGAGGAGCATTCTATAGTTTTCTGTATAATTTATATGTATATATTAAACCATTTTAACAAATACTATAGTTTCCTACATAATAATGTATAATAACAATGTTTTGGTCATGTCTCTTATTCATACTATAGTTTACTTGTGTGAATTATGTTAAAATGATAATATAGTTTCCAACAGAATTTTCCTGGATGCATGTATATTGATATGTATATTGCGTATGTTTTGTATAATGTTCTTAATGGACGTAATATGCAAATAAAAAAGTTTAAAGTTGAAGTTGGCTGAATTTTAAATTCTAAAATTCAGTGTATAACAACTTAATATGTTAGTATTAACAAGAAACTGAAGAGAATGGTGCTGGTTTTTTTTCACAGATTCAATTGAAGACAAAAAGAAAAGTATACTTTATTGCTTTCTCTACAATAATATTAAATTAGATAAGATTTATGTGATTTTGTTATTTACTTTATTTAACTTTTCTTTTCCCTATATTTCAGTTGTACCAAGAAGAAAACTTGCCATGGATCAGAGTACTGGTACATCATCAACAGAATTCAAATTAATCCACGAGAGAAAAAATAAGCTTATCAATTAAGAAAAATTATGGGCCAACTATATTTATTCCCAAAGGAATAATTAATAAGAAAATCTATAGAATTCATTCCTACAGAAAATTGTAGTGAGTGACCCAATTTCCAAACTACAGAATACTACAATATTCATTCCTATACATAACTGAAGAATTTCCTACAGAAAGTGCTATAAAAAAAACCTATAGAATACTGTAGTATTTTCCTATAGAAAATTTCCCATAAATCTGTAAGAAAAACTATAGGATATGCGCTACAGAAACTGTAGAATATTTGGGGCCGTTATTTCCTACAGGCCCCCCAAATTCTGTAGAATACTATAAAATTTTATCCTATAGAAAATGGGACACGCCCCACACAAAACTCTATAGTTTTTCTATAGAAAACTACACTGGTATTCTATTATAGGACTTTTTGCTAACAAGTGTATAATTATCGCACAGTCGGTTATCCCCGTCGTTATGTTTTTTTAAAATCCTTTTGTTCATTCTAGTTGCATTCACCGGGGACAATATAATAGGCTTGAATAATCAAGTCTGGCATTTTATTAGTTCGCGGGTTTGTGGTTATTGGATTCAAATACCGGTAATCGTATTTCGTTAAATAATATTTTCGTGTTACAATTTGTGATGACCTTCGATTGCACGCAGTAAATGCTAAAGGAGTGTATTTTTATAATTTTAAAAGGAAATCCTTTAATATTATCCTTGTAGCTTCTATCTATAACCATCAATAAATACAAATGTACAAACATTTTTTATACTTTCCTTACTCAAAAACCAAAACATCAAAACAATAATTTCAGCCAATCACAAACGAAAAAATAATTCAGTAAGAGCAATGGCCGTCAACTTTTTGGTCTCGAAGAAGAAAGGCCTTATTATATTTTGATGAATTTCTTGGCTACATTACTCTGATACAACTCCTGAAACTGGTAATAAAACACGTAACCGATATATCTTGAAGAAACATTTTGTTTCAATTGTCTATTGTATGCTTTATTTGTTCAAAATCAAATCATTTAGTGTAGAAAAAGTTGCTTTCCTTTTTTCATTCATTTATGAATTTATATCGCATCATGTCCGCACTAATCAGTCATTCTGATCTGAGTTCACGCAGATGTTTATTCTGAACCGAGAGCAGTATTAAAATAATAGTTTTGCTGTTACTTTGATATCTATTTAATATAATTATTTATTACAAGTACAAGGGCCGTCCTACACTACAGTTCGCCACCAAACTAATTAGATTAGTAATTTATAACGTTTTATAAAATGACAAGAAATGCTAAACCGAATTCAGGCTGAATGTTTTTTAAAGTTATGAAATGATTGTTTAAACACTTCTGACTTCAGCAAATATGACAGTGATGATGTAGGCTCTGTTTCTATAGTTTACATACACTGTCGTTGCGGTTGTCACTTGCCTGTTATTTAATATATATTTATAGCTGTCAGCGTCGGCTTGTTTGGGTGACAGTGTTTTTAATTCCTGCTTATTACTATTATTGGATTCATTTATAAGCTTACATTTTGCATCATTGTCCAAAATCCTTACCAAAGATCTTGTACACAGATCTTGTAGAATACATGGGCTCCTATCATTAACAGATGGTAGTATTAGCTTAGTACAGATTTTAATTATATTATGCTTTGGATAAGTACAATATGTACAGCCCAGTTAATTAACAACGAGTAACCTTATGTATTGTTATCAATAAATGCTCTATCCACGCCCATTAAGCCTTATAAAATTGCTAATGTAAACAGTAAAATATGCCTTCAAGTTTTACTTTTAATCAGTCCTTACTTAAACATACAAGGTCTTTCTTTAGGCCTGAAATGTTATCTAAATTATTAGACATTAATTAACATATCCAGACCATAATCAACTCTCAATATCATCGCTAGCCTGTGATGTTTATTGGATTAGGTTCGGATTTACTGTTCGACCTCCATTCATGATTTAATCCTGCAATGGATAATCAAGACTATGTTTTTTTATCGTAGTGACTTTAGTAATGATGATCAAGGCTAGGCCCAAAATTCAATTGCTACAATATTTACATTATCTAGTTTTAACTATTATAGTGAGAACGGCCAATGTATCTTTAAGTTCCTTAAAATGACTAGACAACTTTGATTTGTGTAAAAACTAGAATTGTTGATGTGATAACAATCTTTTTGTTGAAACTTAATGTCAGTGTTCAGATACATGTATAGCCAATAATGTATTCCTCTCTCAACACATTAAGCCAAAAATGGGTTTATGTTTCTTTAAATCCAGAGTCTAAAATGTTAGATTTTTAACCAATGCACTACCAGTACTATTATTAGTTAACAAGTTCATTTAATTTCTCTTATTTATGAAATTAGAAATGAAATGGGGTTTAACGTCATACTGTTCTGCTCTGACTTGACTAATAAAGATGGGATCCTTTTTATGAACCTGTGTGTTTATTTAAAACTGCAATCTAGTTTCCATACTACACAATAAATTCATTCATCAATGTAAAAATAAAGAAACCAATAAACTAATATCTTAAAACATCATGATTTCTCCTTAAGTTAGAGGTAATGTTTCTAAAACAAAAAATATATTGAAAAATCTAGACATATTTGTTACACTATTAAAAAAATTATTTTGTTTATGTTTATTGCAGGCCAAGGTAAAAGCACCATGGAAAATAATATTTTACCGGAATCCAGTGGTGCACCTTGGCAAGGACCAGGGGTGCCTGTAGCTCTTAAGGAGGTAGTACTTCTTGGCTTTTTTAAAATTATGTTTAATGTAGGTTTGCTGAAATTGCATTAGGTATTCTGGATGGTCATGGGACAACTGTTGTGTTACCTTTGAGCTCATGAAAAGCACAGTTAAAGAGATATTTTGGAACCATTTTCCAATATACCAGCACTCAGTTATTTCAGGATTATCCATAAGTTAACCAAAATTGCTTTGGTAGGGTTATTGAAAAATGCTCCCTTCCGTCACTGATTTATATCTTGATTTTTAAGGAGGAAGATGAAGAAATAGTAGTAGATGGAGGTGAAAAGTCATTGACAGCTGTTTTGGATGCCCCAGGTCCATCCCATCTGACAGCTTCTCCTCTACCACTAAGTATACAATCCGAATTGAATGTACGTGCAGAGGCCTTGGTAGAACAGACATTAGGTACTGTACTAAACATTTTTTTTTGCTCGTAAAATTGATATGATCCAATATGAATTGGGGTAATCTTGTAAAAAGATTTTTTTTACTTTACTCAGATATGTTTTATGCAGCAATTTTAAGATTCTTATCTTCAAATTCTCAATTATCTTCTGACAGTAGCCTAGGAGCAGCTGTGTCACTTAAGATAATTTGTATTCAGATAATTTATAGTGAAGCCCTTGTTTAGATATCATTAGAAATATTTGTGTATGTATTTGAAGGGTTGACACACGGTGAAGAAGAGATGTGGCAATCTACAGAAGAGGATATTGATGTGGTGTCATTAGATGCTAGCAATAATCGTAATGTTGTAGAGAATCGTGAAGATAGAGGTAAATATCGCCATTGGTGTGTTAAAGGATATATTTTGTTGTGATAAAGGATCTTTTTGGTGTGTTAATTGTAGAATATCTTTTTGTTGTGTTATAATTTTTATTTATCAGAATCAGCTTACATAGTGGAGCAATTTGACTGAAATTTCCAGCATATGGCCGAATGGTTAGCATGTGTACACTGTATCATAAGTTCTGTCATTGAGTCAACTGGCGGGATTTCGATTCCCCAGTTATACGTGACAAGGAGTAGGGTCGCCTGTCCAACCTTGTGGGTTTTCTCCGGGTCCTCTGGTTTCCTCCCACTGCTAAAGACCCCTATGCGCAAGTAAATTTTTGAAATAAAATTGAACCATGTGCTAGTCCCGAAATGACCTAGTTTGTGTCGAGTGGATGTTAAACCCAATTTTTCTCTCTCTCTACCATAATGCCCCTTTAACATAAGCAGTTTGATTGTGTGATGCTTTATTAAAAATATAATGAGCATGTAATTAATGAGTGTCATTTATTTTTTAATGTAATTTTTTTTTCAGTAACTGTTGATGCTGTACAAACAGTCTCTGCTCAAAATGCAACTTTAACTGAAGATTTCCGTAACTACATGGGTCATTTATCAAATTTATCAAATAGTCCTGTTAATCCTCATGCTGTTTGGCAGGGAGCAGCAAATAGACCTACCTACATGTGTCCTTCAGAAGAAGATGGCTGTAATATGTGGGCAGGTGTACCCAAAAAACACCGACCATTACCCCCATGTAATCATTCATCAAATTTGCCATATTTTGAAGATAACACCCAGATGAATTTTCAAAGAACCGATGCAAATGAAAGACGAGAAAGAGGACATCAACCTCCGGTTATGTACCTTCAGCCACCTCGGCCTGATGGTATGTTTGACTCGACAAATCCTTATGCATTGTTTAATTTGCCGTTACCATCACTACCTCGTAACTCATGTTGTCAAGATAGAACAAGTGATCGGAGACGGTATGGAATATTTAATTTAAAACGAGATGGATCGTCACGCTGTAATGGTGTACCTGCTGGTGGCAATAATGGTAGACAGGTCTCATCTCAGGGTGTACAACAAAATACTGGTAAATCTGAGCTGTCTCATGATGATCGAGCTGCAGATCGTTTTACATCAAGGTCTGTTGGTACTGATAATATTGACATGGCTGCAGTGAATGGTGAGGGTAGTAGAAGGGAAGATCGGAATATAATGGTGCCACATTCCACACCTGGGTCACATCCCAAACCTGATGAACACACCAGATCAATTAATTCTGGTGAATCTTCTAGCCGTACTTCAGCTCATTATGATTTAAATAATCTTGCGTTTTCTCGAAGAGATCGTAGAAGACCTCACAACAGCAGACCTATTCCAGACTCGGCTGCTGTTGCTCGTTCAGTCCCCCAAGTGCCACAACCAACACAGGCTACTGTTGCTATGGATACAGATCATGATTTTGTTACTAACTGTAATGAACAACCAATGAGAACTTGTGCATCTAGCCAAGAAGTACCGAAGTCAGATTGCAGACACAATGTTTCCAATGTGACAGAGTTTGGTAGAAATGTTGCTTCCATTGAAAGTGCTGAACCGGATTCTACACAATTTGAACCTAGAGAGAGAGGTGTGCGAGTTGAATCTCCTATTGTTCCTGATGTACATATATCTGATGGAACAGATGATAGTGATGTTGAAGTTGTACGCATTGAAACATCACGGTTTGTATCTTTTAGTGATAATTAACTCTTTGAACAGAATGTCCAGTATTAAATTTATCCCGAAAAAGAATTAGTTTATATTGAAATAAAAACTTTGACACAAAAACTTCCTGTAGATACATATGTACCTTCCGAAAATGTTCTGATTCTTTAAAACTGATTTTGTTTGCAGAACTAGAAATCGCCAAGAATCATCAGGAAGAGCTACAGTTGTTGTTGATTTAACTGAGTCAGATGATGGTATGTTGAGTTACTTCGTGTGTATAAGAGATCTTATAAAGATCTACTCAATATTGACTAAAACCTCAAAACAGTTATAATGAAAATAATGCAGTCTGACGGGTGATTATTTAAGATGTCTCTGTCATCTGCCATTTATAATGTCATACACTTCTCGTGAGGAGACACACCTCCAATACCTGTTCATACAATGCTGCTAATTATCTTATCCCTTGGGTTAGGCTGAATAAAATTTTGGAATTAACAAATCAGAAACTAATTATATTGATAATTAGAAGACAAGTGTAACCTGGGGCCTCATTACCAAATAACTTTTGCAATGCTTTAAGATTTAGAAGACAAGTTCCAAGGCCAGAAATTTACAGAAATTGCAAAGGTCAATAAACATAAAGTTTATGAAAGTGGTTCATAATTTTTGCTGTCGACTATCTACATGCGATTAATTATGTTAATTTTATCTGATCTGTTTTCAGAAAATAATAATGTAGCAAGTACAGCTAGTCAAACAGTCACTGAACTACCTGCTGCCGCCACCCAAACCCCTGCTTCCCCAGTACCAGTTTTACTTGTTCCCCCTCCCCCTATTAACCCTACTAGCAGTAATATCCCTCCGCCTCCCTTTATTCCTCGCTGTTACCCTAACTTGCATCATTACCATCTTCATCAACCTCCACCAGCACATGCTCAACATTTACAGAATCCAAGACCGGCCCATACCTGTAGGATGCATGACCATGTGAACTGTCAGGATCACAATTTTACGTGTAATGGGGTAAGTTTACTTTACTTATGTTATCATTAACTTGGATTAATTTTCTTATATCTGTTCGATGACAACAACTTTTCATAAACATTACAAACTAATTTCTGCTTTTGCTAGAAAGAGTAACTGAGTCCATTTTTATATGCCTTCATTTTCATGTGGACAGATGTTGTCGTCAACCCTGTCAGTCCGTCCGTCATTGGGTCAGTGTATCCATTCACATTTTGTTTGTGGACACTCTTTAGTTCACAATTTGTATACAATTATATATGTTTATGTCCAAAAGATTGTACGAAAGATCACTTTTTTAGCTTGTGGACACTCTAGAGGTCTCAATTTTTTTCCGACATCCACATGCAAATCGCTACCGTCTAAATATGTTTATTGTCGTCCATTTTCAGACAATGTTATCAGAATTCACGAAACATGCTTGTCGGATTAACTAATGACATCGACGATTGCTGTATGTGCTTTATGGTACGGTGAACTAAAACGGCTAATATACTCATGATATTGTTCCATTAAATATGTGTTTCTTTCTAATAATGCTGAGACAGTATGAACTAGATTACTCAGACTATTTTGAATCACTGTGGACCATAATCCGCCGCAAATTTTATGTTTCCACTGTCTATAATCCGCCGCAAATTTCATATTTTCGTGGACTATAATCCATTGTGAGTGTATATGAGAAAAACACCACGATTTTTGAGTGGAAAAAAAGCCCACAAGGATTAATTTTATACTTCTGCCTGACTAGTATTGTATGTCCATTTATCACCAAATCCACAAAACATGCTCATACTACATACATAGCTATATATAAAAGGTCACTGGCTCTTAAGGAGGTTGTTTATTGTCCCCCGCCTTTCGAAGAAAGCAGGCACTATTAAAATGCGTCTGTCTGTCACACATTTTGGGACACAATAACTTTCCTTCTAATTGAGCTGGAATGTTCAAACTTGGTGCAATTGTTTATTAGGTCAATGTCTTAATGGAGTTCAAAGATGAGCATTTTCTGATTAGGGTAAGCAGAGATATTCAATTTGATTGGTTGATGCTTTGGTACACGATAACTTTAGTTTTAATTAAGTGAGAGTGATGAAATTTGGTGTATAGTTTCATTACATTAATACCTTGACTAAGTTCAATAATGATCATTTTCAGTTCAGGGTAAGCAGAGCGATAAGCAATTTGATTGGTCGAGACTCTGGAACACAATAACTCTCCTTCTAATTGAGGTAGAATATTCAAAATTGGTGTATGTGTCTATTACATGAATGCCTTGACATAGTTCGTTCATGCGGATTTTCCACGATGGCTAAGCAGAGATGAGCAATTTGATTGGTTGAGACTTTGAAACACAATAACTTTGGTTCTAATTCTAATTGGGTGAGAGAGATGAAATTCTGCGTATATAGATTCATTATATCAATACATTGACTAAGTTCGATGATGAGAATTTTCTGCTTAGGCTAAGGTGCGATAAGCAATTTGTTAGGTCAAGAATTTGGAACATAACAATTCTGCTTTTAATTGGGGTATAGGTGTTCATTAGGCAAATGTCTTAACTGAGTTCAATGATTAATATTTCCCATTAAAGCTAAGCAGAACTAAGCAATTTCTTTTGTCGATGCTTTGAGACAAGATAACTTTGATTATAACTGACGGAGAGTGATGAAACTTAGTATATAGTTTCACTCACTGCCAGGTACTTCAAAACCTGAGTTTGATAGTGAACATTTTATGCTTAGACTAAGCATAGAAAATCAGTTTGATTACTCAATACTTTTGAAAAAGATAAATGTGCAATTAATTAATATGTGTCATCTTTTCGGGGGGTTTGGCGGGGGACATCAGCCTCACTGTTGGCTTGTTTTTGTAATGAATTTTGAAAAGATATGTTTTTGAGCTGAAATATTCATTAAATAAAAACTCACTGAACATAATCTATAAAACATACATAAGATCTAACCTGGAATACTCTTGCCAAGTTTGGGATGGGTGTAATGACCCTGACTGCGCCAAACTAGAAAAAATCCAATTAGAAGCTGCCCGCATTGTTACCGGTTTACCGAAATATCTCGAAACAGGATGAGAAAACTTGATCGAAAGGAGACATCAAAGAAAACTCACAATTGTATACAAAATTCACAATAACCAATGTCCTACGTACTTATCTGAAATCTTAAACAAATATCAACCTCCTAATACTATATACTCACTACGAAACCCTCAAAACCTAAAGCCACCACTTGCTAGAACAACAACATTCCAAAAATCCTTCTTCCCCTCTACCATCAAAGCCTGGAATCGTCTGAACACTACTACTAAAACATCGAGAAATAAGACAATTTTTAAACGTAATATCAAACCTAAACCAAACACAAAAACTATTTCAGACTTCCTATGTACATGGGAACGTAAATATGTGTCATGTGATAATCCATACAAAACTGCGCCATAACTGCAGTACATTGAAATCGGATCTATACCAAGCTAACCTGGTCCAAAATCAAAATTGCCAATGCGGCCATACCATCGAAAATGCCTGGCATTATTTCTTTGACTGTCCAAATTACAAGACACAGTGCCACGATTTGGTAAACAACACGCCAGATCATGTTAACATTAATATTAGTACATTATTATGGGGTAATGATAACTTAAGCAGTTTTCAAATTAATCGACTCATTCAAAACATACATAAATACCTTAAAGATACAAAAAGATTTGACAATGTTATTTAATTATTACTTTTCTTTATATTCGAAATAAACAGTAAAATTTGTTTAAAACCTGATTTGGGTCAACAGTTTAAAAGTGTACGTCCAATACCATATAGATTCTAAAGTGAGGTGTAAACGAACATTCGCCAGTGGTTTAAGAGTGGTCCTTATCCTGACTTACTATTTGGAAATATACAACTGGCGGTAGTTTTTCCTTTGATGTCCATACCAGTTATATCTCATAACAACCTGTCATGACATCATCATAGGTTGATATATTCGTTCATATCAACCGCTGATGACGTCATGACAGGTTGATATTTCATATCAACCGCTAATGACGTCATCTCAGGTCAATATATTCGGCTCATATCAACCACTGATGACGTAGATGATCGAAATAATACAAAAAAACACAGAAATAAATTTTTATTCTTTTGACAATTAAAATTTGTTATGGTACAGTTTCTAACATTCAGGACCGAAATAGACGGCGTACTTATTGACATACATGTATTTAGATCGGTTATCCATGTCTAAGACATCTTTCAGAATTTTCTTTTCCTCCACATTGCGATTATTTCTCCACACACTACAAGACTTGAAAGTATTTATCGCCCAAGAGTTCCTCTGTAAAGTATTTTTGGGTACAGTCCACTTAAAACAGTCGGTCAAATCCTTCTCTGAACATACTGAAAACCTTCAATCATGGTTCACTGTCAGAATTCTTGGAAAAGAATGCCTTTTGGTCCAAATTTTCTGCAGGCTTTGGATAGATCCTCGTCGATATTTGCATTCACATCTATTCCATCGTCAATATGTTGGCTAAAAAGGATTGATTATTCGTCTGACTTCGTATTACTATCCATTTTGTTTTTGCTTTCAATTCAATAGTCCAAAATGGCGACGTATAAACAAAAACGTAATTGCACGTGATTACTTTGGTAATTTTCGCTATTTGGCGGAAACTATCGAGCAATTATCCAATCGTTGTTGCCTTTTAATGGAAGAGCCCATTAAAATTAAGGGTGAAATGGCATTGTATATGTCGGATATAAACCTACTCTCCCCCGGATTGATATGGTAGAGAACGCTTGGGCTTTGCCCGCCATTCTCTACCATATCAACCTCGGGTAGGTTAATATCCTATACATACACCTTTAAGCTTGAAATAACCTCGTACCAACAGCTCTTGCAACCTTTCGATATTTTCTCATGTAAGATAGTTGCAAATGGGGTTAAAATTTCAAGATCCTTGCACTCGATTGGAATAATTTTCAGATGGTTTTCTTATGATCATCTTCGTCAATCTTGAGATTTATTCCCCAGCACTGTCTTAATTCTCTTCTTATTTTGCACCCCTTGTTATAAGATTGACAAAGAAGTCTCAAAACAATTAAAGTTCAACTGGGAGTTAATTCGATCTTTCCACTGTGGCAATAGCAAATACTCTTTGTCCAAAGATTGCAAGTTTCCACGTTCATATCTTTAGCTGCTTCAGTTGTTGGGAATATACTTCAGAGAAAATATAGAGCTTGTCCATTGACACTAATGGAGGAACAAAGTTGTGTAATAAAGGAAATTCACTGCGATATATATTAGAGAAGTGAATTACCTCACTGATATTGAAAATGTGTAAAATCTTTTTTACAAAACATTTTTATTTACATTTTTTAACCAGTAATGCTATAATTTGATACTTTCAGCATTGTGCAACTGGAGCCTGTCCTGATCGTTTTAATCATAGAGATAACAGTCACTGTCGTCAACATAATATTGTGCCTAGTGTACATGCCCACAGTCACAACCGTCATGCACACAATCCGCATACTGGACAACCTGCCTCTAATTCACATAATCATGACTACAGATTACAACATCCTTGTGTTGGTAAGTTAGAAAATTTTAATTTCTTTTTTACATTCTAGTTTATGGTGCCATAATGCCGTAACTCTTGTATATTGTTTTACGATTTTTTCAATATGTCAGTATCGATACCATTACTTACACAGCTGCAGCCTTTATCTTCCATAGTAACTATGGATGTTTAAAATAACGGTGATTTTGCACTGTATCAACCTTCTGTAAACTCAGATTATATAATAACCACCAATAACCACATGCTTTATAGTTTGTGCCAATGTTTTAATAGCAACCACTTTCCAGGCCTGTTATTAAAAATAAAATCTGCACACCCTGCCCTTAATCAGAATGGTCAGTATAAATTAACAAAAGAAGAGTGATCAGTGATGGGATTCACTGTATATTCCGGACATGTCCGACGCTATTTTCCAAATGTCCTAAATTGTCCGACCAGGAATATGCCCAATCGGACATCAAGACATGGTGAATAATATTCAAAATTCCAAAATTAATATAGTGTACTGAGTGTATAACTACCACTCAACCCGATTATCGTTGATAATAGGATGGATTGATTAGGTAATTAAGTGATCGACGTATTTATCGTGTTATACCGTCTGTACCCCTACCTTGATTAACTACTTAATCTGCCTTGATTGGCTGACTTAATCCTTTGTCGGACAATTCATCAACCTAATCCAGAACAGAAGTCATTGCTTCTCCTTTGTCGGACTATATATCAATCCAATATAAGAGTGATTATAAACTTAATCTACGTGATTAACTCATGATTTCTCCATTGTCGGACGTTTCAATCTCCTTGATGTCGGCCGACATCACGTAGGAATTAGTCATATATGTCACATATCCTAATTGTATACAACACCCCAAATCAATATACATTGTATCCAATAACTTGTTTGTGATATTTCTTCAATGGGAGCTGAAGTTAAATAAAGCTATTTTACACACATGCATGGCGGTTATAGTACAATAACTGAAATGAAATTAGAAATCTCGCGAGACACGTGAAATTAAGAGATGTAAACGTGCCGAATCTCATACGTCTGATGCCGGAGAAAAGATTCTATTTTGATGGCATATTCTAGGATTTATGTTATTTATGATCATATTTTGAATGGGTTTATGTTTTTAAATAACTAAACACGCTAAGAAATGTTGATGAATATTTCGATTGGAATAATATAAGTAGTTAATTGTTTTAGACGATAGGGCGTGCTAGAGTCGAATGCGATTATTTAGCAGCTGGTGTCACTTGTTGTGGTAGAGCAACGTTTACTGTCAAATAAATTTCGAGATGTCATTTTTTTACCTTCTGTATATAAGTTGAAACTGAGTATAAGACGAATGCCAGACTTCTGCTGAAAAATGTATCGACTTATGACCCGAAAAGTACGGTAATTTTGGAGGAATTTGAAATAAGTACAGATCGGCAGTAGTCGCACGCTTTCGTTCTATGGTATTATGATGTCACATAATTTTGTAGGAATATTATTGACATAAATTTGAATACCGTACGAGAAAAATAACGAGGTGCACCTATTTTTATACGCCCACATTGAACTGTTGTCATATATTGTCATCGCCCCCGGTGGTCCGGCGTCCACAATTGCTTGTGGATGCTTTAGAGGTCAAAGTTAATATCCGATTGACCTCAAATTTATACACAGTGTTTAAGGTCATGAAACGATTTCGATAATTACTGCCAGAGTTATGGCCGTTGATCACTTTGAAAAATCTTGTGGACGCTCTAGAGAATAAAGTTAATATCCGACTTTTAATTTATACATAGTGTTTAAGGTCGTGAGACGAAGAAGTCTATTATTTTCAGGGATTTTCGATAATTACTGCCAGAGTTATGGCTCTTGATCATTCAAAAAATCTTGTGGACGCTCTAGAGGCCAAAGTTAATATCCGATTGACTTTAAATTTATACACAGTGTTTAAGGTCATGAGATGAAGAAGCCTCTTGATTTTCACCGATTTCCAATAATTACTGCCAGAGTTATGGCCCTTGATCACTTTGAAAAATCTCGTGGACACTCTAGAGGCTAAAGTTAATATCCGATTGACTTTAAATTTATACATAGTGTTTTTAAGGTCATGAGACGAAAAAGTCTTTTTATTTTCAGTGATTTTCGATAATTACTGCCAGAGTTATGACCCTTGATCACTTCAAAAAATCTTTTAAATGCTCTAGAGGCTAGAGTTAATATCCAATTGACTTTAAATTTATACACAGTGTTTGAGGTCATGAAACAAAGAATCATATTGATTTTCAACGATTTCCGATAATTACTGCCAAAGTTATGGCCCTTGGTCACTTTGAAAAATCTTGTGACGCTCTAGAGGCTAAAGTTATCATCCGATTGACTTCAGATTGATACACAGAGTTTAAGATCTTGAGACAAACAAGTATATTGATTTTCAATGAACTTTTATAAAATGAACAGCTAAATCCATGATGTTAAAAGTTTCGTATACGAAACGTTAGCTTGGGGCAGAACTTTATAAAAACCAAACAAATTCTAATGGTTTTCTGATAATTACTTAATGAGTTGTTACTGTTGTCATAAAAATATGCGACAACTCTTGTTGACTGCCCGGACGATTTAGCTGCTGTGGGCGTGTGTTTCGTTGCCTGGCAACCTATCTTTAAGGCGAGCGATCGCTTTCACGCGCCTGCCGCTCACAATGAATGTAGACCGAGGCGAGTTTTTTTTTTGCCTCTCCTTAAAATCTAAAATCGCTCTCCTTTACAAAGTCATGGGGGGTTTATTATCATGTATGAATCCAGGAATGACCCCCTAACATGCTGTTATTGATCTTCAGAACCATTTCCAATACACACAACTAATCACTCTCCTTAATATCAGATCACTCTCCCTTTATTTCTAGATCAGTCTTCTTATCGAAACTGGGAGTGCTTTTTTAGGGGAGCGATTTTTTCAATTTGTTGATTAATGGGAGCTTTTTTCGGCCATCCTCTAAAATACAAACAACAACGACTGTTTTCTATTACGTATGAATTTGAATATTTGATTCTTAATTGTGGTTTGAACACGTCTGCTTAAATAACTATAAAAGTTATGGCCCTTTATTTTCGGGAAAAAATGTCCGATTAGAAAAATTTTGAAATCCCATCACTGAGAGTGAGACCTAAAATGAATTGCAGTCTCTGTGTACAGTGATCTGCTAACATCATGGATGTAGTTTGAGCACAAGGCCCAATGAACAAGGTTTCAAATAACCTCCAACATGGTGAAGCACTTTTGTATAAAATGGCATTTTTCTTGTGAATACCAAACATATACATTTTGAAATCCATTAGAAATTGAGGTTAATTTATTAGAGTTAGAGCAAAATAAATGAAGTAATGTACTATATTGTGTAGCTCCATTAGGATTTAAATATATCAAAATACAGCTTCTATCTTTATGCACTTTGGATCAGAAGGGCTGTCATTAAGTTTAATGCTGTAGTTTTGTACATGACAGGGAATTGGATCGCTTGTCCAACATCGTGGGTTTTAAGTTAACCGAGCCCTCCGGTTTCCTCCCACTACTAAAGACCCCTATGCACAGGCAAATTATTGAATTAAAATTGAAATGAAATGAAATGGGTTTAACGTCCTACTGTTCTGCTCCGAAGGGGCTAATGAAGACAGGCATGCGCCTTCCAACTACCAAGGGATCTTTTACGTGCATGCCAATGTATACATGGGACCTTGGATTTTCATACCATCCGAACGACTAGACAGCTGTCCTTGTGAGGTACTACACCTCTGACTGGCGACCATGTCAGAAAATTCTGATGAACTTTCTTGGCCAATGCACTGAATGCAGGGATCTAACACGCAACCTCCAGGCTAGGGAGCCTGGCTCCTGAAATAAAATTGAACCGTATGTTAGTTCCAAAATGACCTAGTTAATGTCGAAGGGACATTAAACCCCATTTTATCTCTCTCTCTCAATCTTTATATGAACAGACATCTTGTTTGATGAGTGGTCATTCTCCTGCTCCATCGCCTTTGCAAATGTCATCAGTAGAGTTTATATTTTCAAGCGCCCTACCCAAAAATTATTATTTCATTCATGTGATTACTATTATGGGAAAGTAGTTATTTTCACAAATTTTTATTTCAGGTTCTTGTAATCACGTTTCTCAAATACATCGACCATCTGCTCAGCCTCCTAGAGCACATATACATCATCATCATTATCATCCTGCCCCATTTACACCACCTCATGTAGCCATGCCAGCACATCCACGCCTGGTACATCAACACCAGCAGTCAGAAATGTCCTGTAATCATGTGGATCCATCAGCAAATGCTGCTATGTTTGGGGGACGAGATCCTATGTGTGGTCGCAATGATTCCATGCATCAACATCAAGCTGTGCCCGATACCATGGTCCTGCATCCCCAGCCTCGACCTCTTCCCGATCCGATGAGCTTACATGCTCAAACCAGACCATCATGTATGATGACATCGCAACACTCCCAAGTGCCCCTTTCACATTCTGATGTGTTAATGCAGAGGTAAGATTTGATATATTTTTAAAGGTAGAGTACACACAGTAATATATGTTTTAGTTGTCCGCCGCCTTTAGAAGAAAGCAGTTGACTATTACAATGGGTCTGTTTGTCACACTTTTTGGGACAAAATAACTCTCTCTAATTAAACTAGAATGTTCAAACTTGTTGTCAGTGTTTATTTGATGAATGCCTTGATGGAGTTCGATGATGAACATTGTCTTCTTACGGTTAAAGCCTTGATGGAGTTCGATGATGAACATTGGCTGCTTACGGTAAGCAGAGATAAGCAATTTGATTGGTCAAGACTTTGGAACACGATAACTTTGGTTCTAACTGGGGAAGAGTGACAAAACTCAGAGTATAGATTCATCATTTCAATACCTTGACTAAGTTTGATGATGAGAATTTTCTGTTGTGGCTAAGTAGCGATAAGCAATTTGGAACATAACAACGCTGCTTTTAATTGAGGTAGAATGTTTAAACATGGTGTGGATGTTCATTAGGTGAATGTCTTGACTAAGTTAATGATTAACATTTTCTGCTAAAGCTAAGCAGAGCTAGACATTTTCATTAGTCGATGCTTTTGGACAAGATAACTTTGATTCTAACTTATGGAGATTGAAGAAACTTAGTGTAGAGTTTCACTGCCATGTACTTCAAAAACTTGACTGAGTTTAATTGTGAACATCTTCTGCTAAGACTAAGTATAGCTGATTAGTTTGATTGCTTGATACTTTTGAAAAAGATAAATGTGCAATTAATTAATATGTGTCATCTATATATTTTGGGATTTTGGCGGGGGACATCAGTCTCACTGTTGGCTTGTTATATTCAAGATGGTTGATGTAAAAGTGTTGGTATTCATCATCATAAAATTTATATTTATATAGTGCAGCATCAGAGATCTGTTTTCATATTTGGCCCGAAGAAAAGATTAAATAAACAGTAAAAAAGGAATTGTTTCCATCAGACATGGCTTAAAACGTTTTTGGTGTAAATGTTGTAACAAAAACAAAAGCAATGGGTTAATTATTATGGATCTCCATTATTCAGTGAATATTTTTGTTAATGGTATTGACCATTAGAGTATATTTTCTATCATTTGAACCACAAATAAACAAAACGGAGAACTGTGATGATTGTACACACTGATTTCTTTCTTTTGTCCAGTATGTGGTCTAAGGGGAGATTATTCAATGTAATTATCTCCCTTGTTTAATTGGGAAAGAGGCGTGGTAATATTTAAATCAATGAAACTGAACTGGTTATTGATATAGAATCAGATTATTTAAGGAATTGTTCGTTATTAGGAGAGATTTGAAAAATGCAACATTCACTTTGACAAGTGTGTAGGCATGACTATCCAGGGACTTTGGGATGACATGGAATTTGAGGACTCTATGTGAACCATGTATGGAAATTTAGCTTCAGATAGTTCAGTACAATATTAACACATTTGATTCACTAAGATACATCTGGCATGACTTATTCAAGACATGTTTTGTTTTTTTTAAGTTTCAATTTTTGTTTCATAAATATGAATAACAAACTTTTCTTTTTAGTGGAACTAGTCAACCTGGTCCATCACCAACTCCTACACCTAATCTTCAACACCAGCATCTTCATCATCACCTTTATCATTATCATCTAAACCCTTCTAGACTTAACCCATTTTGGCCTATGAGACTTACACCTTTCATGGTAAGTTAATACCTATATATTCAAAATTTATTGTAGCAGTCTGTACCTGTACAAGTGCCTAAATTGAAGGTACAACCACATCTTGCCCTTCATGAAGGTCAGCAGAAAATTGCATCAACTCAAGTTTCGACATATACCTTAGTGAGAGAATAAAAACCCCACACAATTCGATCAATTTTGCCAATATTTTCATAAAGTAGCATTTGTAAAGTAGCATTCGAATACATAAATAAATGTTATATTTTGTTTACAGCCACCAATGCCAGAAATGCCACCATTCCCTCCCCTCCCAACTTTTGCTCACCTGCCAAGAAATATGCAAATGAGACTTGGTGGTGTGGTTATCCACAGTCCTGCTTTTGAGGTTAGTTCTATTTAACAATCTAGCATGTAAAATGATTTGACTGATTGAATGTTAAACTATAACAAATACCAATGGAAGAACAAGCAATAATTTATTTTGGAGACCTTGCTTGAAAATACTGGGAGAATGCTTCTGAAAATGGCACCAAAATAAATAAGCAATTATTTCCCATAAGTTTGTGTTACGGTTTATTGCTCTATGAACTTACTAAATGCCTTCAAAGGATTACTTATTGAATGGTAAGCCAATTCCTATAAAAATTCCTCTACCTCAGATTTATCAGTAAAATCAAAAGAGAAAAGTGGACATATGGTAAAATATCTTAAATAAGTATTTTGTAAATTTATTTCAGTATTTTGATGGTAGAGGTGGAAATGTCAATCGTGGTGCTACACAAGCTGTTATTGAACAGAATACATTACCACATAAATATAAAAAGGTAAATAAACTTTTAACCTCTAGGAGGTCAAACTCATTGATCAAATATAAAAAACAGAGGGTAAATATACATGTATTGTATGTAACAACCTTTCTTTCTTAATGCGATGCAGAGATGCAGATAATATGTATGGTTAGGGTGTCTCTTAGTTAACCAAGTATTGTTTTTCTACGTGTATATATTTTCTCATTATATTTTATCAATGCTTGATACAAACTAGAGAAGTCTAGTCGAAACATCGCTCGTTAATGAGCAGTACCGTATTTTGTCGGGGTATAGGTTGATACTTTTTTTCCGCGGAAGTCAGGCCTTTGTCTTATACTCCACATCGACTTATATATGGATGAAGATAAAAAAAACAAAACTCTCAGTTCCCAACTGTTACTGTCGAGTGACATCATCTGCTAAATAATAGCACTCATACGGTAATGTCAGTCTTTTGCTATGGTCTAAAACTACTTATGGTATTCCAATACAAATACTTGTTGACATTTCTAAATATATGTAACTTTTAAGATTTTATTTAAAAACATAACTCGCATTCAAAATATAATCACAAAAGCTAGAAAATTCCATCAAAATAGAATCTTTCTTCCGACATTATTCATGTGGAAATGTTCACGTTGCCATTTCTCGTAATTTCTCATGTCAAGCCAGAGTTCTACTTTCACCCTGTATAACCAGTTAAACATGAGCATGTATCATTATAACATCCAAAATGACTCAGTTGTGTAGATTCCAATTCTCAAAATTGACACCAACCTGACAATGCCATTCTCAGCCTCTTTAGTTATTTCCACATACACACATCATTGAAGAACGGGGTTCTTAATCCATTTTGAAACGAACTGGCCAGAATTGGGTCAAATGAGGTCCCGGTAGGAAATAGGTTAATTATAAGCTTCCATTCCCTTTAATATAACCAGGGGTGTGCCTAATAGCCTAATACATAATGTTAAGCAAATCTATGCTTTTTCTTTGTCAACATCCTAGTCTGAAGTTGATGATGTCAACATTTTTCATGCAAAAAAGATGGCGTTTTGTTATCGATAAAGTTTTCTGTGGGCAGCGGAAGTGACATAATTTTGCCCAAATTCGAACGTCTTTTCGCAAGTAGATATTAATTTTTACAAATTTGATAGATTAGGAAAGAATGCCCCTATGACAGGCGCAAAAAATGTCTAACTCAATTTTTAAAATTTTGGATTTGTGTTTGCACCATTTTGATTTTAAAGGTGAAAAATTAATACTGCTTTTTATACGCCCACATGGAAATGTGGTCGTATATTGCCGTCGCCCCCGTCCGTTGGTCCGTCCGTCCATCGTCCACAATTTCTTGTGAACACTCTACAGACTACATTTATCATCCGATTGTTTTGAAATTGATATATGTTGTTTGCTTTGGTGAGATGAAGAAGCCTATTTAATTTCAATAACTTCCGTTAATTTCTTCTGGAGTTATGGCCCTTGTTTCACTTTGTTGCACCTTGTGAACGCTCTAACGGCAAAAGTTATCAACTGATCTGTATGCAATTTATATGCATCATTTAAATTAGTAAAACAAAGAAGCCTATTGAATTTCAGCAATTTCCGTTAATTACATCTAGAGTTATGGCCCTTGTTTCACTTTGTTGAATCTTGTGAACGCTCTAATGACAACAGTTATCATCCGATCTGTTTGAAGTTGATATGCATCATTTAAATTAGTGAAATGAAAAAGTCTATTGCATTTCAGCAATTTCCGTTAAGCCTATTGAGTTTCAGCAAATTTCTGTTAATTACGTCTAGAGTTATGGTCCTTCTTTAACTTTGTTGAATCTTGTGAACGCTTGAACGACAAAAGTTATCACCTAATCTGTATGAAATTCATATGCATCATTTAAATTAGTGAAATGAAGAAGCCTATTGAATGTCAGCAATTTCCGTCAATTACGTCTAGAGTTTGACCCTTGATTTACTTGATTGAACTTTGTGAACGTTCGAACGACAAAATTTATCATCCGATCTGTTGTATTTAATAAATATGCATTATTTGAATTAGTAAAACGAAAAAGCCTGTCGAATTTGAACAATTTCTGTAGATTACTTCTAGAGTTACGGCCATTGTTTTAGTTTTTAGGACCTTGTGAACCCTCAAACGACGAAAATTATAATGTCATCTGTATGAAATTGTCTATTAAATTCCCCTAATACCTACAAAAGAATAAATATGTGACAACCCTTGTCGACTGCTCGGACGATTTAGCTGCTGTGGGTGTATATTTTGTTGCCTGGCAACCTGCCTTTTCCCTTTTGCAAAACTATTCTTTCTTTTCTTTTGCCATTACGCGTAGATCTCAGAAACTGTAAGAAGCGATAGATTTTTCCTCATGAAAGTTGTCAACAGTTAGCATTTATGAGTTAGACGTTAAACCCCATTTCATTTCTAATTACTCTTTGAGTTTCAACCTAAACTATAATTACGACTACAATTTTGACTTTGATTTTGAAATTAATATCTATTCCGATTCCAGTTTTGACCATAATTTTGGTGTATCTTTGATTACAACATCGATTTCTAATGTCAACTCTAATTACGCCTTGGGCTACTACTGAGATTTCGACGTAAACTCTCATTACGCATAAAAGTGATATCCATTTGGATTCCAGTTTTGAACATGACTTTGGTGTGACAACAACTTTTCTTTTTCAGCGTGGTCGACAATGACTTAAGTTTTTTTCGGTGTTTTAACTCTAATTACTTCTTCGGTTTCAAACTTAACCTCGATTACAAAATGTCGTCAAGAATGCTATTTGAGCTCAAAAGACAACAACTTTTCTTTTTCAGCGGTGTCGACCACAACTTAACATTTTCCGCGTAAACTTCGGTTTCAAACTTAACCTTGATTACAAAATGTCGTTAAGAATGCTATTTGAGCTCACTGTGAACTTTCGGTGTGTTGAAAGCCTTCCAGAGGAGATCTTGTTAAAGTTTGTTTTTATTTCTGTTTAAAGATAAAACGATGTCCTGAGAATGAAGAAAATGATCAACAAGAGAAATGTACTATCTGTTTAAGTGAATTTGAAGATGGGGAAGATGTCAGGTATTTATTTAAGAAATTTATATCATACTTTATCTGTATGATGATCAAGAACTTTTTGACTTGTTTGCAAATTTAATTTGAATTTATTTTGATGTTTTGTAAGAGTACTGTTTTCATAAATCTGTCTTTTTTCTTAAAATTCTCAGCGAAATTATTAATTTTTCTCCAGTCAGAGCGGGACTACCGGTCAATCCTCTTACATAATACTTGGCATTGTTGTAAAGCGACGAATCTCTAGTTTATAAATATGTCCAAATTATTGCCAATGAATTCATATTAAACGAATACAAATGAGTTTTAAAACCTCTACAAAACATGAACAAACTCCGCTTGTTGCTATGCAGTCCACACAATTCATTTGCTGAGGCTCAAGCTGACGATAGAAATTTGATATTGGCGATAATTTTTTGGGGTACATACGATTCTTTCTGAGAAGTGGCATAAAAACCCTTAAAATTCTCATTGTGTATAGATTGCCAATGTGTGATAACCAAAACCATGTGGTGGAATATCAATAATCCAAAACCATTTGGCGGAATACCAGTACTTTAAATTAATCAACAAGCGGATTAATGATTAGTTGAATGATAATTGCAAGTCAACAAACCATTATTCCGAATAATCAATCCAAGTGGTGATTATTTCTTGTTTCGTCTATATAGGCCTAAAAGGAAATAAACAAAAAGACCAATAATTTTCTTTTGAAAGAGAATTTTATTGATAGCTGAATTCCATTTACTCTCGCAGCATGTAAAGTATAAAAAGCATGCATAATTGAATATTATTGTTTCAAATTGTAATATCACCATGGGTCGGAGTAATGAAAACAAGCAACGACTCGAAAAGCGACGATTCCTGAGTTCGCCATTATTTGTGTCATTACATCGCTGCCAAAATGCATGATAGTGAAATTAAGCACTTCTTAAAAATTAAATTGAATTTTCTATCAGGAATTCATATTTTGATACCGTTATGGTACCTGAAAATAACAATATACCTACTGTACACGCAAAACCTTATTGTAATTCAGTCGTGTGACGAAGTTAACAGAACACGCGTACAGTTGTGGCAGCTTCTTTGATGATCAAGAAACCCAATCAACAATCTTAATCTGCTGCCCACTGCTAATTAATTGACAAACTTAACTGAAGTTTTTATCACCAAAGTTATAATATACAAAACATAGATTACTAATGTATGGACTATTCTCATTTGATCTGACATAGGAAATGTGAACATGCCGCATGTGTTGTGGATGGTTTGCGTGAGATAGATATTCTAGTTGGCAGGAAAAGTATATAACAAATGTCAGATCAAATTTTTACTACGATTTTCTTCTTCGGCACCTCCGAAAACCTACAGAAAAAAATATTATTAAACAACAAAATAGCAAATAAATGGCATGGTTGCTATGTGATTTTGTTTTGTAACATACCAACATCTTTAACTTGCTTTTTCTCAAAACTTACTTTCCTTGCTTGGGCAGCTTAAAACTGACACAGCTGAGTCCGATTTAAACAGCCATACATCATTTGTGAGAACGTGAGAATAACAATAACTCAATTTTCAAAATTTTCTCATTGCGACTCAGTTTGCCAGCATGGGTCACATATTTGTCAACATCCTCAGAGATATGGTCAAAACAAACCAAAACCACCTATGATGCTCCATAAAACCTTTTGATGAGCTCCATTTTATACGTCAACATTGAAATGTGGTCGTATATTGTCGTCGCCCCCGTCGGTCCTTCCAGTGTCCATAATTGCTTGTGGACACTAAAGTTAGAGGCTAAAATTAATATCCGATTTACTTTAGATTTATACACAGTGTTTAAGGTCATGAGATGAAGAACCCTATTCATTTTCATTGATTTCCGACAATTACTGCCAGAGTTATGGCCCTTGATCACTTTGAAAAATCTTGTGGACGCACTAATATGCTAAAGTTAATATCCGATTAACTTTAATTTTATACATAGTGTTTAAGGTCATGAGATGAAGAATCCTATTGATTTTCAATGATTTCCGATAAGTACTTTCAGAGTTATGGCCCATGATCACTTTGAAATATCTGGTGAATGCTCTAGACGCTTAAGTTAATATCTGATTGGCTTTACATTTATACACAGTGTTTAAGGTCATGAGTCGAAGAAGTCTTTTGATTTTCAACGATTTCTTATAATTACTGCCAGAGTTATGACCCTTAATCACTTTGAAATATCTTGTGGGTGCCAGATATTAACTTTAAATTTTTAAGGTCATGAGACGAAGAATCATATTGATTTTCAACAATATCCAATAATTACTGCCAGAGTTATGGCCCTTGATCACTTCGAAAAATCTTGTAGAAACTCTTAAGAGGCTAAAATTAATATCCAATTGACTTTAAATTTAACAGTGTTTAAGGTCATCAGACGAAGAAACCTATAGATTTTCACCGATTTCTGATAATTACTGCCAGAGTTATGGCCCTTGATCACTTTGAAAAATCTTATGGACGCTTTAGAGGTTAATGTTAATAATATTTAATAAATTCCGATTGACTTTATATTTATACATTGTTTAAGGTCATGAGACAAAGATGTCTATCAATTTTCAATGATTTACGATGATTGTGGCAATTCATATTAAATGTTTTGTATGCTAAATGTTAGAATAGGGCAGTACAAGAAGCCAAATGGGTTGTTACTTGTAATCAGATTTTAGTGTGTTGTAAATGTTTAAATTTCTGACAAAAGAAAAAATACAAGACAACCATTGTTGACTCCCTGGATGACTTAGCTGCTGTGGGTGTATGTTTCATTGCCTGGCAACCTATCTTTTAATCTCATTGAATCACATTTGGGAGATAAGTATATTTTAGTGTGGATTTTGCTGTAAAAAAATCAGATATTGTCCGAAAAATAATAATTGCTGCTTTAAAACAACACATTTTTAAGGTCTGGTCTATTTCAAGAACCTTACACATTTTCCTTTTTGTTGCAGACGTCTACCCTGTATGCACCTCTTCCATATTGAATGTGTTGATCAATGGCTGTGTACCAATAAGAAGTGCCCTATTTGTCGTGTGGATATAGAAGCAGGCTCTAAAGATCGGTTATCTGCTGATTAACACAATAATTATTAATATATTTTTATCTACCTGATTATTCTTTTGCTCAGTAGCTTTATTATTATTATTATGAATATTATTATTAAAATGTATATCAAAGCATCCCTTTATATTATAAGTAGGCCTAAAGCTTATTGTGTTTGCCTCTATCTTTCATGTCAAAATTCGGGAAAATATGTTGACTTCATAATCAAACTATATATCATTTTACTTGTATTTTTTCTCAGTCAAATTTACTTAGGTTTTTAAACCTGGCACAAGGAAATATTATTCTTTAGAAACCTAAATTTGTTAAAGAAATATTAGCACTATGGATATCTTTGCTGGGTAATTTTGGATTTGCAAGCAACATTGGAGTATTCAAATTTGACTGCACCCAAATTTGAGACACAATCTGCCCAATTATTGATGAGATATCTATAGATGTTTGTTTCATAATACACATTATAGCTTGTGGTATATTTTTGTTTTTTACTTGTAGACATGTTAATAAGATTAACTTCATTTATATTCTTGTTGAAATTAATAATAGAGTAGCTTCTTAAGTTTAAGTTGATTTATGCTAAGTTTTATAGAATAAGTACCCAGGTAATCAAATGATTGCCTTATTAAAAGGCATAAATTTAATCTTCAAGTTGACATGTTAATCCTCTCCAAGAAGAAGCTTTGAGTTTAATTTTGTGTGTTAACACTTATTTACTTATTAAACAAATTTCTAGCTGTGATTGCTTTCTTCTCTCAAGGGATTCTTTTTGTTTATGTTACTGGGTACTGACTTTATTCTTTGACTTTTAAAACCATTCATGTGAAATAATTCATGTAATTTGGTTAAGAATATAGTGCATGCAGATAATTGTTCTACATTAAACAACTAATGGTATTGGCAAGATTTATATCTGTATGACATAATACATTGTTCTTGGTGTATTGTACAGCTGGACACGGTTAAACCTCTCTATTCATTTCATCTCCACAGATTAGAAGATGTATTCATTCATCTCTTCATTATGTAATAATAATCATATCTCTATCACCATTACATATATTTGGGAATCCACTTTTGTGTACACATTCTTTACATGATGAATTTGGTTATCGGGGGTCATTTACTTAATAATAATAATAATTGTTTTCTATAGCGCTGAACATTCATATTGATAATAATATTCATTTGAATTCACATATATATACTGTATCGTCACATAAGATACTGAATAATTTGGTATCAATAATATTATAGATGTCAGTATAAATGCTCAATTAACCTAAGACATAGCTTTCTTGTGAATTGCAATAAAGTATTAGGAATTTATTCTTTTTCTCTTATGCACCCCAGCTTTTAATTTTTAAATCAAAATCTTTCAGGAATAGATCTGATTAAAACTGCAAGAGAAATGTTAGATAGCTACTCAACATCTCACATAAATAGTCTAAAAAGCTTACCCTACCTCATGCATGAAATTGGTCACTGTTATTTTTAGAGAAATAGAGCTCTTCAGTTTCTAATACACAATATTTTTTATATTTAGCTTGAATTAAAAATTCTTAAACCTTATAATTCTGTGTTATTCTTAGGTGAATTCTCCAATTAAGTCGTTGATATATATCCCAAATAAAAAGCAGATACTAATATGGTAATTTGTAAGTTATGCATGTTATAGATATTTATTGTGTTTTTAGAAGTGATCTTATTGATTAAGATCAATAAGAGTATAATTGTATATATTTTAATATATTTATTTGTTCACCATTGTTGTATAATTAAGAACACAGATTACCTACCATATATATTATGTATCTACAGTTTTAAAATGTGTATCTTATAAAGACAGAAACGAAATTAATTTGCCATTATTAATATTGATAGATAATTTTTACATTATTAACTCAAAGAGGTATGAAATATTTTTGTCATATTCTTATCTCATTAATTGATTCGTAAATTAAATATTGTCCTTTTTTGCCTACCATTTCTCATGGCCTGGGTTTAACTTTTGAAATCAGCATGGTTGTTGTGTTAGTTTATTGTTTATTTTTGTTTATATATATATCATTATATATATATATTTAGCACTCACACAGAATTTGTATGAAGAATTTTTAAATGTTTATTATGGAAAAAAACAAATAAACATATTCTCTAGTTGACTCCTAATCAGCTGTGATAGTCTTATATGTAGCCTTAATTGATTAATCCATTAGTCTTGTGTTGGTTAATCAACTGTCATGTTCAATATGTAACAGGTATACATATGTATGTAGTATATATATATATATATTATAGTATATAAATAGATATATTTTACTTATGTTGATCAGTATAAAGTCATTTAGGTACAATTAATGTAATTTTAATCACACTGCCCCCTTGTGTTATTCTCATCTCGTCTCTTGTTGTATATCATAAAAGTTTAAAGTATTGATGCCTTCATGTATAATTCTAGAATATTAATTGTAGGTTAAAGATTGACAATGTTTTTTGGTGTAATAGTGTAAAAATCTTGTTAATTATAAAGAGCTAAATATATATATCATATGTCAGTAAGTACTTGTATTTATATTTTTACACACTTATTTTTTTTTTTTTTCATTGTATAAAATCTATTTTGTGGTATTTTAACTACAAAGGTACACAGTTATCTTTTTAAGATAAAAAAAAAGAAAAATATTTAAATAAATTGTATCATGTATAGTAATTGCATTTAAGAGGTACATAACCATTCTTTTTGAACAATCAGTTAGCGATAGATAGAAGGCTGAGGATTAAATATTTATTTAAGTTAATATAAAGGTAAAGTTTATATTAAAAATTCTTGAGGAAAGTAAGTAAATTGCACTATATTTTAACAAAAAATGTATCTTATCACCATTCTCTGTGACTAATCATTAAACACCTTTGTAAATGAAATAATTCAAGGATTTAATGATTATTTAACATAGTTCTCCAATTACCTACCTAGGTGTTTTGATGAGCAGGATTGGGTTTCCGAGAAAGTCTTATCCCATATACCTGTCAAGTTTAAATAACCTTTTTTACAGAAATATCTTAAAACAATTTATTAAAATAGTTTCTTAAAATAGTTTCAGGGAGTGAAATGAACATCACAATATATATTAAGTTGTTCTTGGCATTTTGATTGATGTGACCTGTTTGGATTTCTTTTTACAATAATTTGTATAGTCAACGGTTGCATATTCTATGAAATTTTTATTTCTGTTGTCATTCAAAATGTCATGATATTCTGACAACAAAATGTGGTCATAAAAATTATAAATGTATGTTAAATAATATAGAAAGTTAGGATTGTGGTGATAAAGTTTTGTCATATTAAAGAAACTTTTACTGTAGGATATGGTGTATTATTCATATCTATGAGATTATGAATCTTTTTTTTCTCTATATTTGATGTGTAGAGTTTAAGTTGATATTACAGGTCAACATGTTATTTTATATAGTAACCAGGAAGTTATCATGTTTTTTTTTTACTTAATTTAACTACTGGTGTAAGGTTTTTATTCTGGAACTGTTATTACTACATTTATTAAATAAAATACACACTTGTTTTGATTGAAGAATGGATTGTGTGAAATGTTGGTAATTTGTTTGCATTTGTTTTGAATTGATTAATGGTTTGGGCATTGATTTTTACCATAAAATAGAAAACTGGACACATGTTAAAGAAACCTATTCATTTTTATTCGGTTTAGATTGGAACTTGTTAACATTTGATTGATTTTTGATTTTTTCACTAAATTTATGGGATTTGTGTACTATCTTGTTGCATTTTATTCAGTTTGATTGCAAATTTATTTACTTTAGGCTTTTACAAAACAGTGCAAGTATTATATGAGGTATATTAGCAACTAAAAATACAGAATTTATTATCATTGTTAAGCTTTATGTTAAAAGGTGGTTTTTAATTGGTATTATCTATTATATATTTACATGATATGGTTTCTCTTGAGTAGATTCAAAGATAATTTAATACCATTATTATTATTATTATTAATATTCAATTTTCCTAACAATGTATCTCAAAATATTGGAACCAAATTTCTTTTCAGAAGCCTTTACTAAATGAGAATGTCTTCTACAAACATATTTTAAAATGGCTAGACCTCTTTGATTTGGGTAAAGGATAAAATTGTTGATTTAATTTATTAAATTTAATGTGTTCATTTGTTTTGACAGTTGGACAGCTCTACCTTTAGAATTGTTCAACATCAAGCCAACTTTGAAATATAACTAATTTTGTGTTCAACAATTGAAAGATTATGCCAAAAAATTAAACTTAAATTAGCAAACAAAACAACTTTCTGTCAATCTTTCAGAAGGAAAATTGAACCTGTTCTGTCATTAATGGAAATAACTTATATAACCCAATTCAACACATAAGTTTGACCTAATTCAAAGAGGTTTAGTGCCTTTAAAGATGCATTATTTAAGGTTTAGATTAAAAAGCTGTCAGTTCTTGCTATAATAGTCCTAAATACATAATTCAAACTTAATGTATTGAAAATTTCATTCAAATTACATTATTCTGATCGAGGTTATCACTGTTTGAAGTTTTGACAAGATGTGTCATAGATTGGTTATTATTATAGCAACGTTACTTGTTAATCAAGACAGCTCGCTTCTCCATTTTTAAATAAATTCATTAAATGGCAATCGTATTTCAATTGGTTTACATCTCGGCCATCTGATGCTCTAGAGAGTTGATTATAGGCTTGTCATGTGAATAAATGTCTAAATAATAATTTAAAGATACATTATGGTAGATTAGATAAAGAGCTGCCAGTTCTCACGCTAATAGTTAAAAACTAGATAATGTAAAGGGAATTTGCTGAAATTTTCAGTCAAATTGATCCGTTCTGAACCAAGATTTTAGCGATTGAATTTTTGTCCTAGCCTCCATCAATCTGTACTAAAGTTGGTACGTTAAAAAAACATAGTCTCAATTATCAATTTTATGATTCAATCATGAATGGAAGTCGAACAGCAAATCGGAACCTAATCCAATAAACATTGCAGGCTAGCGATGACATCAAAAGTTGATTATGATCTGGATAATTTAATTAATGTCTAATTAATAATTTAGATAACATTTCAGGCCTAAAGAAAGACCTGCAATAGGCAGATTTAGCTCTTGCATAATGTATGTTTAACATTTGAAGCCAAAATAAAGAACTGCTATAGGCAGAATTAGCTCTTACATAATGCATCTTTAAGTAACATGCACAATGATTGTATATAAATAACAAACATTATTTCTTAGTTTTCTATATTCTTGTCGCCAAAACTATATTGTAAATTCAAAATTTGAAAGGGGGGGAACAAATAATTATTATTACAATATTAGAACATATTGCACTCTAGTCATTATGGAATAGAGCATGAATTTCATTTAATCAGTTGAGATTCCTTGTCAATTTAACAGCAATTTAAATTAACATATGCTCTCATATGTAACTTAATTATTTGACATCAAAATTTTGATTATAATCACAACACTGATTATTAAATTTGCATACACTATTCTATCTGAAGTAACTTAGTAATAGTAACTGTATTCCAGAGTTTTGAGATAATAAAATCCTTGGGAAAGATTTAGATTTGTTTGTTTGATGTGACTGGTTATACCTTTCATTTTATATCTTAATGCAGTGGTTCTCAACCCTTTTTTTGCCAAAGGCAGGTACACCTTGGAACACATGAAAAAAAAGCTTCACACCTGGCTAAATATATATAAAAAATATTTGAAATTTTTGCTAAATAAAAACAATGTAAGTCAGACAGAATACATCCATAAACAGAGACTAGTCATAGACACATAGAATGACTCAAACACAGCTATGAACTTATCAGTGGGATCACAAGGATTTTCACATTTTCTTTTGTGTGTCGTTCAAAATTTTGCCGTACACTTAAGAAGATCTCGAGGCACACTGGTTGGGAATCAGTCTTAATGTATGTAATGGGGTATAATGTTCACTCGGCACAAGCTAATTTATTTTGGAACTAACATAATATGGTTCAATTTTATTTCAATAATTTGCTTGCACGTAGGGGTCTTTAGCTGTAACAGGAAACAAGAGAAAACCCACAAGGTTAGACAGGCTACTCACACAGAGTGGGGAATTGATAATTCAAGATGTCAAAGGTATGAAATGGGGTTTAATGTCCTACTGATGCGCTTATGATGTCAAAGAAAAAAAAACGTTCGTAGTAAGGGCATCTTATCCAATGTCTCATAGAGATGTGGGTTGTTTTGGGTGGGATAACAACCCCTCAAAAAGTAATTAAAGTGTGAGATGACATCTCTCTTGAATGAGAGGCCACGAGAGGCAACAAACCAACATATGTACAAAGAATATTTCAAAAACATAAATATGAAGATATACTATGTACATGTAGTTGATATTGTCACCACCCCTGTGCATCTACCCCTTGTTAACATTGCATCTGGATGCCTGGATGCCGTAGCTAGAGGCTAAAGTTCTCATCCAAAATGACTTCAAATTAACACCAAGAAGTCTATTACAGTCAAAGTTACTGTCCTTTGTCAATTAGTAAAAGCTTAGGGATGCTCTTGAGGCTAAAATGATTGACTTGTTATTTATACACAGTGTTAATTTTTTGGGATGATTTTAATGACTTTCAATAACTGGAACACCTAAAGATATCCGAATACCAGTAGATTTTTTTTATAGTAAATATAATAAATGTTAGAACTGGAATTGAGATTTTAACTATTTGTATTTCTGATAATTCCTGGGTCGATTTGTACTCTTAATCAGTGTTTAATGTCTTGTTAATGTCTCCATTACCTACAAAATAATAAATATTATGCAACATGTGTTGGCTGCCCTGACAACATAGCTGTTACGGGGATATGTTTCGTTGTCTGGCAGACTATCTTGTACCTATTTGCGAGAATCGTAGCACCATCCTAAAAAAAGCTACCACAAAACTAGCCTTATAGTTTGTCGTTCCTGCTGTAGACTTTAAACCTTAATAAATAGGTTACACCCTCTTGCTACATTCTGTATACTATCCACAATAAATCAATGATCCTTTGTTGATCCTTTCAAATAATAAATAATATAATCTACGTATATTGGTGTGTATGGATCAAGGCGTTCCTATACAATATGGGATAAAGTTGTGTTTGACCGATTAGTCCTTTACAACATGACATTATAACAGACAACATCCAATAGGAAAATAGCGGTTTTATATTTCAATACACATATTATATTTATGTCTTGCGTTATTGAGGGGAAAATGACTGTACGTTAGGGCTCCAGTGTGGTCACCTAAAGCTTTGACGTTCAGATGGTGAGAACAAATCGCCCAATTTAACAAGCCAACAGGGAGGCTGATGCACCCCCCCCCCCCCCCCCAAAAAAAGATGACACATATTAATAGCACATTTATTTTTTTCAAAAGTATCGAGCAAACAAATAACTACACTAAGTTTCATCACACTCTATCAGATAGAATCAAATTTATCTGGTCCCAAAAGCATCGACCAATGAAATTGCTTAGCTCTGCTTAGCTTTAGCTCGAAATGTTAATCATTGAACCAAATGAACATCTACATCAAGTTTAAACATTCTACCTCAATTAAAAGCAGAGTCGTTATGTTCCAAAGTATTGACCAATCAAATTGCTTATCTCTCTGCTTATTCTCATCGTCGAACTTAGTCAAGGTAATAATAATGAATCTATACTCGAAGTTTCGTCACTCTTACTTAATTCAAACCAAAGTTATCATGCCCCAAAGCATCAACCAACCAGATTGCTTATCTCTGCTTACGGTAAGCAGACAATGTATCATCCAACACCATCAAGGCATTCACCTAATGAACGCCCAAACCAAGTTTGAACATTCTAGTTATATCTCAATAAGAAGGAGAGATATTGTGTTCCAAAATCTCGACCAATCAAATTGCTTATCGCTCTGCTTACCCTCAGCAGAAAATGCTCATTAGTCAAGGTGATAAAACTTTACACCAAGCGTCCTCACCCTCACTTAATTAGAACTAAAGTTATCGTGTCCCAATTTAAAGTATCAACCAATCAAATTGCTTATCTAAGCTTACCCTAAGCAGAAAATGCTCATCTTCGAACTCCATCAAGGCATTCACCTAACAAACATCTAGGCCAAGTGTGAACATTCTAGCTAAATTTGAATGAGAGTTATTCTGTTCCAAAGTCTCTACCAATCAAATTGCTTATAGCTCTGCTTACCCTGAGCAGAAAATGCTCATTATCGAACTTAGTCAAGGTATTGATGTAATGGAACTATCCACCAAATTTCATTGCTCTCACTTAATTAGAACTAAAGTCACCGTGTCCCAAAGCATCAACCAATCAAATCGCTTATCTCTGCTTACACTAAGCAGAAAATATTCATCTTCGAACTCCATCAAGGCATTGACCTAATAAACAGCTACACCAAGTTTGAACATTCTAGCTCAATTAGAAGGAGGGTTATTGTGTCCCAAAAAGTGTGACGGACGGACGGACAGACGAACCCATTTTAATAGTCCCCTATTTTCTTCAAAAGGCGGGGACAAAAAACAAAAAAACAAAAAAACGCTAACAATAAAAGAAAAAAAAAATACAGATTGAATGTCACTTTTATATAAAACAAACCTATAGATCTACTTACGTTTATATATATATATGAATAAACTCTGACAATATATCTTTTATAAAAAGCACCTAAGATATAAAATATTGCCCTTAGTCATTAATCTATTTATCTCATAGTCAAATCATGACATTCTCGTCTAAATATAAAATATACATTAACACTGTTTGGTGGTGTGATACAAGGACAGGTTTATTACTTATTGAAGGATATGTAGAGCGGGAAAGAAACATAGACTATATAATGGGGCGTGTTTGTGTGCGGAGGGTGTGCAGGAGATTATGTATTTTAAACTAAAAATTGTACAGACTTTGCACACACAACAATATTGAATTCAACAACCATTGTCCAATTTCGAAAGTCAATATAAAAGGTTTAGTATTTTGACGAACTTTTCCACCCTTATCATCACAAACTCACGAATGTTTGCAATTGTCCATCTCACTGACAGATATTTTTATAAAGTTATTTTCGTGTCATCTTTTAAATATTATGGATGGGAACGGGGTTGGCTTGTACATTACAAACTACATTTTATATTGATTGATGCAGAATAAAATTAGTTGAACTGAGATGGAATGAGAATAACAGGAAACTATATTGTCGTGCCATGTCGGTGATGACAATAACACTCTTGCTGGCTTGACAGCTCCAGAAAATAAATAATAGCCTTATTCTAAGTATTAGATGTTTATGTGTCATACCTGTTGTGTAAATTATCCATTACATCGTATTTTACTTGTCCAGAGAGTTCGAAAATATTTTTAAATCCAAGTCACATTTGAAAAGGTTTACGTTAGGCTTTTCAAATCATTTAGTTGAATTTTTCCATTTTTTTAAATTAGGTGTGTTAAGATGAAATTTGTATCATCAATTCATTGGAATATTGTAAAATAGTACAATTTGTTGACTAGAATAAAGATTGGAACATATTATTCAGTTACAACAGGAGTGGTATTGAGCCTTTAACATCAAAAACAGTTCTTTATATACTATTCAAAAAAAGTAGGGGATATTTGATTTTGGGGGCATAATACTAAAATATGCAAATGACTACGAAAAAAGTCACTATAGAACCTAACAGAAGAAACATTTCCAGTTACATGTGACGCCCAAACGCACCAATAGCTACCGCATGGAATGCATGTGATGCTTGGGATCATCATGGGGGTCCAACCCAAGATTTGCACGACTCTGACTTTGAATGTTACAGTCATTGTGGCATTGAATTCCAGGGTGGAAACATCAGTTTAATTGTTTTAGTGACCAGAAAACAAATTTTGATATGCGTCGGCTTACCCAAAATGAAAGGTTACGTGCCCTTGGCATGCTACAGATCGGCACAACACAGGCGGTTGTGGCGCGGACGATGAATGTTTCTCAGTCTGTCATAAGCAGGCTATGGTCCAGATACCGTGATACACAATCTGTACAGGACAGACCACGCTCAGGTCGACAACTCAAGCCCAGGATCGATTTATCCGTACCTTGGCCTTGAGAAATCGTGTCATCACAGCAAATCAGATCAGCGCTCGTCTTCAAACAGACACTGGTGTGAGAGTGAGTGGCCAGACGATTCGGAATCGACTGCATAGGGGTCACCTTCGCGCCCGACGTCCTCGCGTGATCCCTTGTTTGAGAGATCATCACATTCAGGCAAGACGTCGTTGGTGTAGGGATCGTCAACACTGGGATAATCGACGCTGGAGCAATATGATGTTTTCAGATGAGTCAAGGTTCACTGTTGATTTTTTGGACAGACGTAGGAGGGTGTGGCGTCGTCGAAACGAGCGCTTCCAAGACGTTAACGTCATCAGACATGATCGATTTGGGGGTGGTTCTGTTATGGTGTGGGGAGGCATCACTGTTGCTGGAAGAACGGCTTTACATGTTGTTGCAGGGCGTGTTACAGGCCAGTACTACCGGGACAACATCTTGGCAGTCCATGTTGTGCCGTTCGCACGACGTCATGGCCGCCGTTTCATCTTCCAGGATGACAACGCAAGATGTCACAGGGCCAGGATCGTTACAGGTTACCTCCAACAACAGAACATCACCACATTACCTTGGCCAGCACTGAGTCCCGACTTCTCCCCCATCGAGCATGTCTGGGACATGCTTGGACAGAGGTTACGTCAACGTCAACAACGTCCTGCCAATGTCCAAGAACTTGCTGCTGCGTTGCAACAGGAATGGGACAATCTGGACCAAAATGACCTTAGACGTCTCATTAGGAGTATACCACGTCGGATCAACAGAGGAGGATTTACCCGTTACTGACTTGGTTGTGATGCTGTGGTAACTTTGCTGTTTGACCCCGGGTATCATTTTACCCTTATAATGGTCAGTCTGTGCCTTACTTAGTCTAACGATCATTTGGAATAAATCGATGAATGTGAACTTCATTTCATTTTGTCATTTGTTTCTTCGTCAGTTTCATTAGGTGACTTTAATAACACTTAAAAATCAAATATCCCCTACTTTTTTTGAATAGTATATATGGCGCTCTTGATTAGCACCTATGTTTAGTTTGACTATTGGATAACCCATCCTTTGGGTTCAATAACCTGCCAAGAAAATACCTTATAATATTCGTTCTGGAATGTATTGGCTGGTCGTTAATCCCCTTTATCTAGGTTTTTACCAAAATAAAAATAGACAATAAAATGAAATGAAACGGGGTTTTGTCCTACTACTTTTCTGCACCAACCGGGATAATAAAGACGGGCGTACTATGTCGAATGCAGTGTGCTATGGGGGGAATTTTGCCAGTAGGCCAACAGTGGCGTTTACGACTTACTCTTCACCAACTTTCCAGGACTTTCACAATTGGCAAGAGGAAAACGGGCTCGAAAATCGAGAGGACCTTTCTCGGGGAACACCGGGATCCAAACCTGCAATGAAAAGCTATTTGACTTTTAATGTGGGATAATCCGGTAAAATCCCGATCTAAAAACTGTTATTGTAGCCGATTCAATGCCTTCAGTTTTTAATACGTACCGGCAGGTACCCTCAGCTGTCCTGGCGCAATTTTGAAGTCATTTAAAATTGACGGGTGCCCACACTGATCCGCAGTGAATATTTGCTAGGCTACTATTAGAAGACTTTCGTGATAGGCCTACTCTGTGAAACAGATTGGAGTAGGCCTATTTATATATAGGCCTATAGTCGCCTTCACATTTTCATAATTTAGAAACTTCACAAAAATATTACATTATTAAGTTTCAGCGGCAGCTACAATATTGTATCCACGTCCTGTCTTTTATGCGCAGCTACAACTGATCATATAGATAATACCGTACGGTATTATCTATGATTCATGAACTGATGTAGGATTCGAGGCTTTGCGCAAGTAAAATTTTTAAGTTCAGTTGCAAATTTTCAACACATATCATCACAGTTTGCATGGAAATAAGTAATTATGTTACAATTAGCCTTAAAACAACTATAACTTCTTCTGCGGTTTCAGAATCCCGCCATTTCAAAGATATTGGACACATAAGGTTGACGTCGGGGTTGTATGGACTATGCGCCTATCACTCCTCATTAATTTGTTTCAAATTTTAGTCTATACCGGTACCTTCACAATTATTTAAAATACAATTAAATTAAACAAAGATACAATTTACAAATCTGGTATGACAATGTCTGATTTGTACATGGACTGGAGGATTTGTAAAACAAATGCTGATTTTAAATTTTAGTAGGCTATAGCCTAATACTATATATAGGCCTAGTAATAATAAGAATTATTAAGGACTATGAATTAAGAACTATTAAGAATTAAGAACACTGAATAAAGAGCTGCTTGGTCTTCCATACTTCACATGTTATATTCGAAGGAATATTTCCTAAAAGCGAACTATTCAACCTCACCGATAAGAAAAGGTCTGGATCATCGAAATTGACTACCTTTAAATTCGAGTCTAATCATTTCCTTTTATTTTGATCCGGAGTCACGATTCATGACGTCATTTTAAGGTCACAGTCATGCGCTGTACGAAATATTCAGTGTACAAACATCAGAGGATGTCTCATGAAAATATCACCATTTAAATGTCTTTTATTTTAAAAATATATTGTATTAGTACCTGATATTTTTGTAAATAATACAGCCTTCCACCGTCTTTCACAGTAGTAACCGTAAAAACTCAGGGAGTGTAGGAAAATGGGAGTAAAAGAATGGTTTGTCTTGACTCTTGTAATGTCACTGGGAGGTAAGCCTAAATAATGAAATCCTGTTGAACTCAAGTTGAAACAACTTGTTATTGAGATTGGAAACGAATTCTTATAGAAAGATACAATTTCGATGAGTAGTGATATTTTTGTTGTAGTTCGATAAATTACATTTGTACACGACAGCACAACAGTTCACTAAACACAAATCAATGCCAATATTGATAATTTTATTTTTTGATTGATGCTTGATCATCTTGTTGATAATATTGATAATGCAAATGATAGGCCTAACTAAATTTTGCCTTGGGTCCGGTAGGTCAGTGACAATGTATTTATTTCTTAATTATAAGAATTGGGTAATAGATAATTTGTTGTTTTTTTTATAGTACATATCGATCAGTTGACAGGAGTTGTTTAAGAATAGATAGAGAAGAGAAAATGTATGTTATTATTGGATGATGTCACTGATTTTACCTGTCATTAAAATTGACATTGTCTATGTCTGAAAGATATATTATAGTTTTGACCTCTTTATTGCCTATAGGCCAGTATATTTATACAGACATAGATCGTTAAGCAAGTACGGTAGTAATTTGGAGGATTCAGCAAGTGCAGTCCCATTAAAAAATTCCAGTTCGTCTCCTCCAAAAAATGAACCTTTTCAGCTGGAGTACATGTAGCTACGATACGAAAACGTAGCTAAACATGTTGAGATATTTACCCAGGAAAATCCAAGAAATTGAGTATAGTTTTCACATGTATTTATATTATGATATGCTGCATGTAATTCATATTTAAAATCATCCATGATTCTTTATGAATGTAGAAAAGAGCGGTACAAATATCTTCAAATGTAATACATTTAATAATACATACATGTACTGATTTACCTCCCTTAAATCTGAAATCAATTGTTTTTAATTGTTATTTTGGATGGAAACTAACAACGGATTAATTACCGTGGGTGCAACATGACATTTGTCACAAGACCCCTTACTTCTAAATCAAGTACTGCCTTCGAAACAAACTCAGAATGCGTTATTCTGCAAAATCTTATTTTATAACCGTTTTGAATAACATCTAAAATAAATAAATTTGTTCCGATATATTCTCAAAAATGTACATTTTTATGAAGTCGTCCCATAACCAGAATTTGAGCCTGCCCCTGTTTGTACTCAAAATATTCTTGAGTAAGTGAAAAGCGAGAAAAATTTTGAAAAGTTTAGTTTATGCATATTGAATACCAGATCTGTCCGAAATAAAACTGATGAACTGAATGAATATGTTTCTAATAATGATGTGGATTTATTTATTGCTACTCAGTACCGTGGATTTGCTGTGAAGACACAGTTATCATCAACAAATTAGTTCCTACTAACTTTGACTCTATATTTGAAAATACACGTAGGAAACATTCTAAAGGAGGTGCAATTGCCTGTCTTTTCAAAAAATCTGTACAAGTTTCCTGAGTAACCACAAAAAACTTATTTTCTACTTACAATTAATTTACTCATTGGCAATAAGCATGTAAGAATAATTTCAGTATATCGCTCTACTTCAACACATGTTATGGATTTCCTGACAGAATTTTCTGAACTGTTCAATAATCTGAATACTGGACCTGGACATTTACTAATTCTTGGTGATTTCAATCTTCAAGTTGATAAAGTCAACGATTCGAACATTAAGAAATGTTTACTATTGTTAGACTCATTTAGTTTAAAACAGCATGTGGATGTGCCAACCCATAGACATAATCCCATTCTTGATCTTGTGATAACGAGAGAACATGATTCCATTATTCAGTCATGTGACATTGTTGATCATCAGATATCTGATAACTACAGTTTATTCTGCGATCTTTTGTTTTCTAAACTTGAACCAATAAAGAGGACAATAAGTTTCAGAAAATCAAAAAACATTCCTAATGATAAATTTAGAAGCGATATTAATAATTCATTACTTCTGAGTTCCATTTCCACCAAGCCGGATACCTACCCACCATCAAGTGGATGTTTACAATGACATTCTTTCCGAGATACTGGAAAAACATGCCACACTTTTTTGTTAATATTTAGTCTCTAAATTTGACAAAACAAACCCAACGCCCAGCCTTCTTTGCCTCTTGTCATGTTACAGTCATTGCAGCTATTTCATATTTCATTCTCTTCATTTTAAAAAGTTCCATATCAATGAAAGCAGGAATGTGGACATATATTGCAGCGTTAGCGATGCTGTAGTTTGAAATGTTCAAATTTTGAAGTGATATCTCCTTAACAACTCTTTGTCTTGACAGGAGTTATCAATGAGCAGAAAATTGATTGTGTATACCGTATCTGTCATTGCTCTCTACTTCAGCAAGTAAGGAAATGTTTTCCTTTTTTTGTGTCAATTGCCGATTCTTCGAATCTTTGTTACGAATCAACAATGGTAAAGATCTTTGTTAAAAATTACATGTTTATTTGGAATGTGTTCAACTAGTTCTATCACATGTAACATAGGTGGACACTAATCGAGTCCTTCAAGACTGTATTAATATGAATTTCATTGAAATCCCCCACATGCCAGAATAAAAGTTAGAGTTTTAAGACCATACATAGTGTAACTTTGGTTTTATTTTAGAAAACAAAACATTTTGGTCTTAATATTATTCAAATTGCTCAAAGTTATGTCCTTTTAAGTTTACATTGGTGTCTGTTCTTTTTCTAACTTATATTCTGAGCTTACCTAATGATATTTATGCTGTTTTTCAGGCCACAGGCAGTAGGTTATATTATACCCCTCTGATGTCAAAAGCAGCTGCTTCAGAAAAAAAGTTTCAAGGGAGTCAGTTCCTGAACTTCCATAATAATTTTTGACTTTATCAATCAATCAATAGCTGGTTCACCTAAATTACTTTTAAAAAACCCCAAAAACAACCTGATGTATGTAATTTGATGGTAATCAAAACAAACCTAGAATACTAGAGTATAGAGACTTAGTCTACTAATCTAAGTAATATTATAGTTTAACTGATCAATCCTTTTAAGTTATTATCTTGTGCCGAAAAAAGTTAAGGAAGGGATATTGAAATGATCTCCATCCTTCTGTCCCTATTATGTTTACAATCTTTGTACACACATCTTGTGCCATTTTCTAATTAGAAATTTGCTGGATATAAATTATAATAATTTCTGTTTTTCCATAGAAATAGATTGGATGTTTTTTGTATACACGCATGGGTTCGGAATGTTAATGACCTGTGTTCTTGTTTTATCTTGAAATATGAAAGACGATTCACTTGGTTGAACTTGTGAAGAGAATCACACTCTATTGAACATACAATCTAACTTACCTACATTGTCCATTACAGGCTGTACTAAAACTAAAGGGCCAACCTGATAATAGATAATCATAATTAAGAATTTAAAAAAAAATGTATACTATTTTAATACTTTTATTATTTTTTGATAAAACAAATCCAAAAACAAAAATCCTGCAGTAAGAACCCCGAATGGTAAAATTATTTAGAAATGTAGGTGCTTATAAGTTCCAAAAAGTATTTTTTAAAGTTACAATTTCATATTCTCTAAGAAAGTCAAAACAATTATTTCTATGTCTTTTGCTCAATAGGTTGTCAACTCACTATTATACGATCGATCATAGGTTATCTTTCTCACACTTAAAAATCTTCACACTGGAAATAATAACACAATTACCTCCCTTGTTTTCCTATTCCCCACCGTGGATAGCTATCTTCAAACGTTTGAATTTGAAGCTGAAAACAGGGGCGTACATAACGATTTTGTTTGGGGGGGTGTTTAGCCAAAATGCGACCGACTGATGCCCATACCCCTAGTACGAGTGACGCAGTCAGGAACCGAGCACCACAGGTGCCAGTTTTGTAGGGGCCATGAGCAGTAGCGGATCTAGATGGGGTGGGGGTGGGGGCCAAATCTAGGGCGCCACCCCAGCCACAATCCAACCCCACAATGAATGTCAACAAAATACTGACAATAACATTAAGCGTTCCAGTAGAACATAGATGGTATTGTATAATTATATAGTTGTTTGCCGATCGTTGTCTCGCTGGAAAGCAGTTTTATTTAAGTTGACATAAAGTTTATGTCATATATGATTGTGCCTTTAACACTGAGCAACCTGAGAAAATTTTGAAAAATTGAGTCAATATCTTGGCATTTGAGGTCATTGCTGGGAGAAATTCTTGTGGACGAGAGGACCAGAAATGTGAGTCAATTGGACAAAATCTCAAGATCTGCCCCCTGTCAATTCCGCCTGTTTTGCAAGAGTTGACAGAACTTTTGTATAGTCTGACGCCCCACGACCCACACACCAGTGCCAATGGTACTACTAACATAACTAGGCAGTTCAGTATAACCGTGAATATGATAGTGCTGAGACAGTATAAGACGACAGAGGAGTGGAAGAATGATGTTATAATTGAATCGAGCGCCTCAGACGCGAAAAATTTTTAGATGTGTAACCGAGCTTTTAATTTTTGGGACTGGGCCTGACAATTTTAGTCAATGTCATGGCAAATGGATCCAAATTCTCGTTAACGAGAGGATAAGAAATGGGACAGAATCTTCAGGCCTATCTGTCAATGTCGCCTGTTTTGTGAGAGTAGAACTAACAATTCTAAAGTCTTTTGACCCACGACTCACTCACTAGTGGTACTACTAACTGGGTGATTCACTGTAACTGTGAATATGATAGTGATGAGATAGTATAAGACAGAGAAGGAGTTGAAGAATGATGGCATAATGGAATTGAGCGCCGATATGTAACTGAGCTTTTAATTTTTGAGGACAGGACCTGAGGGCACTTTACCTCAATGGGGCGCTTACTTGGTCTCTGAAATGCCCTGGACTTTGGGGAGATATTTTGCAGAATTCTAATGGTCAGAAAACACCCCATTAATTCATTTAGTCTGAGACGGCCTGTGGTGAGCACTTTTTTTTTGAGACCGATTATTTTTTTGCCATGGGGTGAAAAACATTTTTTTCAAACATGATAAGTCGACAAGGTTATTTTATACTAAAGTTTTGCGTGAGTAGAGTGACGTGTGCAGTGAGCACTTATTTTGATACCGACTGCTCATATCTTAAGACCGACTGCACTGATTTTGCGACCGACTAGTATTTGGGATCTATTCTGGCATTATTTGTTTACCTCATTAATTCATTAAGACGGCGATGCATAATTTTGAGACCGACTGCAGTGACTGCACTTATTTTGAGACCGACTATTTTTCTCCCTGGGGGAAATTTTGTTCTTAGACCTACATACTCACAACAGAATAAGAGTGAAACACATTAAGTTGACAAAGTTATTTTATACTAAAGTTTTGCGTGGGTAGTGAATTATAGGATTAATAGGATTATTCTTTAACAAAGTAGGACTGTTTATAGATACCATCTATTTTAGGGCTTTATTTTAATACATTTTAAAAATATAACTTAAAGTTATTTCATATTTTTAATAAGACTAACATCACTAACAATGCTTGTGAAATTATTTTACTTGTAAGTTGTATTCTGTCATGTTGTCCCTTCACATGAACCCAGTCATTGTATAGACATTTAAAAAGCATATTTAATAATAGTAATACTTATTTATACAATGGATGATATAAATTTGCTTGTAAGAATTTACAGAAAAAGAAAACTTCCATGGTAGTGGTTCCTCTCATATCTTGTGAATGCTCTATCGATAAAAGTCATCATCCGATCAGATTAGTGAATCAAACTACATGTAGCCTATTGAATTTTAATTAATTTCCATTAATCAGGAGTTGAGACCTTTGTTCACTTTGTAGAATTGTGACTTGTGTGAAAGTATGTATTGTTCAAATTTGAGAAGCAAAGGAATTTATTGAAGTGTTCAGAATCATTCATACTGTTAAAAGTTGTCTACAATTCCTAGTGACACACTTTTGTCATTTACAATTTGTAACCTCTTTAAGATTTTGTTACCACCACTAGAATTGGAGAACTGATAGCATTTGAAAATTTGTCCAATTCATATAAATACTTTTTGTACAAATGGTTGGCACAGGTTCAGTAATAAATTACATTTGGTAGTACATGTACTCTTACCATTTTGATTTAATTTTGCCATTATGCGATAATACCATGATAAAAATGTGTTTTTAAGGGTTCAATTGTAAGTCGACAGAAGCCCATCTGAAAGCCTGTACAAACCAGAGTTTTTGTTATGATTTTGCCATTTGTATAAATTAGAGATCATAGACAAAGCCTAGTCCTAGATTAGTGTTACATTTTTGGATACATATGTATGTTTAATTGCCTGGCAGTTGAAGTTTCATATTTTTTTGAGATACCATTACTAGGTAGTGTGGTGCAACTGGTGCATTGATCTTATATTTGACTTCTGCATAAGATCAAAGAAATGAATAATATATTATGGAAGATTAGATACAGAGCTGGCCGTTATCATTATAATAGTTCAAAACTAGATGATGTTATTGTTACCACTGTCACGATAATTAACTGATTATCCATTTTTATTCGCCCACATGGAAATGTGGTCGTATATTGCCGTCGCCCCTGTCCGTCCGTCTGTCGGTCCGTCCGTCCGTCCGTCATCCACAATTTCTTGTGAACACTCTACAGACTACATTTATCATCTGATTGTTTTGAATTTGATATATATTGTTTGCATTAGTGAGATGAAGAAACCTATTTAATTTCACGAACTTCCGTTAATTTCTTCTGGAGTAATGGCCCTTGTTTCACTTTATTGCACCTTGTGAACGCTGTAATGACAAAAGTTATCAACCGATCTATATGAAATTTGTATGCATCATTTAAATTAGTAAAACAAAGAAGCCTATTGAATTTCAGCAATTTTCGTTAATTACATCTAGATTTATGGCCCTTGTTTCACTTTGTTGAATCATGTGAATGCTCTAATGACAACAGTTATCATCCGATCTGTTTGAAATTGATATGCATCATTTAAATTAGTGAAACGAAGAAGCCTATTGAATTTCAGCAATTTCCGTTAATTATGCCCAGAGTTATTTCCCTTGTTTCACTTTGTTGTACCTTGTGAATGCTCTAACCACAAAAGTTATTTTCCGATCTGTATGTAATTTATATGCATCATTTAAATTAGTAAAACAAAGAAGCCTATTGAATTTCAGCAATTTCTATTTATTACATGTAGAGTATGGTCCTTGTTTCACTTTGTTGAATCTTGTGAACGCTCTAATGACAACAGTTATCATCCGATCTGTTTGAAATTGATATGCATCATTTAAATTAGTTCAACGAAGAATTCTATTGAATTTCAGCAATTTCCGTTTATTATGCCCTGAGTTATAGCCCTTGTTTCACTTTGTTGTAATACTTTCAAAAGTCCCTGAGCATGATTTGAGTGATATAGTAATTCCTTCCAAAGATATGATCAACAGAAATTCCATTGATCTATGCTGCTCCATATGTAAATTTTACACTTTAATATTTCTCTCTTCTCGCTTCTTTTTATTGACAGAATTGTCAACAACACTGTTCAACATTTATTTGAAGTTGAACATACTATTCCATTTTGCGATCTATGGTAGGCTAATTGGCAGTATTGTGTAATGATGTCATATGACACCATCGTGTTTTACTGAATCTAATTGATTGGCCTGTTTTTAATCCGATTGAATCCAAGGTTATCTAGTGTTGATATTAACTAAGGTGTGAGAAATTTGATATTTTACAAAACATATGAATCATGCACTGTTACTTTAATGTTATATAAAACATAAAGATTATGTATTTCTTGTAGAATTCATTATATATTATATATTTAAAGTACATGTACATTGAGTTGTATGTACATACATGACACAATACAGGTATATAAAAGCTGTTTACATTGTAACTGTTACTTTAATGTTATATAAAACATAAAGATTATGTATTTCTTGTAGAATTCATTATATAATATATATTTAAAGTACATGTACATTGAGTTGTATGTACATACATGACACAATACAGGTATATAAAAGCTGTTTACATTGTAATTAGATCATTTTCAGTTGGATGAGTCATCTATGTTATCCAAATTTACTTGCTGAAATTTGGGTCACTCTGATTGATTGCATAATTGCGTCTTACGAAACAATTTAAGTGTCTTGTGCAGATTCGCTGAATATATTGAATTTAATTCCATATAATTTAAACAAGCTACATATTTATTGAAATCAACATATTATTAGCATCTTTAACAATAGGTTGATTGTTATTGGCAACAGATATAATTTTAACATTCACTTGTTTTTACCTTCTTCAGAACAGTAGGACGTTAAACTCCATTTCATTTCATTTCATTTGTTACCTTCTTTTAAAGGGCAAATCCCCTTTGTTCATTGTTCAAATCGGGATAGTCCCTTTAAGTTTAAGCTAATTGAAACATTTTCAATGAATGAAGCCCTTTAGAGGATTTTACTCGTTATTTAATCAGCTTTTTGATCAACGAAAACACAGAAAAACATAGACAATCCATAATATAATAATACTAAAAACATAATACATCAAGACAAAATGATCACTATCAAGTGTTCCTGGCAGTGCCTTTGTCCGTGCAAAATTTCCCTCATAGCACACTGTATGGTGTATGCCCGTCTTCATTAGCCCAGTTCGGAGCAAAACAGTAGGACGTTAAACCCCATTTCATTTCATTTCTCTCTCTGCCTTGTGCATTGTGCATGACACCTGTCAAAACTTGAAGCAAAAAAGTCTAAAATAAATCAGTCATTGAAATTGCGAACAAATTTCTTCTTTCTTCCAGATTTTCATAAGTTAGATGACTATATACATCATTATGAACCATTAAATTATGATATTGCTGGTTTTCATAACAACCATCAACGAGTTAAAAGGTCCCTTGAACCACATCTTTACTTGAAGTTCAAAGCTTATAATAGGTAAGTTCATCCAGTGACTTATATAATCTCACTAAAAAAAGTGTCTGTGATATTTCCTAGTAGATTGTTTCATTGTTGACCTTTAGATGAAGTAGAGGAAGAAAAGTGGACAAAGTAAAAATCTTGATATATGATACTGATAGTACTCTACTGTAAAATGATACCATTTATAACCAGGGTTAATATTATTATATTAACAGGTAGACTTCATTAAACATAAACATTTTAATGATCAATAAAATGTTTTGTTCTATGTCTGTATGTATTTAAAACATTGTAAACATCTTCACAAGATTATTTTAACTACGCTTAAATATACATTATGGGAGATTCGGTAACGAGTTGGCAGTTCTCACTATAATAGTTAAAAACTAGATAATGTAAAGGCAATTTGGTGAAAATTTCATTCAAATTGATCCACTATGAACCGAGAACTAAGCGACTGAAATTCCCATAATCCTCGGTCTTTCATTACTAAAGTCAGTACGATAAACAGCATAGTCTCGATTATCCATTTAATCGTTTAATCGAGAAGGAAAGTTATGCAGTAAATCAGCTTACAATCCACTAAAGATCGCAGGCTAGTGCTGCCATCTAGAGTTGATTATGGCTTGGATAGGTTAATTAATGTCTAATTAATAATTTAGATAACATTTCAGGCCTAAAGAAAGATCTGAAATAGGCAGATTTAGCTCTTGCATAATGTATGTTTAATTATGTGTGCAGTTATTTTAAAGTGAGAGTACCAGCAGGAATTTATGATTAGGTTTATTATAGACATTTTATTGTGCATTTTGAAGAGAAATAACCAATTTCTAATAAGGTGTTTAGAACCTTTTGCGGTGTTTGTAAACACATGTACACTACAATATTGTGTGGGATTGAGAAAGAAAACCCCCAGAAAATACAGATTTATATCTTATCAAACATGGCATCACACAGATTGTAAGCTTATTCACACACATGCAGCTGAATTTTGAATTTGTCAGTCATTATATACCTCCATTAATGAATTGCGAATAACATTGAATGTTTATCATGATATAATAGTCATTTAGGATATGTTGTTCTCTTTCAACTACAGATAAAAAAAACCCCATCAGTTCCACTCATCATACCCTCCTTCTAAAGTGTAATTGCATTTTTAAGTTGTCCCCCGTGTCCCGTCGGTCCGTCAACAATTGGCCTGCTAACGTGATAGAGACTATAATTTTTAACAAATTTTTTTTTCAAATATAGAGTGAAGCATTCAGGTCTGGTTCTTGTTGTTCTTCAAGTACGATCGACATGGAACATGGCATGCTTGTTTAGTGGACAATTGTGCATGGATTGACAGGCTTTGGTTCTTGATCCATAATGCGTTGATTAGTTGGCGTATTTCCATGCTTTGCATTGCTATCTTTGTTTTATACAGTGTATCTTATACGTAACATGTACTATTATCTATATTAGAATTAAAGAACTGTATTTTGTTTTTCAGGTTTTTTAATCTCAAATTGAAAAAAGATGAGACTATATTTAGTGATAAGCATATGCATAGAGATACAGATGGTACAGAGTCCCCTATAGATACATCCTTTATATACCATGGTTCGTTACAAGGTCGGTCAAATATAAAAGTGAAAGTTTGTTTGGGTGTTTGACTGTGTGTTAGATGTTCGCTATAGGAAACCAAACAGTTTGATTTATATATTTTAAAATAACCATTATTTGCAAGTGATTTAATTGTGCTATTTATTTTGTATTTGGTGCAATATTTAATGATGAAATTGACAATTAATTATTATTGACAATTCTGTCCGGCATGATAGGGAGAAAGATAGAAAACACCTTTTTGCAATATTGGGTTGTGGGAGTTAACCATCTTGAACAAGATGTTTTCACTCTTGAGATGTAAAGAGAGAGAGTTTATAGGTGTATAGGCCATTTAATTTTTACTTGGCTTTTTACTAAATTTCATGTAAATGGTTACTCGTAAAGGTATTTCCCTTCAATGTGCCTACATTTATATTTCATGTAGCACATAGCCAATCATCACTCACAGTAGTATTATACAACGTTTGGGAAATATTTCCTTATTGTTAGATTGTTTTTCATTTTGATTGAAGTCTGTATCACTACAGGTCCGGGACTGTACAGTGCAGTGGACCCTTACGGCTAGCCCCCGGATCTATTTACTTTATCTGATATGTGTGTTTGTTGTTTGTGATGTCTGTATACTGTGTCTTGTCCGTAGATTTGTCTTTTATACGGTATTTGTTTGTGTGTGATGCAGCACCCTGCACTTACTATACAATAACCAGTTTTTTTTCGGTGCTTTTTATTTTGTACTAGCAGGATACCCGGCTTCGCTCGGGGGTCATAACTCCGAAACCGGAAGTGGTAGACTAATGCCACCTGGCCTATGTTACTCCCCGGTCCGAGCTACCCCTATACCCCAAATTTCAGACTCGAGGCAGACCTAGTGTAGCCGCCAACCCCGAACAGACCGGCTTCGCTCGGGGGTCATAACTCCGAAACCGGAAGTGGTAGACTAACGCCACCTGGCCTATGTTACTCCCCAAATTTCAGACTCGGGCAGACCTAGTGTAGCAGCCAACCTCGAACAGACTTTGCTCGGGGTTCATAACTCCGAAACCGGAAGTGGTAGACTAACGCCACCTAGCCTATGTTACTCCCCGGTCCGAGCTACCCCTATACCCCAAATTTCAGACTCGGGGCAGATGTAGCCGCCAACCCCGAACAGACAGACTTTGCTCGAAGGTCATAACTCCAAAACCGGAAGTGGTAGACTAACGCCACCTGGCCTATGTTACTCCCCGGTCCGAGCTACCCCAAATTTCAGACTCGGGACAGACCTAGTGTAGCCGCCAACCCCGAACAGACCGACTTCGCTCGTGGGTCATAACTCCGAAACCGGAAGTGGTAGACTAATGCCACCTGGCCTATGTTACTCCCCAGTCCAAGCTACCCCTATACCCCAAATTTCAGACTCGGGGCAGACCTAGTGTAGCCGCCAACCCCGAACAGACAGACAGACAGACAAACGACAGTCACAAATATATATATAGATTTGGTGCAATATCGAATTATTTTGCATTGTTATACACATTTTATGTACGGTACCATGATCCCAAACATATTTATATTCCTTGATTCATTATATGAGTCCACTGGTTCATCATATAAATTTTTGGAATCTAGAATTTTCTCAGGAGTTTTTGTTCAGTATAAAAGGTTTGAAAGTTTATGATTCTGAGTGATTATGTGTTTCAGATATGCCTTCCAGTTATGCCCATATAGCTGTTATAAATGGTACTGCTCGTGGGTTTATTAATATACCTGGCGATACTACATACCATATAGATCCTGCTGCACAGTATATACATAATCCTTCATATCATTCAGTTATATATGCAGAAAAACATATGGACTTAGATCCTTACAAGTAAGTTCAGTTTCACAGAAAGTTTGATTAATTATTATGAACATGTGATCTACAATGAAAGATTGTCCCTTGCTGGCTGTAGACAGCAATAAATTTTTACTGTCATTCTTAACAATTTGATGTCCAGTAGACCATGAAGTAGAAATGGACATCAAAACATAGACAAAACAAGTGTTTCAAGTTTAGCACAGTGAGATACATATATGTAGCACCTATAAAGGCCAATGTCAAAAATATTTAATAAACCTGACACTTCCATAACTTTCCCTTTCAATAAAATATCAGAAATATGATTGCGACCTGAAAGTCTGAAAATTACTGACACTGTTTCTTGGAATCTTTTTCTTTTCTATGACATTCTTTAATTTTTTTTTTAAACAGACTTCGTAGAGAAGCAGAAAAAATGGCAGGATCATGTGCACTGGAGCAAGCTAGAGAGTGGATGACAAAAACAGTTGAATCTGCTACATATAAACCTAATAGAGCTAAACGGGTAAGTGACTTTCTTAAAGATACATTCCCGTGTACAAACTGGGTGATTTGATGATATATTTGGCCTAAAAACATATTCAAACTAATTAATTTATCATAAATTTGCTTCAAATCCTTCTCAAGCCTGTCTGTAGGGGTTTATTTTTAATAAGAACCGGCGGCGAGATATTATCCTTCTGACAGTTCGTTTGGTCTCTTAAATGAACTGTGAAATTGACCTTGGGGTTAAAGGACTCGATAGCCAGGGGACGTAACCAGCAAACGCAGTCTTTGTAGTCACTGGAAAATGGAGACAAACATAACAGAAGCGTAGGGTAAACAGGTCAAGCCTAATAATAGTTTGTGCGGGATTCATTGAATTGTTCCGTTACATATATATTGTTTTATTTTGAATTATAAAAACATATTGAAAAGGTGTTTTTTTATTCTAGTGGACGAACTTGTGAACTCCTCTGAGTCCTCGGACACATAAAGCTAATTATTAGTATTTTTTGCCGATGCATCGATAATACAAAAAAGGACCGAGAATCGAATCGGCGTCAGCACTACTTGATATCAGCACTACTAGTGTCTGTATTTATTCCATTATAACGAGATTTAGATAGTTGCGCAGTACTAGGATAAAATTTGTCAAGAGCCTTTCACACCAAATTAACCAGTTTTATTTGGTAACATATATCTGGGATTTCCTATTTAATTGTCATCTCACTGATTCCGGAAAGACGGTTTGGGATAAACCTTGCCAAAATAGTTAATATTCTGATACCCATGGTTTTTTTTGTGACTTTAATTTCACATCTGTGGTTTTGTATTCTTACTGTTTATTCATTTGTTTATCAAATATATTTTATATTTACAGCATGCAGAGAGTCGTCCACACGATTTATATTCTAAAGAGAGTAATATAGGTGTTTTAAAACGGGTTAAACGTAAAAATCTACTAGATAAAAATACATGTTATCTTTATTTACGATCTGATCCCATGATGTGGAAGTATGTAAAAGAACAGAAATATAAATCTCAAACATTAGTAAGTTTCTTTTCAGTTTTTGTTCCACTTCTATTATAATATCCTATATATACCGATGGAGCCACAGTGGCTAAATGAGTAAGATACTGGCTTGCTAGCGCTGGAGGTCATGGGTTTACACCAGACGTTGGCCGAGAAAGTTCATCAGGATTTTCTGGTGTGGTTTCCCCTTGTCAGTGGTGCACAATGGAGGGCCTGACAAGGGCAGCTGTCTAATCATTTGTATGGTCCGAAAAAACGAAGTCCTGTATAAGTGTAGGCCACAGCGCTGCTGTCCAGGCAAAATTTCCCACATAGCACACTGTATGGTGTATGCCCGTCTTCATTAGGTCTGTCTGAGCAGAACGGTAGGATGTTAAACCCCATTTCATTTCATTTCCTATATACTGAGACAAATTGATAAAGTATTACAAACCATGTGGTGAATATTAATATAGCTTACTGTTGACATCCCAGATACAACTTCTATAACCCCACTGATTTGAGTATATCTACAAGCAATGGGTAAAGCTGAAATTATTGCAGTATTTTCTATTTAAAATTTCCAAATGCAGTCATTGTGTGTAATTTGATTGGACCAGTAATCCTCTCTACTGTAACTTTTGACCTCCGCTCACAGACTGCACTGTGTTTACGTCTACTGATTGACAGAATAGCCGATGTCTTCGTTATTTTACTTTATTGATATAATTATTGATATTTTCAGTTCAATAGATGAACTTAATAATAGTTAGTAGATGTCACGCTCAGAATAAAAGGATATGAGAAATGAGTGATTTTTTATTTAAAAATGTTTTATATTATAAAATTCTTGGTAACCTCATTAAAGATTCTTTTTGTGCCCTGCCTTTCGAAGAAAGCAGGGGACTATTAAAATGGGTTTGTCCATCTGTCCGTCACACTTTTTCGGACACAATAACTCTCTTTCTAATTGAGCTAGAATGTTCAAACTTGGTGTAGGTGTTAATTAGGTCAGTACCTTGATGGATTTCAAAGATGAACATTTTCTGCTTAGGGTAAGCAGAGATAAGCAATTTGATTGGTTGATGTGTTGGGACACGATAACTTTAGTTCTAACTAAAGATACATTATGGGAGATTCGATAACAAGTTGGCAGTTCTCATTATAATAGTTAAAAACTAGATAACGTAAAGGCAATTTCATTCAAATTGATCCACTATGAACCCAGAACTAAGCGAATGAAATTTCCGCCTAGCCTCATTCATCATTACTAAAGTCAGTACGATAAACAGCATAGTCTCGATTATCCATTTAATCGTTAAATCGAGAAGGAAAGTTATGCAGTAAATCGGCTCAAAATCCAATACAGATCGCAGGCTAGCCATGCAGTCTAGAGTTGATTATGGTCTGGATAGGTTAATTGATGTCTAATTAATAATTTAGATAACATTTCAGGCCTAAAGAAAGACTTGCAATAGACAGATTTAGCTCTTGCATAATGTATGTTTAAGTGAGAGTGATGAAACTTGGTGTATAGTTTTATTACATCAGTACCTTGACTAAGTTCGATAATGAGCATTTTCTGCTCAGTGTAAGCAGAGCGGTAAGCAATTTGATTGGTCAAGACTTTGGAACACAATAACTCTCATTTTAATTGAGTAAGAATGTTCACACTTGGCTTATGTGTCTATTAGGGGAATGCCTTGATGGAGTTCAAAGGAGAGAATTTTCTGCTTAGGGTAAGCAGAGATAAGCAATTTGATTGGTTGATGCTTTGGAACATAACAACTCTGCGTTTAATTGAGGTAGAATGTTTAAACTTGATGTAGATGTTCATTAAGGGAATGTCTTGACTGAGTGCAATGATTAATATTTCGAGCTAAAGCTAAGCAGAGCCAGGCATCGATATTTCCGCGCACATGCGCACGGCGTGCGCAGGCACATTTGCTTGAAAAAATTTTTTGCAGGCACATTTTTAAAGATGTAGCCACGCCTAGCGGCGCCTGCGCCAGGCACTATTTTTTGCCGCCCAGCACAAAGAAAAAATCGAAAAAGGCCCAGTCGTATTTAAACCCCTTCGTCCTTCTCTGTACACAAACTCGGCGCTCGAAATTTACCACGGCAATTAAACGGCAAAGCCATGGTAAAAGCCGACGTACGCAAACCATGTCTGTCACGGCATAATTTATTTTTGTGTGCCGTAGTAGACCCTATCATCACAAATTAGTTTAAAGAAAGATGTATTGGTATTTTGTTTATTTATACTTAGAAGATGTGTAGGCCTAGGTCTATTCATTTTACAATTATTCTACGGTCTTTATATTTGTTTATTTGCGGTAAATAGGTCACCCAAACCAATCTATGGCACTCCAATGTTAAAGGTTTGAATGTCGTAATTGTCCAACACGTGCCTGCAAATTTTCACGATGATCTTATTTTATTTCTTACCTGTGTTGACCGTGGATTTGCTACGGCCCGAGAGTAGGACTAGGAGGACGATGAGAGCTTTCTCAGTTTCTGCCTGACCTGATTCTCATTCCACCGTAATAATAATAATATTCGTGAGACACGTACAACAACTTTACAAACAAGTCAAATAATACAACGTGTTTTAATTATCAATATCTACCTGTTGTCATAATTCGTTGTACTCAAATAAAACACAAACACCGTTTTAATAATTTTAATGTCAAAGTAATAAAGTAATATTTGAAAAAAAACCCAACAAAACAACAAATACTGAAAGGTCCTCAACTTATCTATCTATGCTCGGTCGGGTGGTGTCAAAAAGTTTTTAGATCCCTGTATCATTGATGAAAATTAAGTGAATTTGGTAAAATTTGAATATATAAATGGAAATTTGATTTGCACTGAACCAAATACAAAAGGCAGCAGATGCTCTGAAAATACACCAAGAAGGGTTTAATTTTCATAAAAGACCACGCCCCCCTCCCAAAAGTTTTTTGGCCTTGCTCCGCTCGACAAATATGTTTTAACACCACTCGCCAAATCCTGGCTACATCCCTGTGTTTCAGTATGACCCTGCAGGCACATTTTCAAGTGTGTGCGCAGGCACACTCAACTTTTATAGAGCCCTGAGCAGAGCTAATCAATTTCATTGGTCGATGCTTTGGGACAAGATAAATTTGATTCTTTCTGATAGAGAGTGATGAAACATATTGTATAGTTTGATTTCTCGATACTTTTGAAAAAAAAAATGTGTGATTAATTAGTATGTGTCATCTATTTATTTTGGGATTTCGGCGGGGGACATCAGCCTCACTGTTGGCTTGTTTAATTTGTTATAGACGGATGCTAGAGTTAAAGAAGAGATTTTAGCATTTTTTACTAGCCATGTTGCTGCTATAAAAGATATCTATTCACGAACATCATTTTCAACGTATGATCAAAACATAGTTTGGGAAGGTGTCAATTTCTTAGTACAGCGAACAACAGTAAGTATATGGATAAAAAGGAATATTGTTTAAACATTAAGGTTTATCCCACTCTATAGATTCAAATTTTAGTTCATATTGTTTAAAAAAAACTATAGAATTGAATGTCCTTGGCAATAATAGTGATATGTTTGTTTTGATTATGGTCATCTCTGACTAAATGAGTACATGAGACAATTCAAAATATAAAGTTCACTAATAAAGCCTTTTGTAATAAAAATAATTGATGTTCCATGTGTCCAAGTGAATGTCAAAGTTTCAGTTACTTGATTCTGCCACAAACAAGATACGATCTCTTTAATAGATGATCCTAGTGACAAATACCCTCTGAACAGAAAATTGGTAAACATTTCTGAGGTCTTAAACATTTATCCAGAGTTGATCACATTTAAATGTTTATAATGTATTTTATTTCAATTCCATCTGTCATTTTAAAATATCTCCTCTTCAAAATTTGCTCCATTGTACATTGGATTTGTATATTTTTCTTGCAGATTATGACAACTACTGGAGAAAATTGTGGAGATGCAAGCAAGAGAAGTGCATTTTGTAATGAAAACATTGATGTCAGTAATTTCTTAAATCTGAATTCGCTGGATAAGCATGATGAATTCTGTTTGGCCTATGTATTTACATATAGAGATTTTATACAGGGAACTCTTGGATTAGCTTGGGTTGGATCAGAAACAAGTAAGCTATTATTTGGTTGCTTGTTCTTTAGAGATTTTATGAGAAATGATCCTTTACACTACTTAAAAAGCTACAATATTTTTGTAGCACCTTTTTATTTGAACATGTCTTTATTGTGCAATTGTTTTCACAAAAGTTTATATTTAATCAAATCTTTTTTTAAGACATCTTAATGATCATTAAGCATTGGGATACTTCGGGTTTTGTGAAGAGTATACTGTATCCACCATGATACATGTTAAATTATTTTTTAGTGTTAGTGATTTTATGTTAGTCGATTGTTAACAAGTACAATAAGTAAAATTGAACCACTGTGTGAACTTTAAATAGCCAACACTGCTGAATAAGAGAGATAGCTGCAGGTGGAAGAAACGATGTGACTATCTTATTATTTATAGTTTTCCATGAATGGAAATCAGGGTATGTTTACTATGTGTTTCAGGAGCGGCAGGAGGTATCTGTGAAAAGTATAAAGATTATCCAGAAGGAAATAGTAAAGTTGGTAAAAGTTTAAATACAGGCATTGTAACAATTGTGAACTATGGTAAACCAGTACCCTCTAGAGTCTCACATCTTACATTTGCTCATGAAGTCGGACATAATTTTGGATCACCTGTAAGTAGTAACTGTTAAGGGTTTCATTTGATTTAACCTGATTAGATCTAATTTAAGGATTCAACCACAGTTGACTATTGGAAAATCAAGAACACAAAACTAAAAGTACAAAATAGCACAAACTTAATTGAAAATTTAATCATCCCTAATTGGGTGCACATTTGGGGCTTTATTTCTTGGGGTGGAATTATATATGTAAAAATATACCACTGAATGAAAAGCGGACATTTTGAGATATATAGTATAAAGAGTCTGTCACTTGCATCTCCAGAAGTCGTCCATATTACTGAATTTTATTCTCGTGGTGTCTGCTGCAAGACTTTAATCTTTGACAGATGCAAATGATCTTGAATTGTGAAACATTTATTTGACAGCATGATAGTGGTCCAGAGTGTGCACCATATGGAACAAATAATCCAGATGCGTCTAATGGAAACTATATAATGTTTGCTAGTGCTACTATGGGAGACAAAAAGAACAATGATTATTTCTCTGTGTGCAGTAAAGATAATATAACACGAGTCTTAGATGCAGTACGCAATGAAAGATATGGAAAAATTAATTGCTTTGATAGTAAGTATATACATTTGATTCATATTGTGTAAGCATAAAATGCCAATGGTTATTTCTCATTTTCATGCATAGTATGTCAATCTTAAAGTAGCAGTATTGTTATTTTAATTTACAAAATCCAAGCATGGCCAGTCTTTGTATGGAGCTAAAACATACTGTATTATTAATTAAGCTGATTAAGGAGGACAAAATACAAATATTCTGATTTGCACAGACTAATTGCGGCTTTAAATGAGTCTTGCAGCATATTTTCTTTTTTTTTCATTATTGTTAGATATTGAATGGATGTTTTTCTCATAGTTATTGGCCTAGATCCTTTAATTATTTCCCTTATCGACCCCAGGGTAATCAACCAAATATTTCTTAAGCAAATGTTTTGTACATTTTTAAACGCCCACATTTTCATGTGGACGTATATTGTTGTCGCCCCTGTCCGTCCGTCCAAAATTGTTTGTGAACACTCTACAGGTCACAACTTGAAATATAGGTTTATCACCCTAAGATCTTGGTTCCTTTCGATATTGGCATGGCATGTAACTCCATGGATTATGGCCCCTGATTGTACAAAAACTGTATGTTTATGCTTATAATGTATGTTTATAACCCACAGATCTCGGTTCCTTTCGATATTCGCGCATATCAGACCATAACTTCCTGAATTATGGCCCCGATTTCGATGAAACTCGAAATACATGTTTATAACCCAAAGATTGGTTCCTTTCGATATTCGCGCATATCGGATTGTAACTTCCTGAAATATGGCCCTTGATTGAACAAAAAATCACGTTTTTAGCTTGTGGTCCCTGTAGAGGTCACAATTTTTATCAGATTTAAAGAAAACGTGTGAATATATCACCATTACACACTAAGATCTTGGTTCCTTTTGATGATCGCGGATACCCGAACTTAACTTCCTGGATTATGGCCCCTGATTGTTTGAAAAATCACATTTTTAGCTTCCGTATTCTCTAGAGGTCACAATTTTTTTCTGATTTTAAAAACTGTTTAAATACATCACCATTAACCAATATTGAAGGTTGAATTCAAATTTCGGGAAAATTAAAATGAAACTACCTGACAAAATGGCCGCTCTTTGTACTCAAATTGTGTAGAAGTGTGTAATACGAAGGTTGTGAACCCTCTTGAGGTCACAATTTTTATCCGATTTTGATGAAACTTAAAACATATCTTTATATCCCAAAGATCTTAGTCCCTTTTGATATTTGCACATTTCAGGCCATAACTTTCTGGATTATTGCCCCTGATTGTACAAAATATCGTGTTTGTTTTTAGCTTGTTCTCTATCCATCTCTTGCAAAATGTGCCTGGCAGCCGCTGGTTTAATTTCAACACTTCAACACCATCTCGGAGGGTAGGATGGCCGAATGGTTAGCACATGTGCGCTGTATCATAAAGTCTGTCATTGGGTCAATTGGCTTAGTTTCGAATCCCCGGTTTTACGTGACAAGGAGTAGGGTTGCCTGTCCAACCTCGTGGGTTTTCTCCGGGTCCTCCGGTTTCCTCCCACTGCTAAAGACCCCTACGCGCAAGTGAATTATTGCAATAAAATTAAACCATATGTTAGTTCCAAAATGACCTAGTTTGTGTCGAGTGAATGTTAAACCCTATTTCTCTCTCTCTCTCAACACCATCTCTTCATATTGCGTCAAGGAGGTTTGTTGGCTGAATGATTTTTCTCTGGCTGCTATGTTTGTAGTTGTTGAAATGTGGTCGTATATTGTTGTCTCCCCCGTCCGTCCGGCGTCCACAATTGCTTGTGGACACTCTATAGGCCAAAGTTAATATCCGATTGACTTTAAATTTATACACAGTGTTTAAGGTCATGAGACGAAGAATCCTATTGATTTTCAGCGGTTTTCGATAATTACTGCCAGAGTTATGACCCTTGATCACTTCAAAAAATCTTTTGGACGCTCTAAAGGTCAAAGTTAATATCCGATTTACTTCAAATTTATACACAGTATTTAAGGTCAAGACAAGAGACGAAGAAGCCTATTGATCACTTCAAAAAATCTTGTGGACGCTCTAGAAGTCAAAGTTAATATCCGATTGACTTTAAATTTATACACAGTGTTTAAGGTCATGAGACGAAGAAGCCTATAGATTTTCAGCGATTTCCATTAATTACTGCCAGAGTTATGGCCCTTGATCACTTTGAAAAATCTTGTGGACGCTCTAGAGGCTAAAGTTAATATCTGATTGACTTTAAATTTATACAGTGTTTAAGGTCATGAGACGAAGAAGCCTATTGATTTTCAGCAATTTCCGATAATTACTGCCAGAGTTATGGCCCTTGATCACTTTGAAAAATCTTGTGGACGCTCTAGAGGCTAAAGTAATCATCCGATTGACTTCAGATTGATACACAGAGTTTAAGGTCTTGAGACGAACATGTTTTTTGTTTTTTCAATGAATCTTTATGACTTGAACAGCTAAGTCCATGATGTTAAAAGTGTCATATACTAAACGTTAGCATGGGGCAGAACTTTATAAAAACCAAACAAATTCTAATGGTTTTCTGATAATTACTTAATGAGTTGCTACTCTTAATCAAATTTTAATGTATTATAAATGTTTCATTACCGAAAAAAGTAAAAATATGCGACAACTCTTGTTGACTGGCCGGACGATATAGCTGCTGTGGGCGTATGTTTCGTTGCCTGGCAACCTATCTTTATTTTCTGTTTCCCCCCACTTCTCCCTCTGATATCTGGTAATGTGTCTTGGATGTGTTATTTTCAGAGAGTAATGCAGCATTTTGTGGAAATGGTCTGGCTGCTCGATTTGTAGTTGTTATTCTCTCCTTTTCTACCCCCCCCCCCCTTCCTCTGATATCTTGTAATGTGTTTTGGAATGTGTTTTTTTCAGAAAGTAATGCAGCATTTTGTGGAAATGGTCTTGTTGAACCTGGTGAACAATGTGATTGTGGTTATGCCAATGATTGTGCAGATGAGTGTTGTATTGCTAAAGGTACCAACAATAGTGCAACAGAATGTCAATTAAAAGAAGGCAAAGTCTGCAGGTATGTTTCGTGACTAGAGGTAAACCTTTCAAAATAGTTGTGCCTTTTGGTAATTAGAAATGTCTAAGTTGAATAACTTTTGTCTAAGTATTATAAAAATTGTGCTGTTTTCTCATTTGAATGAATATTTGTAGTTGCATGTGGAAATGTGGTCGTATATAATCATCTCATCTTTCTAAAGTTATGCATATTGTTGACATTAGTGACGCAAAGAATCCCATTGAATTTTCTGCAATTTCTGATAATAGTTGTTTCCCCTGTAAAATCTTGTGAAGGATATAACAGTAAAAGTTACCACCCAATCTGACTGAAATGTATATGCATTGTTAGTCTTATTAATGTTAAGATGAACTGAAAAACTGAATCTTACTGTATTTCAACAATTTCAATTCATTAATTTTAGGGTTATGAGTATAACCCTTGTTTAGCTTATTAAATCTTGTGAACGCTTGAACAAAATAAGTTATCGTCCAATCTGCTTGAAATTTCAAGAAGTAAGTACTGTTCATTTTTGATATTCAATAGGCAGATTAAGCAAATAGGACAATAATTATTGTGGCTAAAGCATTCTACAGTAGAAATATTTTATATGTATGTTTTGTATAATATTTTGTAATTTTAGTCCTACAGCCGGACCATGTTGTAATGAATCATGTCATCATATAACCGATGTTGTGTGTAGAAATAAAGATGACTGTACATCTGAATCAAAATGCAAATATCCTTTTTATACACCCACAATGAAATGTGGTTGTATCTGGTCGTCGCCACCATCAATCTGTCCATCCATCCGGCGTCCACAATTGCTTGTGGACACTCTAGAGGCTAACGTTAATATCTGATTGACTTTAAATTTTTACACAGTATTTAAGGTCATGAGACAAAGAAGCCTATTGATTTTAACGATTTCCAATAATTACTGCCAGAGTTATGGTCCTTTATCACTTTGAAAAATCTTGTGGACGTTCTAGAGCTAAAGTTAATATCTGATTGACTTTAAATATATACGCAGTGTTTAAGGTCATGAGACGAAAAATCCTATTGATTTTCAACAATTTTCGATAATTACTGCCAGGCTTATGGCCCTTGATCACTATGAAAAATCTTGTGGATGCTATCAGGGCTAAAGATAATATCAAATTGACTTTAAAATGATACACAGTGTTTAAGGTCATGAGAAGAAGAATCCGATTGATTTTCAGCGATTTCCAATAATTACTGCCAGTTATGGCCCTTGATCATTTTGTGGACACTCTAGAGCCTAATCCGATTGACTTTAAATTTATACACAAAAATCCTATTTTTTTTCAACGATTCCGATTATTACTGCCAGATTTATGGCCCTTGATCATTTTGAAAAATCTTGCGGATGCTTTATGATCACAGTTATGATCTGATTGATTTTATATTTATACAATGGTTTACGCCTATATATTGTCGGTGGGGGGTCAAAAGGTCATATATGGATTTTGCAAAATTGTCCAGGAGAGCCAAAAAACAACACAGGTTAAGAATCAAAATGTCTAATAAAACAGTCACGTCAAAATGTTGTATGTAAAATATTATATTTCTGAAGCTTTTCTTAATATTTCTGTACAAAGTGTATGTAGCCCTTAAAACAATATGTATCTATCCGCACGTATCAAGCTCAACATTTAGTGCAGAAATAAAGAGTGAAAGCTAGTTATTTGCAGTTTTATACAGCAAAGACGTATCTCAGGAAAATATTCACCTTTACCTTCTTCAGTTTCATAGAATTCACACAGTAGACAGCTCAACAATAATTTCTATAACACATATTTAACTATAAAACAATACTGGCTACATTTCGTTTGCTTGTAATACTTTGGTTAGACACAAAGTTGATTTTTTTTTTTTAAAAATACGACATTTTCACTCTTAATATTTTTTTGTTTTTTTGGAACACCCCATATACGACATTTTGATACAATATCTATAAAACCTCTTTTTATCAGCTTAGAAATACGACAACTAGATGAAAAGATGCGCAAGAAAATCCTCATTCTGAAGAAACAAAAAAGTGAATTTCGCTAAATATGCCAGATACGACCTTTTGACTCCCCAATGACGATATAATCGTTTCGTATGACTTTGGCTTGATACACAGAGTTTAAGGTCTTGAAACAAACAAGTATATTGATTTTCAATGGTTTTTGATAATTTGAAAGTTATCCATGATATTGAATGTTTTGTATACTAAACGTTAGCATGGGCTAAACAAATTGTAATGATTTGTGTTTAAGGCCATGTGACGAAGAAGACTATTGATTTTCATAGATTTCTGATAATTTCTGATAGTTATGGGCCTTGAACACTTTGAAAAATCTTGAGGATGCTCTAGAGGCTTAAGTTAATATAAATTGTTTAAGGTCATAGGACACACAATCGAAACAAATTCTAATTATTGCTGATAGTTACTTCATGGGTTATTACTTGTATTTAGATTTTCATGTGTTGTAAATGTTCTCATTACTGACAAAAGAGAAAAAATGCGACAACACTTGTTGACTGCCCGGACGACTTAGCTGCTGTGGGTTTATGTTTTGTTGCCTGGCAGTCTATATTATCTTTAGTTTGGATATAGTTTTAAAGTTATGATTAGTGTGTAGTTGTACATACACTGAAAATGATATGATGAGTTATCCTTAACTAATTCACTGGTTTATCTGAGAACTGTCCAGCTCCAACAAAAGAGCCCAACAATACTCTCTGTAATTCTTACTCTCAAGTTTGTTTAGATGGGGTAAGTTCAGTTAATATTTTTGTATAAAATATAGATACATGACAACCATAATTGAATTTGCTTTATATAAAATAAAATTCCGTACGACTATGCCATAGTCTTAAATAATGAGGACAGTATTTTAAAAAATAACTCCCTGTCAGCATGTGTATAAAATAAAAATGAATAAATCTAAAACGCTATTTAAAACTAAATCTAGTAATGCGTGTCATGTGTTATCAGGAATTGGAAAGCATTGGAGATCCTGACGGAAGAATATATTATTAATGTCTTTTCTCGGTATATCCGGTGTTCTATCAGGGATTATTCAATGACTATTTGAATTTAACAACGGGTCAGTGAAACCATAAAATGTATTATCCAATTATTATTTTAATATCTACCTGGAATTTGTACAGATCGATCGTCGAAGACAGGGCGCGAATCCCGAGATTCATAATAGTAATCCATGCCGAGCGAGATGTATTCATTCGCCACATGGCTTATTACAAAGGAAACTTACTGGACCTGTTATGAATAACCAGCACGCTTGTTTTTTTACCAAATTATCAAAATTACCTTTAAATGTGCTAATTACTTGGATTATGGCCGATTCTCACTAAGGTATGACTGTTATTATTGCCGACAAGTAAGTTGATTGTTGATATTGACAGTATTTTTCATTACCGGTACATTTTTCCTGATTATTTTATTTGAGGGGAGTCAATTTAGACATAAAAAGCGCACCTCGACTGACATCCAGGCACGTCCAGGAGATCGAGAGCGATCGCGCTCCTTTTATGTGAAGGCCCGAGTAAGAAAGGTTTAGAATAAAGTATTGAATTGAGTTGATCTGATCATGTGTTATTTCAAGTATTGGTATAAGCCTTAGTTTTTAGATCAATTTTGTTCGCAAGATGAAGTCGTAGTCAATTTGCTTACAAGTTTTAATTCTTGACACAAGACCTTTACAATGAACGTTTACAATCAACAGCTTCATGTGGACGTATATTGTCGTTGTCCCTGTCCGTTCGAATGTCTGTCCACAATTTGTGTGTGGACACTCTACAGGCCACAATTCTTATCCAATTTTGACGAAAACTTGAAACATAGGTTTGGTTTGTCCCCTGATTGTACGAAAATCACGTTTTTAGCTTGTGAACAATTTTGATCCGATTTTGATGAAACTTGAAGTGCATGTTTATAACCCAACTATCTTGTTTCCTTTCGATATTTGAGCATATCGGATCGTAACTTCCTTTATTATGGCCCCTGATTGTACGGAAAATCGTGTTGTTAGCTTGTGGTCCCTCTAGAGGTCACAATTTTTGTCCCCCTCCTTTTGAAGAAAGCAGGGGACTATTAAAATGGGTTCGTCCGTCTGTCCTTCTGCCTGTCCATCACACTTTTTTGGACACAATAACTCTTTCTTATTGAGCTAGAATGTTCAAACTTGGTGTATGTGTTATTAGGTCAATGCCTTGATGGAGTTCGAAGATGAGCATTTTCTGCTTAGGGTAAGCAGAGATAATCAATTCGATTGGTTAATGCTTTGGGACAAGATAACTTTAGTTGTAATTAAGTGAGAGTGATGAAACTTGGTGTATAGTTTCATTACATCAATACCTTGACTAAATTCGATAATGAGCATTTTCTGCTCAGGGTAAGCAGAGCGATAAGCAATTTGATTGCCCGAGACTTTGGAACACAATAACTCTCCTTCTAATTGAGCTAGAACGTTCAAACTAGGTGTAGGTGTTCATTAGGTAAATGCCTTGATGGAGTTCGAAGATGGGCATTTTCTGCTTAGGGTAAGCAGAGATAAGCAATTTCATTGGAGAGTGATGAAACTTAGTGTATATAGTTTCACTACCAGGTACTTCAAAACCTTGACTAAGTTTGATCGTGAACATTTTATGCTTAGATTAAGTATAGATAATCAGTTTGATTGCTCAATACCTTTGCAAAAGATATATGTGCAAATCATTATGTGTCATCTATTTATTTTGGGATTTTGGTGGGGAACATCGGCCTGTTGGCTTATTAAGGACTGTCTTGATTAGCCTATTTGGTGTGGTAAAGTAGGATATTAAAATCCATATCATTTCATTTTGTTTTATAGGAATGCCGAGGTTCAGTATGCTTGAAGATAAATTGGGAAGAATGTTTCTTAACGGCTAGTGAGGATGGAACTGGTCCATCTAGAGAAGACTTATGTTTTATAGCGTGTAGTAAGTAAAATTTATAGGTGTTACCAACATTTTAAAGCCTTTGCTGTGTCCGTTTTAGAACTGTTCCCTATAAAATAATCTGATGGTAAGTGTCAAAATTTGCATTCCACAAACTTTTTTCATACTTGTCATACTTCAGTAACTAACCGGTCACTTTTAATTATAGAAATACTCTAAAATTGATGTCAATTTACTGAACATTAATTAAAACATAGTCCACTTGTCGCCAACAACATATAGTTTTACTTACTACCTGTCAAACAAAAGAACTTCCTGTTAGCCTTGAATTTGTCAGTTCCTGTTTCCAAATATTCAACTGGCTGTTTATTGAATAATATTTGATATATTATTTATAAGCATCTTCAAACACAATATGTATATATTAATTTTCAGAAAAAAAAGGCACAGAAGAATGTATAAGTTCCAAGAACACAGATGCATTGTCAAAACCAGGAAATGAAGAATTTCTGGACTTATTAAGTGAAATAGAAAGTAAAAATGCTGAGACTACTGGAAAAGCTGTACAATTACCAGCAGGTAATGATTATCTTTTATATGGGTCGTATATTGTTGTCACCTCTGTTCATCTGTCTGTATAAAAGTATTTTTCTGTACATTTTATTATAACTACTAAAAACATAGTGGTTAGAAAATGATTTAAATCAATTTTAATATTTGACCTTTGTATTTTTTTCTATTTATGTGTCTAATGTAAATAAAGTAATAATAAGTCTGCTATCTGTTCTTGAATCCCCAGTTGTATGTGACTAGGAGTAGGGACACCTGTCCAACCTCGTGGGTTTTCTCTGGGTCCTCCGGTTTCCTCCAACTTCTAAAGACCCCTACGCGCAAGCAAATTATTGAAATAAAATTAAACCATATGTTAGTCCCGAAATGACATAGTTAAACCTCATCTCTCTCTCTCTCTCTCTGTTCTGTAAAGTAAGACCATTCGTAATACAAGTCATTTGTTTTAATGCTCAGACTTGCTTGATTAGATTTGAATTAATCTGACTTGTTGCCCTTTCAGACATTAATATTTTCTTTGCTATCATATATGTAAAACACTTACATTCGTGAGATGATTCTCTTTGTAATGGTTGTGCAAGTTTCATGTTAATTTTTCAGGTTCTCCTTGTGATAATTTCCGGGGATATTGTGACGTCTTCCATCGTTGTAGAGGTGTTGATGCAGAGGGACCACTTGCCAGATTAAAAAATCTTATATTTAATCCTCAAACATTACAAACTATAAAAGAATGGATAGAGGTAAACTTTTAATCTTTAATAATCATTTTAAAATATGAAGATTTTGTATGCGATTATAGGATAGCTGCCTGTAGTAGTCAATTCGTCCCTAACATAAATCATACATGTGTCATTTTACTCTAGAGCTATAAAAGTTGCATGTTCTCATTTCATTTTGATTAAACGGACTAAACTCAAATCACCTAAAATATGCAACCATTTGCATGATGTTGCAAATGGAATAAAATGGGTTTAATGTCCTACTGTTCTGCTCTGACTGGGCTATTTAATTGTTTCAATGGCACAATTCTATAGAATACAATTTCTGCTTATGACTGAGCGATGTTTCGACTAGGTTTCTCTAGTCATTATCGAGCAATGATAAAATATGAAAATATAGCAAGGCAATATATACATGTACACAACAATACCCCTGGTTGGTCAGCATTAACTAAGTAATGTTGTTAACATGACATGTACATTGTATTTCTTAGAATTGTGACCTGTATATGGGCTAATGAAGACGAGCATATGCCATACAGTGTGCTATGAGGGAAATTTTGCCCAGGCAGCGGCGCTATGGCCTACTCTTATATCAAACTCCAAGTGCCATGGATCTTTTATGTGCATGCCAATGTATTCACAGGACCTCAGTTTTTTTGTCCCACCGGAATGAATAGACAGCTTTGAGATGATCTATGAACCAGGTTTGGGATTACAATTTCCAATTAATTAAACTCAGTAGTAGGTAGTTATACAACATGATTACTGGTACATGTCTATTCATTTCATTATGACATCAATAGCATTTTATTGGTGTTTTTTAAACATACATTTTGCAAGAGCTAAATCTGCCTATTGCAGGTGGTTGAAATTATTGCACACGTCTTGTCAAACCTTCAAAGGCTAATATCTTCGCTCGCAATAGAGTAATTTGGATGAAATTTTCAAATTATTCATTTTACATGATCTATTTTCGAACTATTATAGCAAGAATGGCTAGCTCTATCTAAATCTTACATAATGTATCTTTAAGTATCTTAAAGGGCACATAAGATGGGCGAGAAAATTTTTCGGTCAGTATGTATAGACAATGATTACTATATCCACTTTACGGCAAATTCACACCAATCTGCTTAAGGCTGTCGTTCGCACTTCATATGTTGAATTTCATAATAAAAATCGTTTTTGAGGTTTCATGATTATCTGTCACATACACTATTTAAGAACACATCAGTCATTTTTTTCAAAAAATTCTTGTATATTTCCACAAATTTTGGTTCTGAATGATCTCTCCTTTCTGTTGATATAAATTTAAAAACAATAGGTATTTTCACGCGAAATACTTGGCTTCCAAATTGTAAACATCTGTCATGTTTGATACCGTTATAAAGCTTGGGACTTCCCCTATTGAAAGGAAATGATGTTTTTGGGGTGCCTTGAATCAATCCCCTCACATAGAGATAAAAATAGCATGCCAGCCTATACCTACCAGAACTGGTTTTGAAAACCTAATAAGGTTATTTTTAGACCACATTATTTTTAGACCACATTATTTGATAGGTCAGTCAAAAAGGTCAGGTGTTAGTTTGTCCAATCAGAAACCAGCAACCCTCCAGGTTAGGCTATACTGAATGATGATGATGAAAATTTGTCTGCTACTGCTAGACCTACACCTAGTACCAGTACAAGTAGTAATGCTATTAATAGTTCAGGTGTAAATTTACACACGGCGGCTTATTGACTTATTGCAGTCGTTAATTTCAAACTTATGCTGTCCTACATGGCACAGCAGTAATGTGGTTTTACATGAGGATAATAATTTTATTGGCCTTTCAAGCATATTTAATCTATATTGCAGTATTTTCGAGCAATCGCTGGGGCAAGTACCCACTAAAACTGAGAAGAAGGGTGCTCATTTCGTCAACAGGAGAGTTGTTCTAGCCATGAAGGAGATGGGGTGTGGGAAGAGCTCTCTTGACACATTTGCCCAAGTCATGGATTTTCCATGTTCTTTGGAGAAAGAAGTCTTTCGTAAGGTACCAAAGCCATAGGGGATGCTAGCCTCTCCTCCCTTGACCATCATCTTGAAGATGTTAAACAAAATATACATCTTGCATATGGTCAATCTGATCCTTGTATAGCTGATGATAAAATTAAAAATATTGTTGTTTCCAGTGACGGCACATGGCATAAAAGAGGATTCAGTTCTCATTATGAAGTAGTGGCTATTGTTGATTTATTAACAAATTTAGTTATAGATTCTTAGGTTATGTCAAACTTCTGCATATTATGTTCCCAAAACAAAATGGACAGATCTTCTGAAGAACATATAACTTGGCATACTGCTCACAGACCTGTCTGCCAAATAAATCATCATGGCTCCGCAAAGAGCATGGTAACTGTTGCCACCTTAAAAATGTTTGAACGATCAATTGAGAAATTTGGTTTCAGATATAAAATACTTTTAAATGACGGCGATAGCTCAGTTTTCAACCAGTTGTGCAAATTGAATGAAAATAATGGACCGTATGGCGCAGACTAAACATTTTACCATTGGTACACGAATCGTGTACCATAGTGCGTTTCAGCAGCATTTGTAACAAGTGTCCAGAAAGAACGAGGCTAGACATATTCCACAACTCGTGTCAAACGGTGCCGCCATCTTAATTGGAGAGCATGCGCAATAGACTGGAATAACCAGATGCTAGAAATTTCCATTCGGTTGAGACTCATGCCGTATTTCGCTGGACATAACTGATTTGAAATTAAGAGTCAAAGTGGAAACAATTGAATGTAAATCAGTTCATATACAATCAGATTAGTATTACATTATTATATGCCTTGCAACCCATTTGGGTCAATTTATAGGTCCCAAATATTAGCGATTTAGCTCCTTTAAATGTTAATATATCGAATAATTTTAACCGGATTGATTTGAACTTGCCGTAATGTGTATATAATAACTACTTGCTATAAGTACAAAAAATCTAGTTTGATCAGTTATCTTACATGCAAAATATAAAAGTTCTCAATTTATAAAGTATCTACTGGGGAAATAATGGCCAATGGTATTTGACATCATATTTTATAACTCAATTAACACATAATGTGACTACTGTTACTAGCGATATTTCTGGAATAGGCGTGAATGTAGGGGTGGCTCCAAGCTCTACGCTAGATCTCAATGACTGGCTGATGATCACAGAGGAGCTCCCTGGGAGTCTTAGCATTATGTCAGCTGTCACTCAAAATGGTCCATACATAGAAAACACATGTTGCTTATAAAAAGATCACTATTTCACCAGTTATTGAAAACAAGTCTACTGAACTGGTTATTGTTTTGTAACATGGTAAATAGTTTATTTATATTTGGTATTTATTGTATATACTTTATTTGACAGGAATATTGGTGGGCTGTATTGTTAATGGCTATAGGTTTAGTTGTAGTAATGGGCGTTTTTATTAAGATTTGTGCAGTTCACACACCAAGTAGCAATCCTAGAAAATCGGCAGCTCGTAAACTTACATTACCCAGACGACGTAATCAAGGTGGAGGTCCGCAAGGAAATAAACCATCTCGGTCAGCAGCATCAAATCCACAGTTTGTAAGTACAAGTATATAAGAATCAGTAATGCTATTTCGCCCGTATGTTCCGGACATGTCCTAAGCTATTTCCCAAACATCCAACCATAAATATGCCCAATCGGACATCAAGATATGGCGAATGATATTCAATTTTCCAAATTTATTTGACTGTACTTGGTATATTAGGCTGGATTGATTAGGTATAAGTGATCAACGTATTTATCGTGTTTTACCGCCTATACACCTACTTAACTTACCTTGATTGGCTGACTTAATCCTTTGTCCGACAATTTATCAATAAAATTCCTTAACAGAGGTCATTGCTTCTCCTTTGTTGGACTATATATCAATCCAACAAGTGTGATTATAAACTTAATCTATGTGATTAACCCGTGATTTCTCTATTGTCGGACATTTCAGTCTCCTTGATGTTTGCCAACAACACGTAGGAACTAGTCTTATGACTATGTGTCGCATATCCTAATAGTATATAACACCCCAAATCAAATCTGATAACTTGTCTGCGATATAACTTCGGTGGAAGCGGACGTTAAATAACTTAATAGCTTTAAAGGTATTAAGTCGACTGTTAAGTTCACAATTTTGCGTCAAAAATGCCTTTATTTGTAAATGCCTTTATTTGTAAATTGTTATAGTGGTGTTAGTTAATCATTTTAAAAAAAAAAAATATCAGTGGAGAGTATAACCAATGATCAATCCTTCAATAAAATGTATGTTTGGAGAAACACTGAATCCAATAGTACAAAACAGTGTGAAGATGCTATTTATGGTATAATACTATATTTTGTGTATTAAAGGACCCTCCACCACCTTACACAGGTCCGTCCACAGGTGGTCCACCTCACGGTAAAGGACCCAGATACAACAATGGTGGAAAAAGAGGAAGGGGAGATTTAGAGATGCAAAACATATAATATATAATTATAAACCTTGAACCTTTCTGCCTAGAGCAAACACTGAGATAAATTAAACACTTCTGTTCTATTTTATACATTATCTAATCTATGTTCAGCCACACAAGGCAGCCATTTTAATGTGTTCCACTATGTTGAATATGAATAACTCAATTCTGTTTTTGTAATTCTTTATTTTATAAATATATATATCAGAAAAAGATGAGAAACTTGTTAACTGACCTGTTTGTCAGTATTGAATAGATTTATATTATGTTTAATCTATTGTTGCAGTCACAAGAAATCTTTTAAACATTCATATTCAACATAGTCCATTTTTCACACAGATCACTTAATGAAACCCTTTATGAGAGAATCAGTAAAGAACTCTGTAATTCTGCTATTATGGTTTGTTAGCTTATAGTGAAGGGATTTGTTTATCTTGAAGTTCAAGTTATTGCCATATCCAAACTGCCTGGTAAAGTACCAAACATGATTGTCTCACTTACTATGAGCGCTCTACAATACCAGAATTTTTATTATGTTTTTCGGTATCACAAATACAACTTTGTTACTAGAGGAGTAATCATACTGCTGGTTGGTGAATGATGCACTTAGCAGACATTGTAATTCAAATTAATATTTGAATAATGTTATTGATTTGAGATTGCTGAAAATGTGCTGGTCAAGAAATTGGTATATGTTAAGGCTACTAAAATTTGGATTTTATCTTTAGTTAAGATTTAGGGAAACAGGGCCCAGTTGGTTTGGCAACAAAGGGCAGTAACTCTAATGTGGTAGTGATCAGTTGGAAAAGAAATATTCTTGGCAATAATTTGTTTTGAAAAAGTCTATTTTTCTATATTGGTATCAAGCTGGTTCTTGAAAAACTGTGAAAACTGTTACAAAATTTTAATTAGGATTGGTTAGCTTTCTTTTTTTTCTGCTACTTTAAATTTTGCAGATATCTTAAACTCTGTGACAGTGTTATTTATTAGAAATACATGTGTACATACTTAATTAATGCTGAAAAATCATTAATGATTATTATCAATTAAGATAAATTGAGAGTAGGGGAATACATTTTTGAAAAATTAGGTTTAATGATTTTTGAAGATTCTTTGCGTTTTTTTGTATGTCGTTTTCCATTTGATTTATTTTAAATTAGAAAGAAATATTGCATTAAAGTGCAGAAAGTGGTAATAAATTTTATGTTAACTTGCAAAAACCGTAAAGTATTAACAGCTATAGTGATGTGCAGAAGGAAAGATTCAAAGTGTTTTGTTGATCATATAAGATTATTTATAAATTGGACCCTAATGTTATATAATAATGCCTTATATATTTATGTATTTGTAGTATGTCAATATTTAACCACAGAGAATTTTTCCATTTTTTTCAGGGGTCCAATGTAAGTTTTCTTTGAATCACCTTTGCTCATTCCTAATTCATATTTGTATGGCCTTTACCATATAATCATACCTGCTGTTGTTTCATAGAGCTAATGTTTTAGATGCTCAAGTTAAGAGGGCTCAGAAATTGATATATAATGATCTACGCTAATTTTTTTGTCACTGGTTTTAGTAGGTGTTAATTAATTTTTTTCATATTTACACATTAGTTCTGAGAAATTTTACCTTGTAAAAATAATTGAAAAAATAGAGGTAACCAACATCAGGTTATATATTTGAATAGGTTACTCAATGATTATTGTGATATTTTGTTCGTTTTATTTTAAAGTCTCTTTTGATTTGCATTCGCCATTCATCAGCTTCAAGATGTGTTCATACTTTTCATAACCAATATCAATTACCCTTAATGTTACAGAAGATATAATTTATGCTTACAGATTATTTTACCAAATTTCATTTGAATTTCTTTGAACAATTTTTTTTTTTCTTTTTAAATATGAATTTTTATACGCCCACATTTTCATGTGGACGTATATTGTTGTCGCTCTGGCTGTACGGACCTCTGGACGTCCACAATTTGTGGAAACTCTACAGGTCACAATTCTTATCCGATTTTGACGAAACTTGAAATATAAGTTTATCTCCAAAAGATCTTGGTTCCTTTCGATATTGGCATGTATTGGATCGAAACTTCATGCATTATGACCCATGGGCCCTGACTACAAAAAATCACGTTTTTAGCTTGTGGACACTCACTCCATAGGTCACAATTTTCATCTGATTTTGATGGAACTTGAAATGCGTGTTTATAGCCCAAAGATCTTGGTTCCTTTCGATAATTCCGCATATCGGATTGTAACTTCCTGAGTCATGGCCCTTGATTGTACAAAAAATTGAGTTTTTAGCTTGTGGTTCCTGTAGAGGTCACAATTTTTATCCGATTAAAAAAAACATTTGAATATATCACTGTTACCACCCTGATGATGGTTGAGTTCGAATTTTGTGAAAATTGAAACAAAATTGCCCGACCCTCTTACACAAATATTGTAAATGTATGGTATGTCAAGTTTATGGAGCCTCTGAAGGCCACAATTTTGATCCGAGTTTGATGAAAGTTTATATCACAAAGATCTTGGTTCCTTTCGATAATTGCAGATATCCGACTGTAACTTCCTGGATTATGACCCCTGATTTTTCGAAAAGTAACATTATCTTGTGGACAAGCTAAAAGTTACAATTTGTATTCAATTTTAAAAAATGTTTAAAATTCCGGTATATCATGTTAAAATGTATTTTCGCATTTTAGACCATAACTTCTTGGATTATGGCCCCTGATTGTACGAAAAATCACATATTTTTAAAACTTGTTCTCTATCCATCTCTTGCAAAATGTGGGCGTATTTTGCCTGGCAACCACTGGTTACGTGTTTTTTTTAGCTTATAAATTCTATTTAACCATGATAAATTCTATATGTACATATCCGATGTAAATATAAAATTTCACCTATAATATAATGTATTGGGATGTAAATTTAATGTCATACTAATATTATCAACAAGTTTGTATCAAAGAGTTATTCTTATTGATTGTTGATGTAATAAAATGATATGCCCTTTTTCCCCCCATTCAATTTGATCTTGAACCTATGGTACATGTATCAAACAGTCTATAAATATGTGTTCTCTTGAGGACAGGTAGGTAATCTATTAAATGTTATAACATACATTTTAAATGAAAATGTGAAGTGTCTAAGGTCACAGAAAAATGAAATAATTTTAGAAAAAGGGATAAATAACTCCTAATAAATAAATTTGGATATAATCTCAAATATGAAAGGATCTTGTTTAAAACTTTTCTGGAAAAATATATCAGTGTATTTTCTTTCTTTTAACTTATAAACTTCTGAGATCGGAAAGTACTATTTCTAGGTAAAACCATAAATAAATATTTGTATCCCACAATACAAACAATTAATAAGAATAACTTTTTTATTTAATTTTATTATATTACTTAGTATCGTAACTTCCTTCATAATTATATTTAGTATATAAAAATATATATTCATAATTTTACTATCCAAGATTCACTACTTAATATTCTTAGACAGTGTCATTATTATATTTTTATTACTCACTAAGAAATCACTTCAAATCTGTTGTATTGAATCTTGTTCCACTAAAATATTATCTCATGATTTCCATTAGATAAATAATATGGTATAATTTCTATATTACAATTGATAATGTATGTAAATTTTCATGAAATAAATATTTGTAAATATAAAGTGATTTCAAAACAGAACAAGAAAAAATTTATTGAAAATTATTGATCATTTTTAGAACATGATATACTTTAAATAATTTACACACTTTTTCTCTAATTGTTTTTGAATGTATATGAATTATGTGTACTTTATAAAGGAAATTTTTTGAAGATTTGAAATGCATGTTATTTACAGTACATATGTAATTATATCTAGATAATCATACAAGTGGTCTAGTTACATCAATCATAAAATCTGTGTTCCATTATTTTTTTTTTAAATGATGAATAAATGTTTTATACATTACATGTTCTTGTAAAGGGTTTGGAAGGTAACAATTAACACATAGTACTGATGAATTCACATCATAACCCTTCACTGCACTGTGATCAATATCCATATCATTCCATTAATAATGGAATCAATATGTAATTTATAGCAGTGAAAGATTCACAATACAACTAGTTTTACCCTACCAAGAGGAACTGAAATGGCATATAGAAATTGGGCAACAAACCTGATGTGTTGACAACATCGCCTTGGAATAAAGAAGGGGGGGGGGGGTCCGAATAATGTCAGCTACAGGAAATATCAATAAACTTCTTTTCCAGAATGATATTCTAAATAATGGCAGTGGCTATTTGCCACATGTGGTAAGCAAGAATGTCAAAATAGCCCTGCGGCTACAGACCACAATTATTAACCGATTTCAATGAAACTTACAGATTATAATAACATTAATAATATCTCAAAATAGCCAAACTTTCGGCCACTTCCGGTTAGCGGTTTCCGAGATATCAGGTTACCACACATTTTATGTGGCACGGCTACAGACCACAATTATCAACCGATTTCAATGAAACGTACAGCTTATAATAACATTAATGATATCTCAAACTAGCCAAAATTTCGGCCACTTCCGGTTAGCGGTTTCCGAGATATCAGGTTACCACACATTTCATGTGGCACGGCTACAGACCACAATTATCAACTGATTTTAATGAAACTTACAGATTATTATAACATTAGTAATATCTCAAACTAGCCAAAATTTCGGCCACTTCCGGTTAGCGGTTTCGGAGATATCAGGCTACCACACAATTCATGTGGCACGGCTACAGACCACAATTATCAACCGATTTCAATGAAACTTACAGATTATAATAACATTAATAATATCTCAGCATAGCCAAAATTTCGGCCACTTCCGGTTAGCGGTTTCGGAGATATCAGGTTACCACACAATTCATGTGGCACGGCTACAGACCACAATTATCAACCGATTTCAATGAAACTTACAGATTATAATAACATTAATAATATCTCAAAATAGCCAAAATTTCGGCCACTTCCGGTTAGCGGTTTCCGAGATATCAGGTTACCACACATTTCATGTGGCACGGCTACAGACCCCAATTATCAACCGATTTCAATGAAACTTGCAGATTATGATAACATTAATAATATCTCAAACTAGCCAAAATTTCGGCCACTTCCGGTTAGCGGTTTCGGAGATATCAGGTTACCACACAATTCATGTGGCACGGCTACAGACCACAATTATCAACCGATTTCAATGAAACTTACAGATTATAATAAGAGTCTTAATATCTCAAACTAGCCAAAATTTCGGCCACTTCCGGTTAGCGGTTTCCGAGATATCAGGTTACCACATATTTCATGTGGCACGGCTACAGACCACAATTATCAACCGAGTTCAATGAAACTTACAGATTATAATAACATTAATAATATCTCAAACTAGCCAAAATTTCGGCCCCTTCCGGTTAGCGGTTTCTGAGATATCAGGTTACCACACATTTCATGTGGCACGGCTACAGACCACAATTATCAACCGATTTCAATAAAACTTAAAGATTATAATAACATTAATAATATCTCAAACTAGCCAAAATTTCGGCCACTTCCGGTTAGCGGTTTTCGACATATCAGCATAACCCCCCTTAACAAGCTTGTGCCGGCAGTTCCAGAAAGTATGCCAAACTACCCATCTCCATCTGACTTTGGGTTCATTACTAAGGAGTCGACTGGGAATCTGCCTTCTTGGGGAGGGAGAGGGGTAAATGAATGGAATCAATTGATTCATTTGTCCAACACTTGTACTATTGATAATTTTCTTGCCATATTTTTGTGTAACAGGGCATGTTTTTTTAAAGTTATGACTGACTTCTCATCTTTCGAACTTGAAGAGACGAACCAGGCTGTAATACAGAGGTTGCTTAAAAGCGTTGAGTTGCTCTCTAAAGGTTTGGATTTTGAGGGTAAGTATCATTTCTTTGGAAAACATGACTCTAGCCAAATATCAGTTGATTTGTATGGAAGTGAATATGAAATATTTATTTCGAAGTTCACTTTCATGTTTCAAACTACAGAAATATTTTCTTGCTCTCAACCCGATTGTAATTTTGTTCAACAATTTGTTGACGGAAAGACTGCAGTGGCAATAAAACCATTCCCCTCCCCCAATGACTCGGCTTTTCTCAAAAGTTTAGAAACATGGCATCAGTTGGGCAGTGAAACGGATAAGCCGTGTCCGAATTGCACGACAAAATTAAGTATCAGGCGTATTTGGAAACAACAACCACCACCATTTTTAATATATCAACCACATGCATGTAACATGAACAACTTACACTATGAAGATATTCCGATTAGCATAAACGTTCTTACAACACCTTACATACTAATCGGAATAACTTTTCATAATAATGCACATTTTACATGTATAATACGCATTCAAAACAAATGGCTGAGGTATAACGGACTCCAAAATATTAAGATTACCCCTATAAAAGACAATGAAAAGTTAGGCAGCATTGGTTCTATAGTTTATTTGCGCGAGGATTAGAATAGGATCTGCGCATAATGTATCTGCTTAAACTTTGTTTTGGTTTGTAGACTATTATTGATGGCACAAATAAGAGCTAATTAGAACACAATGGTACAAAAGATTACTAAATACTGTGTTATTTATTTCAGAGACATCTGTGTGTGATCACCAAAGACAACAATAACTATTAGTCATGTCAAAACTCCATTATCAACTTTTAATAGACCATTAACAAAGATTCTATCACTGATCAACATCAAATCCAAACTTCAGAACCACTTGCGATCTTCATAGGTTCTGCCATTACGCCACGATCGCTTAAAACAAATTTTACTGCTAATTTTCAATACACACATCTTGAGGTTCGATTACTGTAACAGTGTTTTGAATAGAGTTCCCAAAAACCCGTCTGCAAAACTCAAAATAATTTCAAAACACCGCCGCCAGAATAATAATAAGAACACAAAAATACTCTCACATGACTCCAATCCTAAAATCCTTACATGAGTTACCAATAGGAGCCCGGATAACTTTCAAGATTTTAACATTGGTGTATACTGTATGCGTCAACATGACCTTTCTCCACCTTACCCCACGGATCTCATTCAATCATATCAAACAGATCGACCACTTCGCTCACAAAATACACACTCATTAGTTGTGCCACAAGCTAAACTGAAATCCTATGGGGATAAAGATTTTAATGTTTGGTAACCTGATATCTCCGAAACCACTAACCGGAAGTGGCCGAAATTTTGGCTAGTTTGAGATATTAATACTCTTATTATAATCTGTAAGTTTCATTGAAATCAGTTGATAATTGTGGTCTGTAGCCGTGCCACATGAAATGTGTGGTAACCTGATATCTCGGAAACCGCTAACCGGAAGTGGCCGAAATTTTGGCTAGTTTGAGCTCTTAATACTCTTATTATAATATGTAAGTTTCATTGAAATCGGTTGATAATTGTGGTCTGTAGCCGTGCCACATGAAATGTGTGGTAACCTGATATCTCGTAAACCGCTAACCGGAAGTGGCCGAAATTTTGGCTAGTTTGAGATATTAATACTCTTATTATAATCTGTAAGTTTCATTGAAATCGGTTGATAATTGTGGTCTGTAGCCGTGCCACATGAAATGTGTGGTAACCTGATATCTCGTAAACCGCTAACCGGAAGTGGCCGAAATTTTGGCTAGTTTGAGATATTAATACTCTTATTATAATTTGTAAGTTTCATTGAAATCTGTTGATAATTGTGGTCTATAGCCGTGCCACATGAAATGTGTGGTAACCTGATATCTCGGAAACCGTTAACCGGAAGTGGCCGAAATTTTGGCTAGTTTGAGATATTTATACTCTTATTATAATCTGTAAGTTTCATTGAAATCGGTTGATAATTGTGGTCTGTAGCCGTGCCACATGAAATGTGTGGTAACCTGATATCTCGGAAACCGTTAACCGGAAGTGGCCGAAATTTTGGCTAGTTTGAGATATTAATACTCTTATTATAATCTGTAAGTTTCGTTAAAATCGGTTGATAATTGTGGTCTGTAGCCGTGCCACATGAAATGTGTGGTAACCTGATATCTCGGAAACCGCTTACCGGAAGTGGCCGAAATTTTGGCTAGTTTGAGATATTATTAATGTTATTATAATCTGTAAGTTTCATTAAAATCGGTTGATAATTGTGGTCTGTAGCCGTGCCACATGAAATGTGTGGTAACCTGATATCTCGAAAACCGCTAACCGGAAGTGGCCGAAATTTTGGCTAGTTTGAGATAATAATACTCTCATTATAATCTGTAAGTTTCATTGAAATCGGTTGATAGTTGTGGTCTGTAGCCGTGCCACATGAAATGTGTGGTAACCTGATATCTCGGAAACCGCTAACCGGAAATGGCCGAAATTTTGGCTAGTTTGAGATATTATTAATGTTATTATAATCTGTAAGTTTCGTTAAAATCGGTTGATAATTGTGGTCTGTAGCCGTGCCACATGAAATGTGTGGTAACCTGATATCTCGGAAACCGCTAACCGGAAGTGGCCGAAATTTTGGCTAGTTTGAGATAATAATACTCTTATTATAATCTGTAAGTTTCATTGAAATCGGTTGATAATTGTGGTCTGTAGCCGTGCCACATGAAATTTTGGCTAGTTTGAGATAATCATACTCTTATTATAATCTGTAAGTTTCATTGAAATCGGTTGATAATTGTGGTCTGTAGCCGTGCCACATGAAATGTGTGGTAACCTGATATCTCGGAAACCGCTAACCGGAAGTGGCCGAAATTTTGGCTAGTTTGAGATATTATTAATGTTATTATAATCTGTAAGCTTCGTTAAAATCGGTTGATAATTGTGGTCTGTAGCCGTGCCACATGAAATGTGTGGTAACCTGATATCTCGGACACCGCTAACTGAAAGTGGTCGAAATTTTGGCTAGTTTGAGCTCTTAATACTCTTATTATAATCTGTAAGTTTCATTGAAATCGGTTGATAATTGTGGTCTGTAGCCGTACCACATGAAATGTGTGGTAACCTGATATCTCGTAAACCGCTAACCGGAAGTGGCCGAAATTTTGGCTAGTTTGAGCTCTTAATACTCTTATTATAATCTGTAAGTTTCATTGAAATCGGTTGATAATTGTGGTCTGTAGCCGTGCCACATGAAATGTGTGGTAACCTGATATCTCGGAAACCGCTAACCGGAAGTGGCCGAAATTTTGGCTAGTTTGAGATATTATTAATGATATTATAATCTGTAAGTTTCATTAAAATCGGTTGATAATTGTGGTCTGTAGCCGTGCCACATGAAATGTGTGGTAACCTGATATCTCGGAAACCGCTAACCGGAAGTGGCCGAAATTTTGGCTAGTTTGAGCTCTTAAAACTCTTATTATAATCTGTACGTTTCATTGAAATCGGTTGATTATTGTGGTCTGTAGCCGTGCCACATGAAATGTGTGGTAACCTGATATCTCGGAAACCGTTAACCGGAAGTGGCCGAAATTTTGGCTAGTTTGAGATATTAATACTCTTATTATAATCTGTAAGTTTCATTGAAATCAGTTGATAATTGTGGTCTGTAGCCGTGCCACATGAAATGTGTGGTAACCTGATATCTCGGAAACCGCTAACCGGAAGTGGCCGAAATTTTGGCTAGTTTGAGCTCTTAATACTCTTATTATAATCTGTAAGTTTCATTGAAATCGGTTGATAATTGTGGTCTGTAGCCGTGCCACATGAAATGTGTGGTAACCTGATATCTCGTAAACCGCTAACCGGAAGTGGCCGAAATTTTGGCTAGTTTGAGATATTAATACTCTTATTATAATCTCTAAGTTTCATTGAAATCGGTTGATAATTGTGGTCTGTAGCCGTGCCACATGAAATGTGTGGTAACCTGATATCTCGGAAACCGCTAACCGGAAGTGGCCGAAATTTTTGCTAGTTTGAGATATTAATACTCTTATTATAATCTGTAAGTTTCGTTAAAATCGGTTGATAATTGTGGTCTGTAGCCGTGCCACATGAAATGTGTGGTAACCTGATATCTCGGAAACCGTTAACCGGAAGTGGCCGAAATTTTGGCTAGTTTGAGATATTAATACTCTTATTATAATCTGTAAGTTTCATTGAAATCAGTTAATAATTGTGGTCTGTAGCCGTGCCACATGAAATGTGTGGTAACCTGATATCTCGGAAACCGCTAACCGGAAGTGGCCGAAATTTTGGCTAGTTTGAGCTCTTAATACTCTTATTATAATCTGTAAGTTTCATTGAAATCGGTTGATAATTGTGGTCTGTAGCCGTGCCACATGAAATGTGTGGTAACCTGATATCTCGTAAACCGCTAACCGGAAGTGGCCGAAATTTTGGCTAATTTGAGCTCTTAATACTCTTATTATAATCTGTAAGTTTCATTGAAATCGGTTGATAATTGTGGTCTGTAGCCGTGCCACATGAAATGTGTGGTAACCTGATATCTCGTAAACCGCTAACCGGAAGTGGCCGAAATTTTGGCTAATTTGAGATATTAATACTCTTATTATAATCTGTAAGTTTCATTGAAATCGGTTGATAATTGTGGTCTGTAGCCGTGCCACATGAAATGTGTGGTAACCTGATATCTCGTAAACCGCTAACCGGAAGTGGCTGAAATTTTGGCTAGTTTGAGATATTATTAATGTTATTATAATCTGTAAGTTTCATTAAAATCGGTTGATAATTGTGGTCTGTAGCCGTGCCACATGAAATGTGTGGTAACCTGATATCTTGGAAACCGCTAACCGGAAGTGGCCGAAATTTTGGCTAGTTTGAGATATTAATACTCTTATTATAATCTCTAAGTTTCATTGAAATCGGTTGATAATTGTGGTCTGTAGCCGTGCCACATGAAATGTGTGGTAACCTGATATCTCGTAAACCGCTAACCGGAAGTGGCCGAAATTTTGGCTAGTTTGAGCCCTTAATACTCTTATTATAATCTGTAAGTTTCATTGAAATCGGTTGATAATTGTGGTCTGTAGCCGTGCCACATGGAATGTGTGGTAACCTGATATCTCGTAAACCGCTAACCGGAAGTGGCCGAAATTTTGGCTAGTTTGAGATATTACTACTCTTATTATAATCTGTAAGTTTCATTGAAATCGGTTGATAATTGTGGTCTGTAGCCGTGCCACATGAAATGTGTGGTAACCTGATATCTCGTAAACCGCTAACCGGAAGTGGCCGAAATTTTGGCTAGTTTGAGATATTATTAATGTTATTATAATCTGTAAGTTTCATTAAAATCGGTTGATAATTGTGGTCTGTAGCCGTGCCACATGAAATGTGTGGTAACCTGATATCTCGGAAACCGCTAACCGGAAGTGGCCGAAATTTTGGCTAGTTTGAGATATTAATGTTATTATAATCTGTAAGTTTCATTAAAATCGGTTGATAATTGTGGTCTGTAGCCGTGCCACATGAAATGTGTGGTAACCTGATATCTTGGAAACCGCTAACCGGAAGTGGCCGAAATTTTGGCTAGTTTGAGCTCTTAAAACTCTTATTATAATCTGTAAGTTTCATTGAAATCGGTTGATTATTGTGGTCTGTAGCCGTGCCACATGAAATGTGTGTAACCTGATATCTCGGAAACCGTTAACCGGAAGTGGCCGAAATTTTGGCTAGTTTGAGATATTAATACTCTTATTATAATCTGTAAGTTTCATTGAAATCGGTTGATAATTGTGGTCTGTAGCCGTGCCACATGAAATGTGTGGTAACCTGATATCTCGGAAACCGCTAACCGGAAGTGGCCGAAATTTTGGCTAGTTTGAGCTCTTAATACTCTTATTATAATCTGTAAGTTTCATTGAAATCGGTTGATAATTGTGGTCTGTAGCCGTGCCACATGAAATGTGTGGTAACCTGATATCTCGTAAACCGCTAACCGGAAGTGGCCGAAATTTTGGCTAGTTTGAGCTCTTAATACTCTTATTATAATCTGTAAGTTTCATTGAAATCGGTTGATAATTATGGTCTGTAGCCGTGCCACATGAAATGTGTGGTAACCTAATATCTCGGAAACCGTTAACCGGAAGTGGCCGAAAGCTAGTTTGAGATATCAATACTCTTATTATAATCTGTAAGTTTCATTGAAATCGGTTGATAATTGTGGTCTGTAGCCGTGCCACATGAAATGAGACTTGTCATATGTGGCAAATAGTCTCCGTATTGTCTTACCACATGTGGCAAATAGCCCCAGCCCTAAATAATAGTTGGGTCATTTTTAATAAGCTAAATTCTAACAGCCATATGAATTTTTTTGTGACTGTGAGAAAGTATGAAATGGTTTTTTGATTGACTGTTCTATTTATCATTGATACTATAAATAGATTTAAATGTTTCCACGTTTATAGAAGAATTTTATGCCACACATTGTGCTATGTGGGATATTTTGCCCTGACAACGGTACTGCGACCTACTCTTATATCGAATTCCAACTGTCAAAGGATGTTTTATTAGGTGCACGCCAATGTGTACAAGGGGCCTAGGTTTTTCTGCCCATCAAATTGACTATAGATAGCTGTCCTTGTCATGCCCTCCTTCCTGCAGTAATATAGAAACATAACAGCATACCCTGGGATCGATCATCCAGTAACTAGATGCCATTGTACACTTCACAAAGACTAGTGCCTAATTATTGGGAAACGTCATAAATAGAAATTAAAGGTGTGGTTATGGAAAATATTGTTTTGGATGCTGACTTGTAGTCTAGCTCAACTGGGGTAAGGCTATAGTCTGAAAATGATGTAAATCATGGGAAGGAAAACCTTTATAGGCTCTTCATAAATAGGGAAAAAAACATTAATTTATTTGGAAGTGTAATTCATATCCTGCATTAGTAATATAAGTTTGTGTCCCTCTTCAACTTCTCCAAATCGAGCTTCCCATCACCATGAGAATCCCTTTTAAATGGAGGTCATTTTATGTGGACGTATATTGCCGTCGCTCCGTCCGTCCATCGTCCACAATTTCTTGTGAACACTCTACAGACTACATTTATCAACCGATTGTTTTGAAATTGATATATGTTGTTTGCATTAGTGAGATGAAGAAGCCTATTGAATTTCAGCAATTTCTGTTTATTACGTCTAGAGTTATATGGCCCTTGTTTCACTTTATTGTACCTTGTGAATGCTCTAACATCAAAAGTTATCTGCCGATTTGTATGAAATTTGCCTGCGTCATTTAAATTAGTAAAGAGAAGAATCCTATTGAATTTCAGCAATTTCAGTTTATTACTTCTAGAGTTATGGCCCTTGTTTCACTTTGTTAAACCTTTTTAATGCTCATTGATTAAAGTTATCATCCGAAATGTATGAAATTTATATGCAACCATTAAATTTCTGAAACAGAGGTCTATTGAATTTCAGCAATTTCCGTCAATAATTTCTAGAGTTATGACGGTTGTGAACATTTGAATGACAAAAGTGATCATCTGATCTGTATGAAATTTAGATGCATTATTTAAATTAGTAAAACGAAAAAGCCTGTCAAATTTCAACAATTTCTGTAGATTACTTCCAGAGTTGAGACCCTTGTTTCAGTTTGTAGAACCTTGTGAACCCTCAAATGGCAAAAATTATAATCTGATCTGTATGGCACTGTCTTGTAAAGACCCCCAATTACCTACAAAGGAATAAATATGTGACAACCCTTGTCGACCGCTTGGACGATTTAGCTGCTGTGGGCGTATGTACCGTTGCCTGGCAAACCTATCTTCTATTAATTTTTCTTTACTTCAGAAAACTCGATCTCATGATCATAAAATAACAACAAACAACTGATTAAATATGTGAATATTCCTTCTTTATAACAGGAATAAACAGCCCCCCTCCCTCACTGAACAGAGTGTTTACATTAAAAGTAGAAACAACACAGTCAAATTCTACATTATATTGTATACATTCATACCAAAAGTCTTTAGAACAACAAGTTAAAATAAATATTGACTTACTGCAAAACCAAGGTCTTGCTAAATATTATTTTTTTCTGTTTTAATATAAAATTTTGTCACCATTATGACTTTAGCACTTTCTTTGCCAACAGTGAAAAACAATATAATTTAAAATCGATCAACAAAATAAAACTATGTCATAAAATCAGACCTTGCTACCAGTCGAAATATCGCTAATTTAACAGAGATTCATATATTAAATGGAGCCCGATAGACCTTCGAAAAATTTGAGGCAATACACATGTAGATAAAAATTTGCATAAATTGTTGCCTTGATTGAAATGTTTCTAATTATTAGCCGAGAACATTGTTACTTAAGTTATACAAATTATACACTATTTAAACCATAGAACTTACAAAGGTGGCGAGAGTATGTTACGAAAATACATCAGACAAAAAAATGTACATGACAGACGACAAAATTACATTAGCTAACAAACAAATGAACATGTACCATTTTGAAATTTACATGCGATACAGAAGGTACATGAATGATAATACCATTATACAATGGTAACATACAGAAACTAGAGCATTCTCAGAGCAGGGTTTCACCATGCATTTATAATATATATCATTCCAGGGCAATGATTTCATTAATACAACAAATGAGAAAACAAATGAATATAAATGCATATTGATGATGATATATTTGATGAAATTAAAAATTACTAAATGTATATCATAGAAAGTGGTTTATTCTGCTATATATGTGTATATATAGAATATACATTTCAATTTCTGTTGATTAACTTGATTTCATAAAGAAATCTGAAAAAGAATGTTTAAATCTCATGAATTAAACGCTTAGAACAGTTTTGATTGACTTTTTTATAACATATCATCGAAAATAATAATACAATTAATTACATAATGAAAATTTAAAGGATATGAGGTATGGTAACCAATATACAAAATAGTCATTGTTGAATATAGAGATATAACCAGTAGCTAAAATATCCTATGGATATTTACTTGTACCTGTACTGGATACAAGAGAAGATGTGCTTATATCTTGTAGTCAATGTTTACCAGTATTGAAATGAGGTATATTGTTAATATAAAATCTAGTTTAGAGGTATTCAAATATTACACCGAAAAATATAAGAAAATTCTCTACAACTGATATTGTTCTATAATAAATGTTCACATATAAACATCTACACAAATAGCAGTGATGAAAAATTGCACAAATTTTGCTGAAACCTTATTTCAAAGTCATTCATGTGTTCAATTTTCAAATTAATTTTTTTGACAGTGTCCATGTGGTTTTTGATTAAATTTTAATAATAACTAACAAAACATGAAATAAACAAAAAGAACAAACTTAAAAGAATGATAAAAATTTTGGAACAAATTAAATAAATCTTTTCAAGATACTCATTTCTTTCCCCAAAAAATAAAAATGAAACAATAATTAAAATCATGTGTACATAAATACAACAACCAAATGTTAAAAGAACTTAAAATCATAAATAATTTCCACAACAGACCAAAATATGCTAATGATAAAAATAATTAACTAATAATTTATATTTAATATTTTTAACTGTTTAACCTTATCAATAAGGGTATATAATAAGTTAACAAAACATTAATATAATTATCATACACATAACAATGCTATATAATACAATATGAGGTGATAACATCCTGAACGCATCAAGATCTTAGCCTACAAGACCAAGAAAAAAAAATTCCTACAGAAACCCATAATAAAAATAACAAGCCAAACGTGAGGCTGATGTTCCCCACCGCAATCCCAAAATAGATGACACATACTAATTAATTGCACATTCATGGTCTAAGCAGAAAATTTTCATCATCAACTCAAGTCAAGGTTTTAGAGTACCTGGTAGTTTAAGTTTCATCTCTCAAAGCGATCTTGTACCAAAGCATTGACCAATGAAATTGCTTAGTTTTAGTGGAAAATGTTAATCATTGAACTCAGTCAAGACATTCTCAAGTTTAAACACTCTACCTCAATTAAAAGCAGAGTTGTTATGTTCTTCACTTTCACCCAATTAGACCCAAAGTTATCATGTTCTAAAAGAGTCTTAACCAATCAAATTGCTTATCTCTGCTCAGCCTTAGTGGAAAACCTGCATGATCGAACACTGTCAAGGCCTTCACCTAATAAACACCTACACCAAGTTTGAACATTCTACCTCAATTAGAAGGAGAGTTATTGTGTCTCAGAAATTGTTACAGACGATCGGCGACGGACTGACCCATTTTAATAGTTGGTGTAAACCCAAAAAGGATCAAAGGTTTTTTTATACAATTGCTAGAAATCAGTTGAATTTGCAATGAGCTCATAAAGATTTAGACTAATTTCATTTTTGTAAACATCAATGATTAAAGGTTTAAACCATTTTAGAAAAATCATGACACGATTGCAATTTCATTTCTTAATGAAAACATGTATTGGCAAGTTTTAGAGTTAAAACTCAAACAATTTCATAATAAAAAAGAGGTATTTTAACAGTTAGACTTTCTGATAATGATAATAACATCAAAATAATATATACGACGATTAATAATGACCTTAAAGAAAACCAGTAAATGTAAAACATATAAAGAAATGCCCACTACTTCTCACCCCCTGCTCTGATGCTATATAGAGAGTCTACTAGAGAGTAAAATATAAAATGATTGCTCCAATACAACATCTACAGTCAAATACCAACTGAACTTGACGTACCTTAATATAACTACATCACTCTACTTCAACATATCAAGTTCAATGAGTATTTACAACAGCACTGCTATATCATACATATATATAAACTGTACACACACACACGGTACTTATAAAACATAGGCGGGGTGTACTGTTAATTGATGTCGTGGTTTTGTTGCATCTAGCCACCACAACATGACCCGGAATTTAGCATGCCCCATCACCACCCCTAGTTTAATAGTGACTTTAACTCCCTGAGACGATTTCAGGGGTGGTGACCTGAGGTAGATTCGACACTGAGGTAACAATCCCGACGCGAAAAGTCAGGGCGGAAATCAAACAGGCAAAATGTTATCCTGGCATTCAGGTCATTAGTTACTATAAATACTGACAAAATTACGAGAGGAATAGTCGGACATAAAAGAGGATTAATAATAATAATATCAGCTGCCCAGAGTAAGGGACAGACAGTGTTTATACTACATGTATTAAATAAGTCCAGTTATTGATGGCAAACTATACATAAATACAAAACCATTCAGTAACTAGACGTTCATTCATTGATCTCATTCTAATATACTGACTGTAAGTTAATAGAGACAAGGGAAATCCAGCTGCTGCAGATTCTTTTATTTATTACCTGATTTTAAACAGTTTCACCAATGCAGAACTCGAAATAAAACACATTTCCCTTTAATAAACAGAATAAGATACCGGCTGTGGCCACATAAGGGTAATTACCATTAACTGTTTATAAACACGATCATATGCTTGTTTATGACAGTTACCCCTATGAAGTCAAAATCAAAACAAAACTACTTCTTTGTGTTGAGCATAGTTTAGACTATTTCAATACTAGATAATGAATAACATTGCAGAACCTGCAATGGCTAGCCTTTTCCTTGAAAAGAAAGCAAGTTCAGTATATTACAAAATTAACGTGTCTATCATTTTGTACAATACTTGTTTTCACAACTGATTAACTGTCAGCATATAGGCCTATACAAGTTAATTATGTGCAGCACTGTACTTTAATTGTCCGTGAAAAGAACAGAATGAGACCAATGAATAAACAAAAAAATAAATTGAGGTTCGATTGACGTGGAAATTTTTCACCGGGGAAACACCTATATGTAGTGGTGTATGTAAAGTTTTTGGCTGCAAATATTGGGATAAGCTGCCTGTAATATTCACCACGCTAATTTCACCTCAAAGATCATATGGTACACAAACTCCAGTATTACACTGGTAATAAACTAATCTAATAGTTATATTGAAACTGTACAGTTATATAAATGAAAATTGAAGTGGTCCAGTCACTATATATATATAAATACAGTAACTGAGATATAACATAATTGTTGTCTTTTTGTAAGCAAAGGTGTACTACCCTGAGCTCTCTCTTTCTCTCTCACACTCTCTCCAAACACTAAGTCTTTTTATATTTTGAGGTAAACAATATCATTAAAACATTGACTGCCATAGCTTCAACTCCAACCTTTGACTTCACCTCACACCAAATACAAAATGCGATCCTCATTTACTATGTTTCTAGACTGTTATTGTAATAACAACACAAGATACCTCTCAAGCCTCCACAAAACAAAATGTCCTTATTTTGATAGAAATCCGTTGGCTAGCTTCAGTCAGTTATAATATAATCAATGAGGTATTTTGACCACAAAAATTCCTGCTGATTGATCAAAAAGAAAAGTATAAAAGAGTTTGTATAATACCCGCATGTTCAGTTTGTTGTGAATATCCATATTGAAGCACAGCTTCGATCAGCCGTAAGATAATCCGGCTACACCCGCACATGATAATTGAGGTCAGTCGTTTTCATATATTTGTAAAGAAAAAAAAATTATTAAAAATCACACAACAGAGTGAGAGTTTTTAGCTGCAGAAACGGTTCTCCCATCACGGACCGTTGTTTGTATTTGGTGAGGTGCCAAAGAGTTCTCATGGACTCTGGCAGGTATAGAGTTCAGTGTGAGGTCAGGATGGGTGGTATTAGAGCAGCGAGGAGGATCTGGAGGAGGGGGTGGCAGCTCCTTGTTGACCCTAGAAGGTGAGGTAGATGTTGACTGGTGGTATTTGTTCCTGAGTAAAGAGCCATGCTGTTTGTGTTGAGGTGAAATGTTGGGTGTTGGCTGTCCTGTATCAGTAATAACTGCCAGAGTTGCTGCCTCTATTACACATGGATCACCATCAACTAAACTGTTTGGAGAAGCCAGTTGTGGAGTGGCTGTTCCAAAATTCTCCCCTACACTTCCTACACTTCGATCTATATCTTCTAGGGAGCCACTATCTCCTTCCATCACACTACTGCTATTGGCGGCCGATTCACTGCCCTCTCCAGTCACACTGCCATCTGTGGCGGCAAGCATAGCAGCCATCAAACCATGATGTTCCTGCTAATATATAAAATTTTAACATGTTTAACCTAGGTTCTAATTTTAACATTTTATTTTTGTGTAAATCTGAAAAACCATAGTAAGACATGAATATTCTATTGTAGAAATGAATATTCTATAATATGTGTGTGTATTCTATTGTAGAAACATAAATAACATTGTAGAAATAAGAATGTTCTATTATTATTATTTCTTGAAAATAAATAGAACGTCCTGCCAGTAGCACTTGTGGTATTAAAGGTCGCAGTCATCTTCTATATTCATACAGGGCCCTCATACAGGGCAAAAGTCCTCTGTGAGGGCACTGTGTTCATATACCCACATAAAAGTGATTGAACTATGTTAAATAGAAAATGAAAGAGCAGCAAGCTGGCAGATATAAAATGCCTGGGTGACTTTCTTATTCACATCATTAGTATAGAAATCTATCATTGGAAGTAGCGATTTATGGTTCATTTTATATTTTGAAAAATTTGATGAGAAATAGTGGAATTTTATATTTTCTTTTTATAATATTTTTCCATTTTATGAGAAATGACGAAATTTTATGAAAATATAAATTTTTGTATATTGTTGCAATTGTCAACAGGTCTTTTACATACCAAGGTGTAAATGGGGTGATCAAACATGATTTTACTGGTCAATCGGGCAGGCACTAACCTACAAGTGAGACCAAGGCATGATATATATACATTCTTCTGGGACACGTGCCGAGTTTTGAAACCGGTACACTGCCTCTACTGCTAAACTAATGCAATCTCCACTGAAAGTAGTGGACACTTACAGCTGGCTGGTTGATCACTGGATCATGGCTTACAATGTATGTGTTTTATTCTTGTCCACATGTTTGTTTTCTACGTTTCTGCTAGTACTTACTATTATAATACTGCATAGATCGAGCAGAAATGTTTACAAATTTGTTAATTATGAAGGTTTTATCTAAATAACCATGATAAAAATATAACATTTTACAATTCATTCCTATTTTTCAAATTACCAAACAAGGTGTGTAGTATAGAATTAAAAATAAAATATATATATATCACCTCTCTATTGCTGCTGACATCAAGATGACTATTGTTGCTGCTAGGAAACGTGGGTACATGCCCATTGGCTATGTGTCCATTTTGACAATTGAAGCCTCGTGTTCTCACACCATTTGGAGTGACTATCATATTACCTCCACCCTGAAGAAATTAAAATGTTCATGAAGATAGAGCAGTGAGAGACATTTAAGTGAAAGGAATACCACTAAAGATGTGCATGTATGGTATGCTATACCCATAAAAAAATACTTGCAATTCTAAATGAAACCTGATCAGAGGACCACGATATCAAGTGAGAATACTGTTTTCATAATCGTGTAAACACACCAATGATCTATTCTTTCTCAAAAGATAATTGAATTTGACTCCATGGGAATACTGAAAATCACAATTTGGTGGAGCAGACATGGGTTATAGAATGTGGATTTTATTGAGAATGCGTCATGTGTCAAGACGGCTAAAAATCATTTCAGATGCCTTCTGTCTTGCCAGCACATCCAGTCATATCAATGGTGAAATTACAATTCATACAATTAAATGCAGGAATATTTCTCATAGAATGTATTACTTTTATTGTCAACTCAGTAAAAAGATAGTCCCTGTTACAGATTGCAACCACAGAATTAAACAAAACTAAATGTGGCTCAAAAGGATGCATAAGAAAAAGTCACCATTCCAAAGGAGCATATTTTGTACCCTATACCAAGCTGGGAAATGACTTCACCCTTTGCATTTAGAAAGCGAAAATTAGAATTGCAAAGATAGGTTGCCAAGGAACAAAACATAAGCCCACAGCAGCAAATCATTCTAGCAGTCCATAATGGTTGTTGCTTTAGGGTCAGTTGAGCATTTGCAAGATAATGTCATAAAGTAATTATCGTAAATCAATAAAAATTTGACAAACTTCTTCCTTGCAATAACATAAGTAGCTACGGCATCCACAAGAAATTCAAAATGATCTAAAGCTATAAATTTGAAAGTAATTATCTTCAATCTTAGAAAATCAATAGCTTTTATTTGTCTCATGAACATAAGCAATTTTTAAAAATTTTAATCGAGTGACAACCCTTCCCCCTAGAGTGTCCATAAGGAATTAGGGACGAACGGATGGACAAGACTGATAAATTTAGCTAATGGCAACATGCCACACTATTTCAATTCAAAATACTGGAGTTCATTACCAGATGTCAGTTTTTGATTTACCTTTGAGTCTGATTGTTCATTCTCTGGTAGTTTGGTTAACATGGGAGTAAATGCATCTGCATCATGTTGATCCATGGGTATGTGTTCTGAACTTCTGTTGACATGACCGTTACCAGTTCTAGGAAGATGTCCGTTACCATGGTAAGTTGGCGGTGGTAAAGTTAGATGATCCTCGTTATAGAAACATCTGAATAACATTTTAAACCTGTTTCATTAACATTAAAACTGTTTTTAGTATGTCTTCAAGGCAAATAATAAATATATCAAATCTACTGTACATATTTACATCAATTAGACTAAGTTGAATAATGATTTATAGTGTTCATCAGAAAGATATGTATAGTGTTCTATAATTCATAGTGCTCTTTAGCCAGAAATTTAGAACAATAAAACAAAATATGGAGAGCCTGATGGATTGAAATGAGTTATCCAACATGTCCATGACAATAAAGAATGTGACATGAAATCAATAAACGTAATGTGAGAACTTAGGTTAGAATTAATAAATTTCAATCATATTTGGATAACAATATCTTTGGATAAGACTCTTTTCTAATGTGTATGGTCTGAAAGTCTACATTTGTCTTCTAGTCTGGAATAGTGTGTCATGACAAATAAAACTTTATATTGGATTAATCATTTAATTGTATAATGACATAATAATTTGATACTTACTTTCGCCGAAATACAATAACAAGTATACAGATGATTATACATAGAACCCCAATAGTAACTCCAATGATAATTCCAACTTCTTGTCTAGTAAGAAATGATCCTATCATACTAGCATCTACAATTAAATATTAAACACTGTTTTACTATCTTTTTAATCCGATTGAATCCAAACTGGGAGATTATCTACCTTTGATAGTTTGGTTTTGTTGTCTTAAAGATGCATTATGTAAGATTTATATAAAGAGCTGGCTGTTCTTGATATAATTGTTCCAAAAATAGATAATTCAAAATTATTAACTAGAAAATTTCATTCAAATTACTTTATTCTGTGCGACGTTATCAGTCACTGTTTGAAGTTTTGACATAGATTGTTTGTTATCGTAGCAATGTTCTCCATTTTTAAATTAAATCATTAAATGGAGATACCATTCGTTTACACCTGTGCCATCCATTGATCTAGAGAGTTGATTATAGACTTGTCATGTGAATAGATGTCTAAATAATAATTTATATAACATTTGAAGTGAAAAAAAAGGTAGATTAAGCTCTAATATAATGCATCTTTAATTAAATGTTCAATTATCAATTTGAGTTTATTTTTGAATGGATTAAGCCCCCCTCCCCCCACCAAAATTTGATATTTTCTAAAAATACAAATGATGATCAGGAACTTGAACTTACCTTTACAAGTGTCATGATGGCCGTCAACACAACTTCCAGGATAAACTGTTATAACTGGTGATGGGTTACCTTGTCCAGCTTCAGTACATGCACTTAATTTAACATAATACGATGCTGCTGTTAGTTCATCAACTCTAGCTGTTGTAATAACACCTAAAATATACAATACAGAAAATTTTGCACAGACAGGGGCACTACATTTATATCAAACTCCAACTGACAGGGGTTCTTTTATGTGCATCCAATGTGTAGGCCTACATGAGACTTCAATTTTTTTGTCCTATCCGACCGACTATATGTTGTCCCTTGCCAGGTCCTCCGTCTTACACCACTGACAAAGGGGGAACCATGCCAGAAACCTGGATGAACTTTCTCGGTCAACACATCTATCGAACACAGGACCTCCAGGCTAGCGAGCCAACATCTGACTCAATGACTCAACAATACAAAGAAAATCATTAATCTCTCAATAACCAACCCTTTTACTGCCACTTTTTAACTCATAGTTATATACCTACAATGCTATGTTTTATCCTTACAGTTTAGTTTAGGTTCATGCTGTGTGTAATTTATTAAGTTGATAGATGGCAAAGCTGTTTGATTATACGTTTGTCTTCTATTTTACTGATTAAAACTTGTATTTTTCTTTTTAATCATACCTTGAGCAATAACAATATACTACCACACTGCAATATGAGTGTATAAAAGTAAGTGGTTTGAACTAAATTTACAAAAATTGTGTAAGTAATAAGTGAAATGATAACTTAATTCCTACCTTTCTTTGTGACATTATTCCATTTTTTATCTGGTAGTGAATTGTCATGGTTGTAGAAGATAATGTAAGAAGTTATGACACCATTAGGTTCTGATGGTGGATCCCATTTTATCTCAACAATACCAGTCGAGACTATTTCCCATGTTATATTAGTAGGCGCACTGGGTACTGAAAGAACAAATATTCATATTTACAATCAGAAATTAACAAGTGGGCTTCATGGTAAAACTAATAATCAGTTGGTTGATTCATCGTCAGAAAAAAATCCAACAAATAGTCAATATTTGAGGCTTATTTTAAAATAATATGATAAGACCATAAAAACTTCATTCATCAACAAGCGAAGTCTGACTGCGTTTGATTTCTGAGTATATAACTATTTGGGCATTTTATTTTATTTTTTTTTAAATGGCTCGAAATCTGACCGGCTTCCATGCAAGGCAGATAACTCTTATGAACCAAACAAGTTAACCACCTTGGTCACATCAAAATTTCAACATTTACCCTGGAACAAATGCCTATTTGTCACTTTGGAATCATCGTTTATTTACTAGCTACAGAATACACTATGGGACGATTAAATTTAACATATAACATGAAATGAAATGGGGTTTAACTTCTACAGCCCACTCATATATTGAATTCCAACTGCCAATGTGGTTAAATAAAAGTAGATCTCATAGTCTTACAGTAAAAAGAAAAGGGATGAAACTCCTTGAGGTGACTCTGAACCAAGAAACATTACAATATATACGTCATTGGTTACAATTAAATAAATTAAAAATAAAATCGCTGAGTTTTGGCCAAAGTTTTTATCAAGTACATTACTATGTATTTTTAGAAGTCCAGAAGAATTTTTTTTTCTTGGCTTCATTGATAAATCAGTGAATAAATATTGTGTTTATCTTATCCAAGGATAAATGTGGACAAGTGCTTTCTCCAACATTCAGTTTCCTCACATCTGCATTATAAAGATTAGAATTTCCATCTAACCATGCATTTTAAAGATTCAAATAACTGGTGGCAGAAAATGTAGTTAACAACATGAGAAGGTTCATTCGACACAAAGTATCGACCAACAAGATGAAAGCAAATTGACTATTATAGGCTAATACCTACCATCTTGTTTAGTCTGTATACTAACAATTCTGCTAAACATGCTGTCTTGATTGACTATCTTAGTACGTATTTTAAAACTGTAATCAGTGAAAGGCTTCAGATTTGTAATTCTGGCATTATTGGTGACACTTTCCTGGCATTTCAGAGAATTCTCACTGTTGGTAGGATAGTAACACACTTCATACATAGTATCATATTCCCTACGACCTGAACTCCAACTCAACAACACTGTATTAGATGATATTGCCTCAGAATCAACATTGTCTGGTGGTTCTGGAACGCCATTGTCGGAGGTAGAAAATTCCTTAGAAGCAGGAGAAGATGACCCTTGTGCATTTGTTGCCACCATGGTTACCTCATAAGCTGTATTGTTCTCTGGAATAAAAAGGGTATATAGCCTGTCAAAGGATAATCAAAACTTGATGTACAATATTAAATATTCGATCACGTGGATTACCTGTCAATCAGTGAGGCTAATCAAAATAATTACTGCCAACTGACACCCAAACACTTCAATAAGAAGAAAACACGTTGATTTGCAACATATTTTACAATTACAAAAGGATAGGAGACTATTGGGAAATTTTGTTGGCAAAATTAGGAAATTCAACTTATTTTTGGCTCTGGGAAGGATGTTTCATAGACTTGATGCTATGGAAAGACGAGCTTATATTTTTGCCTGATTGCTGCGATTGAAATTCTCCAGCGATATTTTACTGCTGATAATGGATAACGAACAGGCACGCGTAGCGAACCATGTGTTAGTCCTGAAATGACCTAGTTTGTGTGTGTGCTCTCTCTCATATATATCCCCAGAAAATTATTTAACCAAAGCCTCCTACTCACCTAGATTAGAAAGAACATAGGACGATTCGGGTGCCTTGAGAACAACTTTGTCCAGAATTGTTGTGTCAGTTTTTAGATTTCTGAATGTTAGTTCAAAAGACGTATTTTCATCTGAACCTTTCTGTTCCCAAGTAAAGGAAGCACTGGTAGAATTGACAAAAGTAAAGCGAAGTTTTGGTGGTAAAGGGACTGAAAAAAACAAAAACAAGAATGACAAACACTACATTCTGTCTGAAAAATGAGGCATGGGTCGTGTTTGAATTTGAAACATATCCCAAGTTCTTGTTTATCGCTACTGTGTTCTAATAAACATTTTGAAACGAACATTGTTTTAGAATCAAAATGAATTACAATGCAACCAACCACAGAATCTATCCTGTTCTTCCATTACATGCATCAAATGCCCAGTTTGGTATTTAATATTTTAACATGCCTCAATAATCATAAACTATTCTACTTATTAAAACTTACTGTGAGCACCATAATATTCTGGTGTTTGATATTTAACCCAGGGCCAATTTGTGTCTGGTAGATCAGGATAACCTACACTAGTAGCTGCCTTTACGCGCACTTCATAATCAGTGTCTGGTTCTAATCCTGCAAATACATAAAATATATTTATATATTATTGTCAAATATATAGTATAACCTTGTATATTGCTGTAAAATACACTAGTATAAATTTAAATGTTACCAGTATAAACTTATAACTACTGTCAAATATACTAGTATAAACTTATATTACCCTCAGATACAGCAAGCATAAAATTATTGCATTTTGGGACTAACATGGTATATCTTAATTAAAATAATGTTCATGTGCACAAGGGTCTTTAACAGTAATGTTCCAAGAAACCCTTGAGATATAACTGGTAAACTTATTCCTAGCCACTACCAATTTGTATACAGTATGTTGCTTTTTTCAAATTGATTACACATTTCCTTAGTCAGCTCCAGTAACTTAAAGAGTTCTTCTTTATCCAGAAATATTCAAGTTATTTGACATGGTAATTTTAGTTTATAAAAAGAACTGAAATATTGTATTGCTACTAACCTGTGATCAGATATGATTTACGATTTCCATCAATTTCATCATCATACTGAATTAAATCAGAAGTTTTACGAAAATAGATCTTATATTTAGCAATGACACCTCTGGCTTCCTCAGGTTTTAACTCATCCCAAGATACCTCTATATTATTAGCTTGTGTACTATACATAGTTATCTTTGGAGCAACCACAGGTACTGAAATCAAAATACAAATTTTAGTTTTTTTCACAGTAGTTATCGCAAATTGTTGAAAATCAACAGGCCCCTCCACGCATGATGTTAAACAGTGTCTATAAATTTAATCAGGTCGTAACTATAGTGGGCGACAGATGGACCAACGGCTGGGGTGATGAAAATGTGGGCTAACGAAAATCTTTTTTGCCTCATTAACATTTTTATTAAGGTTTAAAGAAAACACTTCCTGTCAACAGGAACAGCCAATCAGTGCATCTTACAATCTGTCTTAATGTTCATTTTTTGTGGTTTACTGACATTTGCAAATGTTTATCTAATAATCAAATTGGGTTGCCAGGCAACAAAACATACGCCCAGAGTAGCTAAATTGTTCGAGCAGTCGACAAGGTTTGTCGTATTCTTTTGTAGGTAATGGGAGCATTTACAAGGGCCATAAATGTAAAAGTTATCTACAGAATAATGCATATAAATTTCATACAGATCGGATGATAACTTTTGTCAAGAGCATTCACAAGGTTCAACAAAGTGAAACAAGAACAATAACTCTTAGAAGAAATTAATGGAAATTAAACAGTGCATATAAATTTCATACAGATCGGATGATAAATTTTGTTGACTGAGAAATCACAAGGTTCAACAAAGTGAAACAAGGGTCATAACTCTAGAAGAAACTAATGGAAACTTGAAATTCAATAGGCTTCTTGGATCTGGGGATCTAAATAATGCATGTAAATTTCATACAGAACAGATGATTACTTTTGTCAATAGAGCATTCCCACGATTCAACAAAGTGAAACATCGGCCATAATTCTAGAAGTTATAAACAGAAATTGCTGCAATTCACAAGGCTTCTTTGGTTTACTAATTTAAATAATGCATGTAAATCTAATACAGATTGGACGATAACTGAAATTCAATAAGCTTTTTCGTATTACTAAATTAAATATAAATGTGAATTTAATACAGATCGGATGATAACTGCTCACAAGGTTCAACAAAGTAAAACAAGGACCATAACTCTGGATGTAATTGATGGAAATTGAATAGGATTCTTCACCTTACTGATGTAAACAATATATATAAATTTCAAACTGATCAGATAATAAATGTAGCCTGTAGAGTGTCACAATAAATTATAGAGAATTAATGGACCAACGTATGGATGAAGGCGTTGGCAATATACGATCACATTTCCATGTGAGTGTATAAAAAAAATATCTTTCTCAGTTACTATGTTCACAGTTCATTAATAAAGTTGATATTTACTATACCCTGTATCTTATCCCTCTAGGTTTGTATGTCAAACAAACCCCCAAAACAAACTGGAATGAATAAATGTAACCTTGCACTTCTATACACATAACTGTTTATACCACCCAATCGATCATTGAAAAATATTTATAGTCTAAAAATAAGCAACGGTCAAAGTCCCATAAAAACTTGAATTAAATGTTGTCTCATACAATTACACTACTTGACAAGCGGAACTATAATAATTTGAACCAAAAAATGTCTGCATAAAAAATTAACAGATATTGATCACATTGAAGTTTTATTGTGGTGACAATAAAAATATGATTTAAAAAAAATCCTGCAAAAAATACTCTGATGACATTGTTTTGTGTGCCTAAAGATGTCAAACTACAATGTTTGAGTGTTATGAAATAATGAAATTTCTAAATGTATTTAATTTTCTACCGATGTATAGTACTCACCATCTTCTTTTGTAAGAATTGTAACACTCTTTGAAGCTGGACTAACACCCATCTTATTGACACTCTTGACAAATAATGTATAGTTTGTGTGAGCATCGAGTTCTTTTACTCTACATTCTGGTATTTGAACAAATGTAGTATCAAGTTGTCCTAATGCTGTAATGGAATATATAAAGCAATGCAAGAGAAATGGTTTAACATCTTAATCATATTTTACTTCGGTCCTTTTTTGGAATAAAATATGGTAATGTTTATTTTTATTGTGAGGGTGAGAAATTAGCTGAGACAGCCGCATTTTAACCAACTACCAATATACGATTTAATGACTAGTCATAGTTTCCTTATCAAACCTTCTCTGACAAGTGAGAATCAGGACATGAAAAATCCAGAATGTTCTCCTGGCCAACATTGATGCCACCGTGAATTGTATATATTAGAGGTAATAGCGGCTGCCAGGCAGGATTTGCCCACATTTTGCAAGAGATGGATAGAGAACAAGCTAAAAACAAAAACGATTTTTTGTACAATCAGGGGCCATAATCAAGAAAGTTATGGTCTAAAATACGCAAATATCAAAAGGGACAGAGATTTTTGGAATATAAAGATATGTTTTAAGTTTCATCAAAATTGGATAAAAATTGTGACCTCTAGAGGGTCCATAACCTTTGTATTACATATTTATACACAATTTGCATACAAAGAGCAGCCATTTTGTCGGGCAGTTTCATTTCTATTTTCCCGAAATTTGAATTAAACCTTCATTATGGTGGAATAGTGATGTATCTAAACATTTTTTTTAAAATCAGAAATGGAATACCAAGAAGAGATTATAAAATTATCATAGTAATCACCGATAATTGATTGAAGGCTGGATTATCCAATGTTAATGACTGGACCGCTGATTGATGTCGTAATTCGGAATATTCAGAATATGGACTACCCAAACTTTTTTGGGTTAAGTAATAAGGAAATAAATCGGGACATGAAAATGATGACAGATTTCACAGAATGCCATAGTATTCAGATGTTGAAAGTGACAGAGTCCACGGTATATATAGAATAACATACCTTTCGAGTACAAAACCATGTAAGTAAGAAGTTGACTATCTGTTGGAGACCATTTCAACAGTATTTCTGAACTCGAGACAGCAGAGCCATTGACATCATTAGGCGGTTCAGGAGCACCATCTGTTTTAAATATTTCCAGGTAAGCTGTGGACATATTTTGTCCTACACTGTTTTCTCCTACACACTGATAATAACCTGAGTGAGTTGGATCAGCAGATAAAACCACCAACTTGTCTGATCTTACCTAACAATAAGACAATAAAATACATTCATTAAAGCGAGAATTTCATATTTTCTAAGAAAGTCAAAACATAATTATTTCTATGTCTTTTGCTCAATAGGTTGTCAACTCACTATTATACGATCATAGGTATCATTATCACACTTATAAAATCATTCACACCGAAAATAACACAATCATATTTTCTAAGAAAGTAAAAACATAATTATTTCTATGTCTTTTGCTCAATAGGTTGTCAACTCACTATTATACGATCATAGGTATCATTATCACACTTATAAAATCATTCACACCGGCAATAACACAATCACCTCTCTTGTTTTTCTATTCGCCCATGGAATAGCTATCTTCAAACATTCGAATTTGAAGTTGAAAATGATATTTTTGCCAATTTCTCAACTGGCAATAGTGAATTATAGGATTAATAGGATTATTCTTTAACAAGGTAGGACTGTTCATAGATACCATCTATTTTAAGGCTTTATTTTAATACATTTTAAAAATATACCTTAAAAATATGAAATTCTCGCTTTAATACTGTACACTACAAATACTATAATTTTTTTATTCTTGATATAGCAAAGGTGCCAATTTTAGGCATACATATTTTTGCCAATTCAGACTGAAATGTAATTCAGGTGAAAAATCTTGCAATTTAATTAATTGCTGTAAGACTACCTAATTTATAGACAAGGCTTTTACATTAACATTTAGCAGCAGGTTCAACCGCAATTACAGATCCCTCATTCCTCTAGTGCCTCAAACCGCCCTAGACATCTATTTATAGACGGGCCAAATCCAAAATTGTAGAAGTTCAAAATGGCTGCCAGAATGGCAGATTTTAAATTAATTGTTATTTTTTCCTTTTGAATACGACTTATGATATATCATATTACAATACAAAGTGGTAACAAGCCTTACAATACAAAGTGGTAACAAACCTTACAATACAAAGTGGTAACAAGCCTTACAATACAAAGTGGTAACAAGTCTTACAATACAAAGTGGTAACAAGTCTTACAATACAAAGTGGTAATAAGTCTTACAATACAAAGTGGTAATTGAGGCGAAATGTTAAGCAAATAACAAATTTGACCAAATCAATTTTAAGAAATTTATTTTTCACATGGTACTGGCCATTTTGTCAAAATGGCTGCCAAATTTGGTATTAAAATGGCATATAACCAGTCTCTATCTTGTAAGACATCACTATTACTATGTCTTTTATATGGTTTTCGAAATTTAAAATGGCTGCCAAAATGGTGGATTTTAAATTAATCGTTATTTTTCTCTTTTTGATACGACTTGTAACATGTCTTTCACATGGCTTTAGATCTCATTTGGTTGAATTCTGATAGCAAAAAATTAATTTCGAAATGTCGGATTTTTGATTGTCATTTTCTTCCATTGGATATGGCTTGTATTACATCTTTTTCGCTGGGGATAAAAGTTGTTTCAATATATCTAGTTAAGAATTTGTGCTCTAATATTGGATCAGAAAGGGTTATGCGATCTGTGTTTACAGCTATTGTGGTATCAATTATAGAGATGGACTGTAAAGGGGTATGGTAGTTTTAAAGGTCTCTAAACAAGTTAATGTTTATGCTTTTTCAAAAGAAATTTCGAACCTATTTGGAGATAACCCTGTCATTCCCCTCATGGTGCAAAGATCAGCCCATCATTGATATTGTCTTGTGTTCAGTATTACCATGGCAATTGCAAGAACTTGTTGTGAAATGAATAACAGCCAGAAATGAACCTGTGTTTACTATCGGTCTAGATGATATCAAGGTGTACCGGTGTGGTTCTCTCCTTGTCACAAATTCTTTTTTGAAAAACTGACTGTAAATGATGTTTTCTATAGTATGTGTTGAGGTTTCTAGCTTATGCACAAATTTGATGTGCAACAATCTCAAATTAATTTTTGAGCCCAACATTGAATTCAATAACCCTGAAAACGTTATTTTACAAGCAATGTCAAACAGAACAAAAATCACAATTTTGATTCTATTTTGATTACATCATCTTGGCTAGGTTATTAGGTAGAAACATAACTCAGCAATCTCAAAACCCTTACATAAGACATATTACAAGAAATATCAAACGGAAACAAATGACGATTAAATAAAATTCGGCTATTTTGGATTTTATTTTGAATTTCTGTCGTCATGGATTCTCGAAATTGATTTTTGAGATCAGAATTTAACCCAGCAACATCCCCATCCACATAAATGACATGCCACAAGTCATATCCATCAGGAAAAAATGATGATTAACTTGAAATATGCCATTTTTTTAGGCCATTTTGAATTGTTGCCATGCTGGATTTTCGAAATTTATCTTTAAATTCAGAGACATAGAAAACAATACAATGCTACAGAATTTCTTCATTCAAAATACTTCCTCAGCTTTGACATTTTATCTTTGAAATTAAAGAATCATTACCATGACTGATTCAATACAGTAAGTTCAGATTCCACCCACACCAGTCTTGCGGAAATCTATATATTATCTTACTGGTCAAATTCAATTAATTCACTTACATCTAGTCTTTCATTTGTTTTATCAACTGGCTGTCCATTTAAAAACCATTTGATGTCTGGTTTAGGAACTCCGCTAATAACACAATCAAATATTACATTTCTTGCTACAGGCCACTTCTGGGATTTGAGAGCAGTAACTACCTTAGGTGGACCTAACAAAAGAAATTTAATGAGAATTAAAACTGTACATGAGATAGGGTATATATAAAAAATTTTTATGGCATTTCCAGCAAAAATTTAAATAGTAAATGTATTTTTTATATATCATTTGAAAATGGGTGGTAGACAGGAAGAATAAAGGCAATCAATTCTAATTACATATATTATCTTATTGTTCTAGGCTTGGAGGGTTTTTACACAGAAATTATTCAATACTTACTTAACACAGTGAGAACAGCTTCAGAGTGTACATTAGGATAAGCTGTAGAATTTGATGTACAGATATAAATGCCTTCATCAGTTGCTTTTAACTTATCAAACTTGAGATTGGTAGAACCATATCTGACTCCAGATACTGACAGTTTATCTGAAACACAAAACGGCAATAATTTTAAAACACTTTAAGTTGATCTATAACATTGGTTTAAAGGGAAGCATGCCAGTATGTCAAATATGTGGTCAATGAGTATAATCAAAATGTTCTCTTACTAAACTACATTATTAGTTTAAATTAAAAGGTTTTTCTGTGTGAAATGATATATGCATGGACCATTTGGTTTGGTAGCTCTTTTGTATTTTACGCCATTACTGCACTTCAAGGTATTAGTATAATATCTTGAAAAATAAAAGTTAAAATACATAACTATAAATCTTACAATCCATAGTAACACAAAAGGTTTATAGATTGACACGAGAATTCCAAACAAGTTTTGTACATAGATGATTAAGGTTAATCTTACCTTTACGTGTCCAAATAACACCTGGTAAAGGTTTGCCTCCAATCAGACATTCCAATACAGTCGATTCACCAATAATACCCGTATTATTTTGAGGTGGAGCAAGCATCCTCGGACCCTGCCTATCTTTACCTTTAAAAAAATAATAAATCAATAATATAATTAAGAGGGCTACAAAAAATTGATGTATGCCAAGATATCACTGAGACATGTTCATGTTTAGAGTTAGTCAGGCTTGATTTTCAATAGCTGAAAATAGTATCAATTTTGTCCCTGTTGATATATTACATAAAATTCTTTAAAAAATATGTAGATGCTATTGAAAATGTATGTTATGTGTAGGTAGAGCAAATTACAAATCTTAACAGGACATTGGGTAAGATTAGTGAAACAACTGACAGTTCTCGTTATAATAGTTAAAAAAATATATTTCATAAAAACAAACAAAAATGCTGCAAATTTCAATCAAATTACTCCGCTCTAAACCGGGATATTAGTGATTCAATTTTAGCCTAGTCTTGGTCGTCTTTACTAATGTTGGTATAATAAAAAAAGTCTTGATTAACAATTTTTACGTTAAATTATCTAACATTTTGATAACATTTCAGGTCCAAAGAAAGACCTGCTATAGGCAGATTTAGCTCTTGCATAATGCATGTTTAATATTGACAAACTTGAATCAAAACAATGTTTTTGAACCAGATATCTATATTCCTTCAGCATACATATACTGTTATCGACCTACATGTACATGTATAATCTACATCACTGACAGGCCTTACAGATGTTAAAAAATACACACCATTTTTCTATTATCATTCCACATCTACAAGTAGCTGACCTTTACTACACGAGGCCACAATATGGAAATAATAAACCATATTTTGGTCACTCTATTTGTTTACATATACATAGTAGGATGTTAATATAAGTAATTTTTGACAACTGTGTGTCAAAGGTGAGGCAAAAAACCAAACATACACAAATAATATTTAGTTTTATTGTGTGAAAAGGGGTGTTATGCAAGGTTGAAAAAATTGCATGGAAGTCAATTACCACATGGTTTATATCAACATAAAAATAACAGTAGCTGAATAACCTACTTATCCCTTAGTTTTTTTTATCTTATTTACAAAGAGTTCTAAAAAATAGTACATGTTTGTAGCTCTATGAATGTGATCTTACCCTATCATATGGTTTATGTATTTATTAATAAAGTAGTTAATCTAACCCTATTTTATGGTTTAGATATTTACATGTATTTTTACCAAGAGTTATAAGTGGAAGTAGTTAATAACCTAACCCTATTATATGGTTTAGGCATTTATTTTTACAAAGAGTTATTAAAGGGATGTTAGATTAGATAAAGAGCTGACAGTTCTCGCTATAATAGTTAAACAAGCGGCTGCCAGGCAGGATACACCCACATTTTGCAAGAGATGGATAGAGAACAAGTTAAAAACAAACACGATTTTTTGTACAATCACGGGCAATAGTCCAGAAAGTTATTGTCTGAAATGTGCAAATATCAAAACGGACTGAGATCTTCGGAATGTAAAGATATGTTTTAAGTTTCATCAAAATCAGATATTATAAAATCGGAAAAAAATTGTGACCTCTAGAGAATCAGCAAGCTAAAAATGTGATTTTTCGAAAAATCAGGGGCCATAATCCAGGAAGTTAAGTTCGGGTATCCATGATTATCAAAAGGAACCAAGATCTTAGTGTGTAATGGTGATATATTCACACGTTTGTTTTTTTAAATCGGATAAAAATTGTGACCTCTACGGGGACCACAAGCTAAAACATGATTTTTTGTTTAATCAAGGGCAATGATTCAGGAAGTTACAATCCGATATGCGCGAATATCAAAAGGAACCAATATCCTTGCGTTATAAACATGGATTTCAAGTGTCATCGAAATCGGATCAAAATTGTGACCTCTAGAGGGTCCACAACCTTGATTTACCAGATGTTTATACTATTTGACTATGAAGGGCAGCAATTTTCTCCGGCAGTTTTGGCCCGATTTTCTAGGAATTCGATTTCTACAAAACTCATGGTGTAATGGTAATATATTCGAACGGTTATTTAAATTGGATAATACTTATGATCTCTGGAGGGATCACAAGCTAAAAACGTGATTTTTCGTACAATGAGAGGCCATGATTCAGGAGGTTACAATCCGATATGCGCTAATATCAAAAGGAACCGAGATCTTTGGGTTATAAACTTGCATTTCAAGTTTCATCAAAATCGGATCAAAATTGTGGCCTCTAGAGGGTCCACAACCTTGATATACCAGATGTTTAAACTATTTGCGTACGTAGGCATCCATTTGGTCTGGCAGTTTGGTCCGATTTTCATGAAATTCAAACTCAGACAAATTACGGTGTAACGGTGACATATTCGAACGTTTTTTTAATTCGGATAATAATTGTGACCTATTGAGGGAACACAAGCTAAAAACGGAACCAAGATATTTGGGTTATAAACATACATATCAAGTTTCATCAAAATCAGATGAAAATTGTGACCACAACCCGGATACATTATATTTTGACACTATTTGCGAACGAGGGGCGGCCATTTTGTCCTTCAGTTTCAGTCCGATTTTTACAAAATTCAAACTCAACCATCCTTAGGGTGTAACGGTGATATATTTAAACGTTTTTTTAAATGGGATAAAAAGTGTGATCTCTATAGGGTCCACAAGCTAAAAACGCGATTTTTCGTACAGTCAGGGGCCATAATTCAGTAAGTTATGGTCCGATATGTGCAAATATCGAAAGGAACCGAGATCTGTGGGTTATAAACATATATTTCAAGTTTAAACAAAATCGAATAAAAATTGCGACCTCTACAGTGTTCACAAGTTAAAAACTTAATTTTTGTACAATCAGGGGCCATAATCCACGAAATTACAGTCCGATACATGCCAATATCAAAAGGGACCGAGATCTTGGGGAGATAAACCTATATTTCAAGTTTCATTGAAATCGGATAAAAACTGTGACCTGTAGAGTGTTCACAAACAATTGTGGATGGACGGACGGACGGACGGACAGGTGCACCGACAATTTAAGTTCACATGAAAATGTGGGCGTATAAAAATAGATAATGAAAGCAGAATATGCCGAAAATTTCAGTCAAACTGGATCACTCTGAACAAGATATTAGCGAATGACTTGCAATAGGCAGATTTACATTACATGTAGCTCTTGCGAACGTGGTTTATAACCTAACCCTATCAGATGGTTTAGCTATTCATTTTTCCAAAGAATTATTAATGAAAGTATCTAGATAACCTAACTCTATCATCAGTGCTTCATGCTTGAAAAGCTGAAAATCGCTCCCACAAAACAGTAACTTAAAACAGAGGAGTACCGGTAATCTATTATTTAGAAGAGCTATTTATGTATTTCATACTTTGAGCATAGATGGGGCCATTTAGTGACCATTAATAATAGGGCCATGTAGAGGTGCGAAATTGTGTTTGATATTCAATTTTAAAAAGATATTTTCGGATCTGAATGAATTCTACACATTTCTCAACAGCGGGATTATTGGCCTTTATATTTTAAATTTAAAGCATAAATGACAGGTTAGTTACCAAAGTGACTTTTCGACGCCTGCCTGATTAAACTCTATATTTATTTATCTATGTAAATCTTTTTTAAAAAAATAAAAAATAAAAAAAATAACACACACAAATGATCATGTTTCCAGCACCAAGAATTGAATTCAGTGGTATTTTTCTGCGGGCCAGAAACAAAATTCCCATTGGACAATATTCGAGGATTCGTTTACATGGGTTTTATTTGCAAATCAGGGGTTCATTTTTTTGACAAATCAGTAAAATATGACAAGAGTGATTTTATCCTAGGAGAACTCTTCTATTTTAACGTTTGCACGAGCAGAAAAGAGCAAAGATAGGTTGCCAGGCAACGAAACATACGCCCACAGCAACTAAATCGTCCGGGCAGTCAACAAGGGTTGTCGCATATTTTTACTTTTTTCGGTAATGAAACATTTATAATACACTAAAATCTGTATCAGAGCAACAACTCACGAAAGCTATTAGAATTTGTTTGGTTTTTATAAAGTTCTGCCCCATGCTAACGTTTTGTATGCAAAGCTTTTAATATCATGGATTTAACTGTTCAAGTCATAAAAATTCATTGAAAATCAATATACTTGTTCGTCTCAAGATCTTAAACTCTGTGTATCAATCTGAAGTCAATCGGATTATGACTTTAGCCTTTAGAGCATCACAAGATTTTGCAAAGTGATCAAGGGCCATAACTTTGGCAGTAATTATGGGAAATCGTTGAAAATCAATAGGAATCTTCGTCTCATGACCTCAAACACTGTGTATAAATTTAAACTCAATCGGATATTAACTTTAGCCTCTAGAGCATCCACAAGATTTTTTGAAGTGATCAAGGGCCATAACTCTGGCAGTAATTATCGGAAATCGCTGAAAATCAATAGGCTTCTTTGTCTCATGACCTTAAACACTGTGTATAAATTGAAAGTCAATCGGATATTAACTTTGGCCTCTAGAGCGTCCACAAGATTTTTCAAAGTGATCAAGGGCCATAAATCTGGCAGCAAATATTGGAAATCGCTGAAAATCAATAGGCTTCTTCGTCTCATGACCTTAAACACTGTGTATAAATTTAAAGTCAATCGAATATTAACTTTCGCTTCTAGAGCATCCACAAGATTTTTTGAAGTGATCAAGGGCCATAACTCTGGCAGTAATTATCAGAAATCGCTGAAAACCAATAGGCTTCATCATCTTATGACCTTAAACACTGTGTATAAATTCAATGTCAATCGGATGTTAACTTTAGCCTCTAGAGCATCCACAAGATTTTTTGAAGTGATCAAGGGCCATAACTCTGGCAGTAATTATTGGAAATCGTTGAAAATCAATAGGTTTCTTCGTCTCACGACCTTAAACATTGTGTATAAATTTAAAGTCAATCGGATATTAACTTTGGCTTTTAGAGCCTCCACAAGATTTTTTGAAGTGATCAAGGGCCATAACTCTGGCAGTAATTATCGGAAATCGCTGAAAATCATTAGGCTTCTTCGTCTCATGACCTTAAACACTGTGTATAAATTTAAAGTCAATCGGATATTAACTTTGGCCTTTAGAGCGTCCACAAGATTTTTTGAAGTGATCAAGGGCCATAACTCTGGCAGTAATTATCGGAAATCGTTGAAAATCAATAGGCTTCTTCGTCTCATGACCTCAAACACTGTGTATAAATTTAAGGTCAATTCGATATTAACTTTGGCCTCTAGAGCATCCACAAGATTTTTCAAAGTGATCAAGGGCCATAACTCTGGCAGTAATTATCGGAAATCGCTGAAAATCAATAGGCTTCTTCGTTTCAAGACCTTAAACACTGTGTATAAATTTAAAGTCAATCAGATATTAACTTTAGCCTCTAGAGTGCTCACAAGCAATTGTGGACGCCGGACGGACGGACGGGGGCGACGACAATATACGACCACATTTCAATGTGGGCGTATAAAAACGATCTCTCTCTTCAAATGTGAAGCACTGCATCATACGGTTTAGCTACCGGTATTCATTTTATACAAAGAATTATTAATGAAGGTGGTTAATTAATGAAAGAAGTTAATCTGACCCCATCATATGGTTTAGGTATTTATTTTTACTAAGATGTCTAAATTAAAAGGAGTTAGATAACACAACTCTAGCATATGGTTTAGCTATTCATTTTTACAAAGATTTATGAAAAGTTCATGAATTGGTAGATAAATCACATAACCCAGTCATATGATTTAGGTATCTTCATCAAAGAGATGTTAATAAAAAAAAAGTTATTATACATACACACACATTTACATATTATATTCATACAAAAGCCAACAATGTCAAATTGCAACCCAATATCTAATTCTGTATCTGAAGTTTTTCGTTATCAGCTGTTGTCATAAATAGAGTACATTCGAGTCTCAATGAAGTAAATTTTAATAAAAGATTTCCGATTCATATAAGTCACATTATATTACACCATTTACATTGGTTTCTTTGTAGTCCATTCTAGGTTTTGGCATGCACTGTCAAATGTATTATTACAGGTTATACATGCCATTTAGAAAAAATGAAATGGGGTTTAATGTCCCACATGCAATTTTCTGCACCGACTGGGCTAATGAAGACAGGCATATGCCATACATAGAGGATATTTGTCGTTTTAGAGTGAATAACATATTTTATTAGAGTTGAAATAAAATATGTTATTCACGACAAAACGGCAAATGTTCTATTTATTTTATGATTTTACAATCATTTTAGGTAAAAACAACATGGACTACTTTAGCCAGTGGAATAACACTTTTATTTCACTGATATAACGCAGTATTCCACTACTGATCATAAAATAAAGTGTGCTACACTTACATGTATGAGAGAAAATTAGACCTACTCATATTCAAATTCCAATGTATTCATGCCCCCTGTATACTAATATGTGGGGGACTAAATATGCAATACATGTATATTTCGGCACCTCTAACATGTAAACAATATTTTCAACACTGCTAATTTTATTACCACATACATGTACCTGTAGGTATTTACATAATTTTTCAAAACACACCATATTTTATTTTAATGTATATTTTAAGTCACAAGAAAGCACTCACTGTCAATTTCAGATGTTTAATAATAGGGCCTATTTAATAGTCTATGAAAAGTATTCATTTTAAATAAATGAAATGAGGTTTAACGTCCTACTGTTCTGCTCTGACTGGGCTAATGAAGACAGACCTTTTAAATAAATATCACCTGAATAACAAATTGTTCAACTTCTGGGATGAAATGGGCTTCAAAAAGGCTACAGAAAAATATTCTTACGATTTAAAACTGTTAATTGTCCTTCCTTGCTGTTTTTGTTTTTGAAGTTACTTGTAACTTCGGTACGTCCCAGTACAGACCCGGAAGAATATGCAATGCAGCGATACATTCCTGCATCTTCATATTTGAGGTTTGTGATTTGTAAAACACCTGAGGAGAATGTTGTGTATCTGAAATTAATAATAAAAACTCCATTCTATTCACAAGACATAGAAATACAAGGACTGGTGTGTTGAAAAGTACAAACAACTTGTAACATCCACATTATTGCACTGTATAGCCTATTAATAGACTGTATCTAAAGGTCAAAGGTCTCTTATCAATTCCTTTACCAAGAAAACTTTCATGAAATTCAATTACATTGTAAATTATTTTTCATTTTAATTTCCTACTCTAGTGATTTAAACATGAATATAATCAATATTTACAAATCATATTATGTTTTTTTAAAAGTGATATTTATATATATATATATATAGATTACATCAACTAGAGAGTAAAAGCAGTGCTATTTATAAATATACATGTATACATACCGATCATTTTGAGGTATATTTTTTTTATCTTTTTGCCATACATATGACGGAGGAGGTACAGAGTTGATATTGCATTCAAATCGCGCCACACCACCTAAATATCCCTGCCATGGTGAAGGCTCTTTTGTAAAAAATTTTTCTATGCCTGAAAAATACAGTAATTGAACTTTTATCGTAAAGTAAAATAGCAACCAGAAAAATAAGCTTACACAAATCAAAATGGAGCTCAATTAATCACATCTTCCCATAGAGCTACAGATGAATAACATGGACACATTTATTTAGAACTATTCTGATGCTGATTAGAAGACCCGTCTATAACATATAGGTACTGAAAATCAAAAGGACATATTTATGGAAAACAGTTACTAGTGTATTAAATGTGATATTTCGAAGAGTACTTTCTCAACGTTATCAAGCTAATACAACAATACAGATATGAGAAAAATACCAACTATAACAACATAACCGAAAACTCTTTGAAACGTCGTCTTAAATACACTAGTAGCTGTTTTCCATTTTCCAGTTACTAAATGCCCTTTAAAAATTATTATTGGTACTAATTGCAGATCTTCAATTACATATACTTCCAAAGTTAACTTCTATCAACGGGCCACTCATTTTATTAATTGTTCACTCCAATTCATCCTGATATAAAAAATTTTTTCTTATCCAGGCATTTGGTTTGGCAGTTTAATCAAAGTACATGTACAATCATGCATATTTCTCAAACATTTCCTTAGAAGGACAGAAATAGATTAGTTGATACTGATAAGTACTAAAATAGAAATAGTAGGTTAATTTCCCAACAACTAACAAGTTAAAATGACCAATATTCTGGTACAGAATATCTTCATCATGGAGATTGGTAAGGTGAGCATAAAACAAAAACCTTTATTCTAATTTTTGAGCACAGGGAGCCACGGTAGTTCAGTTACATGTAGTTAGTCACTGCCTCATAAGTCTGCTGTAAGGAGCAAGGGGTCTGGTTTTGACAGAGTGAAAAACTGGGGTTGTGTACAAGAATACTTGCCAGTTGGACTTCGATGAAGACTATGTCGAAACTCCACTCTCTGAGCAAAATTTCACTCCTAGCACACTGCATGGTAAATGCCCAACTTCATTGCTTGGTTTGTACGAACAAATTCGGGGGGAATCACGTGGTTAAGTGGGTAAGATGCTGGCTTGCTAGCCTGGAGGTCGGGTGTTCGATCCCTGTATTGGCCGAGAAAGTTCACCGAGATATTCCGGCGTGGATTCCCCATGTCAGTGATGCAGGATGGAGGGCCTGACAAGGACAGCTGTCTAGTCGTTCAGATGAGACGAAAAACCGAGGTCCCGTGTACACATTGGCGTGCACATAAAAGATCCCTTGGCAGTTGGAATTCGATATAAAGAGTAGGCTGCCCGGGCAAAATTTCCCTCATAGCACACTGTATGGCGTATGCCCGTCGTCATTAGCCCAGGTTAGAAGCAGAACAGTAGGACGTTAAACCCCATTTCATTTCATTTCATTTTCATTACGAACAAGTAGGACATTAAACCCTCATTTTATTTTCATGCAAACCTTAAGCAAACAAGAGGGTCACATTGGTCAAATGGTAGAGTAGCCAGAAATGTGAATGTCCAGGCAAAATTTTCTAATAGCATCATACACTTAACAATTGAATTGACAATCACCACATGTTAGTCTACAACATTAAATACCTAAGTATTTGTCATGATTGATTGTTCACAACTATTTCAAATTTCTTGATAACATAGCAGCTTAGATGTATCTACATGCATCAACATTAATGTCTTAAAAGTCAAGAACTTAATATTTCGGCTTAACGGTTGTTGTCTAGTAGATTTGTCATCCATGTGAGGACCTTTAAATCAAATATGGCTACTGAAATGAATTGAAATGACTGGGCTAATGAAGACGGGCATATAGTACTATACACTGTACATATGACATACATTTACATGTACATTACATTAGAAAAATAGAATTAATTTGGAATAATGTCAAAATTTACATGTACATGTAATTATTGAAATCCATGCACTGATTATCATAAAAGTAACATATTTTTTGAAAAACATTTGTTTCAACTCCTTGAAAATCTCTAAACAATTATGTATGACTTGGTACAGGTTAAAATGTCTATACATGTATGTCATTAATGGCTAGGCATACATGTATACAGGTTAAAATGTCTATGTCATTAATGGCTAGGCATACATGTACATTGTATGTCTCAAATATTCCAAACAAACAAATTTGTACATGCATGATGTAATTGTACAGTACAGAATATTCAAATCATGTGCCATGTCAATTTTTTTTGTAACAAACTAGCAAATACTTTTCACGCTCTAATCAACATCCAATAGACTTAAAATTAATATTAATTGTTAATTCATAAGACTACCTACAAAGTTATACACAATGTCTATGTGCAAACAATAATATTATGAAGAAACAATATCTAGTTACTGCTCTTGATCACTTCTTAAAATATTGAGGACCTCTAGTATTATGAATTTTTGAATGTCATTTGTATACTGGTATGTTCATGTAGGCACTACACTTTAAGTCCATACAGAAGCCTCCATTCAAGTTTCACAAAATTCTATTAAGAAGATATGGCAAAGTTATTGAAGTTTTAACAAATTCAACATATCGGTTTAACATAACTATTATACGTACATGTACGTGTATGTATATTTGGGAAAAAAGTCCAAATTGGCTAGAACAGGGTATAACATAATTAGGGTGACCACCTTTGCTTGATCATATTGCGGGACATCATCTTTTTTTTAAAAAAAAAACCGAGGTAGTATGCATAACAATGTTGATCTAGTCACTTCACTTTTCGTCATTGCAACAATAGAAAATCAACCTATGAAATATTCACACAAGCCTGGTTTGTATTCGTGTGTCATATGATATTTACCACGAATCTTTTAGGATAATAATAGATAGCAACAATATAAATTCAAGTCATAATATTTATATCTTTCATTTCAAACAAAATATATAGATTATTAATTTGTGCGACAGAACCGTTTGAAAGGGTGTGTTGGCGTTGAATTAAATTTTTAAGTTACAATCAAATGACTGCCGAATTATTATCCATGTACATTAATCGTTTATCGCTAAAATCAAATCATGCCCAAGGTATAGTGAAACGTTTTGAGATTTTATCGCTTAAGTTCAATCATGCTAAATGTTGTGAAACTGATAAAGGATGTTATGCTGGTTAAAGATGCATGATTTGAGAGCTGGGGGGGCTGGATGGCCGAATGGTTAGCATGTGCGAGCTGTATCATAAGGTCTGTCATTGAGTCAACTGGCGTGGTTTCGATTCCCTGGTTGTACGTGACAAGGAGTGTCGCGGTCGCTTGTTCAACCTCGTGGGTTTTCTCTGGGTCTTCTGGTTTCCTCCCACTGCTAAAGACCCGTACTTCGCAAGCGAATGATTGAAATAAAATTAAATCATGTGTTAGTCCCAAAATGACCTAGTTTGTGTCGAGTGGACTTAAAAGCCATCTCTCCTTCTCTCTGGTATATTCGAGACTAAGCCTCGCTTTCCCATTTTTAAATTAAATTTTTAAATGGCGAACCGTTCTAATCTAGTTAAATCTCGAGTATCAAGCAAATTATAGTTTGTTTCGAGTGGGCGTAAAATTCCATTTATCTTTTTCTCTCTCTTCTCTCTCTCCCTGGACTGTTTTGACAATAATTGACTTTGGTAGTTTATTGCATAGAAAAGGTCTAGCATAGGACAAAGCACGTTTCCAAGTTGTAAGTTAATATTTGGAGATTTTAGAAGATGTACTGTCTGAGAACTGAGATTTCTACTGGTAGTGCAGGTCTTTACAATATTTTAAAAAATATAATATGTGAATTAATTATATTCATTTAATTTAATTTAATTTTCTTTGAGTATGGTGACGGTCGTGGTGTTGTCGATTGAGCTGCTGATAGTGGTTGTAGTTGTAGTGTGGGGTGTCAATGTTATATAAATTATATTCGTTGATTTTTGTCAATATTTTCCATTTCTTATGTTTATTACATTAAAATATATATTTCTTTGAGTTAAACGTAATTGAAATGGCATTTAACGCCCGACTGGGCTAATGAAGACGGGCATACTCCAGATTGTGTCCTATGATCGAAATTGTGCCCGGGACCGGTGCGACGGCCTATACTCTTATATCGATTCCAACTGCCAAGGATTCTTTTACGTCTCATCCGAATGAGTATACGTTGACCAAAGCGCTCTGTCCATCACCAGTGACAGGGGGAACCACGCCGGTGGATTTCGGTGGATTTTCAGAATGATGTACAGGGAAAGGTCATCTACATGTTGGTACCAAAATACCTTATAAAGGAATTTGTGGTGGGTCTTTCAGTATTTTGACTAGACTAATACTCAAATAGACCATAGCGAGAGTAGATTCACGCATATTACTGTATAGAAATCTTCCATGTGAGCAATTGCGGGACAGTTTGGTTGGTTTTTGGGACGCGGGACTTGGAAACATTTTGCAGGACTGTCCCGCGAAATGCAGGATGGGTGGTCACCCTAAACATAATGTAGTTGCATTTAAGCTCTTATTTAAATACCACCAGAAAAAGTATATATTCATGTCAAAATACATTAAGTAAGGCAACCTAAATATTTTATTCCTTTCATCTACAATAAATGATATTTTATTTTTCATGTATACATGAATATAAAGCTTCCTTTAAATTTAATTAACCACTAATGGTGAGAATTTGTTAAACATATGATACCACTTCATTTATTTTGACGTTGTGAAAATGGTTATTTACAATAATTACTAAATAAAATTAACCTTATATGATCTAAATTTTCATAAGATGGTTATCGCTATGTTTTTACGATTATTACTGATGTTATCAGAATCAATACAGTTCTAGTGCTCAACATACTACAACACAAACTATGCAACTTGATTTAAAAGCATTGCATACGAATGTGTCAAATTGTTTTGCTTTTCAATAATTGGATAAAATTTGATATGTCCCTGAGGGCATTACAACAGCTCAAATTTAAATTATCAATACCAAATTATTATTAGCAAGCTACATGTACATGAAATGTTTAACATTCCTCCAGGCAACGTGTT